TCGATCAGGAAGATCCTGTGTATCGAATTTACTCAGTTTCTATGATCGGGCCACAGAGATATTACAGGAAAGAGATGGCTGGGTTGACTGCATCTATCTGGACCTAAAAAGGCTTTCGACAGAGTTCCACATAAGAGGTTGTTCTGGAAACTGGAAAATATTGGAGGGGTGACAGGTAAGCTTCTATCATGGATGAAAAATTTTCTGACTGATAGAAAAATGAGGGCAGTAATCAGAGGCAATGTATCGGAATGGAGAAATGTCACAAGTGGAGTACCACAGGGTTCAGTTCTTGCACCAGTGATGTTTATTGTGTACATAAATGATCTACCAGTTGGTATACAGAATTATATGAACATGTTTGCTGATGATGCTAAGATAATAGGAAGGATAAGAAATTTAGATGATTGTCATGCCCTTCAAGAAGACCTGGACAAAATAAGTATATGGAGCACCACTTGGCAAATGGAATTTAATGTTAATAAATGTCATGTTATGGAATGTGGAATAGGAGAACATAGACCCCACACAACCTATATATTATGTGAGAAATCTTTAAAGAATTCTGATAAAGAAAGAGATCTAGGAGTGGTTCTAGATAGAAAACTATCACCTGAGGACCACATTAAGAATATTGTGCAAGGAGCCTATGCAATGCTTTCTAACTTCAGAATTGCATTTAAATACATGGATGGCGATATACTAAAGAAGTTGTTCATGACTTTTGTTAGGCCAAAGCTAGAATATGCAGCTGTTGTGTGGTGCCCATATCTTAAGAAGCACATCAACAAACTGGAAAAGGTGCAAAGACATGCTACTAAGTGGCTCCCAGAACTGAAGGGCAAGAGCTACGAGAAGAGGTTAGAAGCATTAAATATGCCAAAACTAGAAGACAGAAGAAAAAGAGGTACAGTAATTGTGTCTTTCTTTCTCTTGACAACACTATCTTTAGCAAGCAGCTTCTTTGGAGACATCGTGTGTTACAAATTGTAGTCGCAAAACCACTAAAAACCCAAAGTAAAGCTCAAATATATCCAGAGGGATGCTTGTCGTGTGAGATACAACAACAACACTGGCGTCGGAGGCGTCCGAGAATTTGCGAGAACCCGCGAGACGCTAGGAAGCACCATGTGGTTTCACTCGTTAATAGAGGCGAGCTCGTCAATAGAGACAAATTTGCTGCGAGTGGCTTGCTCGTTACTGGAAAAACTCGTTAATAGAGCCACAAATGTAAAACAGAACCAGGTCTATTCTATAAATTCATAAACAACAAATTGCAGGTAAAGGATAATATTCAGAGGTTGAAAATGGGAAATAGATTCACGGAAGATGAAAAGGAAATGTGTGAAACACTAAACGAAAAGTTCCAAAGTGTGTTTGTACAAAATGAAATCTTTAGGGAACCAGATACAATAAGAATTCCAGAGAACAACATAGAACACATAGAGGTGTCTAGAGACGAAGTGGAAAAAATGCTCAAGGAGCTCGGGAGGAACAAAGCAGCTGGCCCAGATGGCGTTTCACCATGGGTTCTGAGAGAATGTGCATCTGAGCTCAGCATTCCACTTCACCTGATCTTTCAGGCATCCCTGTGTACAGGAATCGTAGCAGACATGTGGAAACAGGCTAACATAGTTCCAATCTACAAAAGTGGCAGCAGGGAAGACCCCCTCAATTATAGACCTGTATCATTGACAAGTGTAATAGTGAAAGTATTGGAAAAGCTAATCAAAACTAAATGGGTAGAACACCTGGAGAGAAATGATATAATATCAGACAGACAGTATGGTTTTCGATCAGGAAGATCCTGTGTATCGAATTTACTCAGTTTCTATGATCGGGCCACAGAGATATTACAGGAAAGAGATGGCTGGGTTGACTGCATCTATCTGGACCTAAAAAGGCTTTCGACAGAGTTCCACATAAGAGGTTGTTCTGGAAACTGGAAAATATTGGAGGGGTGACAGGTAAGCTTCTATCATGGATGAAAAATTTTCTGACTGATAGAAAAATGAGGGCAGTAATCAGAGGCAATGTATCGGAATGGAGAAATGTCACAAGTGGAGTACCACAGGGTTCAGTTCTTGCACCAGTGATGTTTATTGTGTACATAAATGATCTACCAGTTGGTATACAGAATTATATGAACATGTTTGCTGATGATGCTAAGATAATAGGAAGGATAAGAAATTTAGATGATTGTCATGCCCTTCAAGAAGACCTGGACAAAATAAGTATATGGAGCACCACTTGGCAAATGGAATTTAATGTTAATAAATGTCATGTTATGGAATGTGGAATAGGAGAACATAGACCCCACACAACCTATATATTATGTGAGAAATCTTTAAAGAATTCTGATAAAGAAAGAGATCTAGGAGTGGTTCTAGATAGAAAACTATCACCTGAGGACCACATTAAGAATATTGTGCAAGGAGCCTATGCAATGCTTTCTAACTTCAGAATTGCATTTAAATACATGGATGGCGATATACTAAAGAAGTTGTTCATGACTTTTGTTAGGCCAAAGCTAGAATATGCAGCTGTTGTGTGGTGCCCATATCTTAAGAAGCACATCAACAAACTGGAAAAGGTGCAAAGACATGCTACTAAGTGGCTCCCAGAACTGAAGGGCAAGAGCTACGAGAAGAGGTTAGAAGCATTAAATATGCCAAAACTAGAAGACAGAAGAAAAAGAGGTGATATGATCACTACGTACAAAATAGTAACAGGAATTGATAAAATCGACAGGGAAGACTTCCTGAGACCTGGAACTTCAAGAACAAGAGGCCATAGATTTAAACTAGCTAAACACAGATGCCGAAGAAATATAAGAAAATTCACCTTCGCAAATAGAGTGGTAGACGGTTGGAACAAGTTAAGTGAGAAGGTGGTGGAGGCCAAGACCGTCAGTAGTTTCAAAGCGTTATATGACAAAGAGTGCTGGGAAGACGGGACTCCACGAGCGTAGCTCTCATCCTGTAACTACACTTAGGTAATTACACTTAGGTAATTACTCGTTAATAGAGGTTCCACTGTAATTAATAACAATAGATGACCAAAAAAGTAAAAAAGCAATTATGAGATCTATAATATGAAAAGCTTACTTACTCTACTATTATAAGTACACTATAGTTGAATACTAAAGTTACACTAAAACAAAATGAGGTAGTTTAAATAGAGATACACTCAGGAACACTGGATAATGAAGTTAATACTAGAGGACACAGGCAAAGCCAGTGTACTATGGAACATGGGAGTAAAAAGAAAAAAGACAATAATAAAGATGACAATTTTTTTTTTTAAATAAAGTTATAACCTTTTGAAAGGAAAGTCAGAGCTAAAGTACACAATGGTAGTTAAATGAGATTATGGGTTTGGGTTTGTTATGCCTATGCCCAATGCCCAATGGGTTTGTTTTGTTATGCCTACCTTTCTAGGTGCAAACCCCGGTCGATGGCAGATAAGGAAAACCCCAACCACAAGGGGGTTTTCCAGGGCCATTGCTCCCTGAAACCTCTCTGAAGGGGTCAGGTTCTAGCGCTGGTCCCTGGTAGGTCTGAACTCCTTAGCTAATGTCCCGGTCTAATATAACATACATTAGCCCGATAAGCTCAGGGGAGCCTCCGGGGCTCACCCAGAAAATGGCGTTTCATTACATTCAACGCTGATTTTAGTCCATTACTGTTTGCAAAGTCTGTGGTGGTGCATTTTCTGCAGGCGGCTTCGTCTAGTTGTCGGCCTATGTCGGACTTGTTGGTTCTCCGAAGGGGGGGGGGAGGGGTGCTGTGGTTGATCTGCCCAGAAGGGTCGTGCAAAGGCTCAAGGTTCTTTCGGTCGTCGTAAGCCAGTTGTTACAATTACAAGACTGTAATTACCATATTATGTATCCTCACATTCCCAATGTACATTCTTGTATATGCATAAATAAATAAATAAATAAAATAAAAGTTGTGCAGTTTGTTGTCGGCCACGAACACATTTGTACATGGGTATATACAATGTGTGTATATAGTGTAATAACAGCAACAGGAGTAGGTTGGGAGGAGCTATTTTGGTGAGGGAGGTGACATAATTGTAGCATCATATGCTGGCTGCTGTGTGCTTTCTCATGCAGTGTATGGTGGCCACTGTAAAGTTTGGACACAATACCGGCTTACTTGCATAGTTCTGGTGAATAAAACATGTAGATAAGTCTACATAACATGTATAAATAGTGTAATGAAAACAATAACAGTATGGTGGGAGGAGCAATGTTGGTGAGTAAGATGTTGGAGGAGTGAGGGAGTCACTGGATGTTGGAGGAGTGAGGGTGTGGCAGCTGATATTCGCGGAGTTCTGAGTGTGTTCATGGTGAATGTATATAGTGTGTGATAGTGTATAGTATGTAAATAGATTGTATTTATACATAAATTAGCATGACACATGGGAAATATGTGCAACATATGTGTACATGTGTCATGCATGTAACACAGTGTCCTCGGACAATACGGATGTTCTATTGCAATAATATAGTGTATATGTTAATTATACATAGGATTGGCACAAAAAAGCAAATAAATGTATTTGGAACTGTGCGCAAAAAATGAACAAAAATATATTCGCAGCAACTCATGCATCCTGCATCCTGGGGCGTATGCCACGAGTGACCAGGAAATGATGACATTACGCACAAACTTATGAACCATAGCAGCCAAAGTACATACAATTTCGACCTTCTGTTACTATACCCATACTTAGGGAAGGGTTTTTGACACTTTCCAAACAAAAAATAATTTTTTCCAGAGAAATTATTTCCTGCGCATTGGGGGGGGGGGAGTCATATTTGGAAGCCGAGCAGTTGAGGGGTTAAAGCATTGGAACAAGGTACTGTATATTTAGGTAAAAGGAAAATTAAGACAATTTTAGAGGCCAAAATTGGCCTCCTAAAAAAGTAGGGAGTAGCAAAGATGACAAACAATGTCAAATAAGACTAATACTGAAATCTGTTGGCTTAACAGAAACCATTGTTGAACCCAGAATACATGGTTCAGTAGCAAGAATTCCAGATGTTGAGCCAGAGCAACCAGAATCCATACCTCCCCCAGACCTTCAGTTCTTGGATTTTAAAGAAGAAGAAGTTGGTGTGCTAGCAAATTCAAAGAGAGTTGGAAATAGAATTCTGGAGGTGCTGCGTAGTGGAGGACTTAATGTTAGGTAAGTCACTCACTTTGTGTGTGTGTTCTGAGTACAGTATATTTAAATTGTTGCTTCTAATTGCAGTGTACTACTTGATTTAAGAACTTTTTATGGATCAAAGCATACAGTATCTGGTAATTAGCTAACCCTAGTTTTGATACCTTAATGATTTTACTGGATGTATTTCTATTGATTTCTTTGTGATATTTTGAGATTGATTTTACCTATTGTCTTGATGCTTACAACTAATGTATTATGGTTCAAACAAGGCTCTTATTGAAATTAGGCAGTGTAAGCCCCTGGTGAAATTTTTTAGAAGTAATAAAGAACACCTTAACCACTGCACTTCGCACCTAGTTTCTGCAAAAATTTTTTAGTGCAATTGTCAAGGACATATTTTCGTTGTTTTTATAAATATTCAGGTAAATTTAATGTCAAAATGTAGCCTAATTAAAAAATAAATAGCACAACTCTCAGAGCACCAAAAAACACTTTGTGCAGTACAGTGGTTAAAGGGTGTTCATGTCTATAACCTCCTCAAGGCTTTTCTAATGTATTGAATGCTCCATTATCTAACACTATTAACTGAAAAGCCATATATGCTTCCAAATGTAAATGCTCATAATCATAAATATGTTCATAATTCATATGTAAATGTTCATAATTTTCCCACTGGTCGGCGACTTGTACTTTTCTTTTAAAGTGTATGTGTGTGTGTATGCATGTACATGTGTACGCTGTGTGTGTGTGCACATGTGTATACACACGTGTGTGTCACATACCTTGTGTGTGTGTGTGTGTGTGTGTATATGTATATGTATGTGTATATACATAATGTGTATGTGTGTGTGCACTTTTTCTTTCCGAAGGGGCTCTGTTCCCTTCTCTGTTGACGGGGTGCTGGGGGAGCAGCTTGCTCTGTTGACTCTTGCATGGTCCTGCTGTTGGTGGGCACTTTTGGTTGTCTTCCGGCCTCTGATGGTGTCGGTGGACGGTTTCTCCCCCTTGGGGGGGTTCAGAGCTGGCGGGGTGGGCTTCTTCCCCTGCGTTTCGTCATGTCATCTTAGTGGGTGCATTGGACGTGGTCGATCCACCAATCCTTCTGGGGTTCCTGTCTGCTCTTTGTAGTCATGGGCCTTTCGCATCTGCGGTTCTTCTGGACTTCTTCAGTCTGCGCCTTGGATTCTATGCCCTCCTTGGTGGACTGTTGTCTCCTGTCCGGCTTCTGTTGGGGCCGGGTGCCTGGATGGTGGCCCTGGACCTCCAGGTCACTTCTTGGCACGTTCCTCTCCAGTTTTCCGGGACTGGCACAGTTGGTGGTGGGGCTTCAGGTTTGCTGCTTTTGTTGCCTTCCCTATTTTGTAATTGGCACTTGGTGTATTTTTTGCATCTTTTACCGGATCTTAGTACCCTGTCTGAGTCTGCTTGAGATTCGGTGTCTGGCCTACCTCGATGACTGGCTAGTGTGGGCTCCCAGTCAGTCCGCTTGTCTGCTCGCCAGGGGTGTGGTTCTTTCCAGATCACCGGATTTGGTTTCCTGGTAATCTGGAGGCCATTCCATCTGTTTCCGTCCCGGGTTCGGACCTGGGCCTTGTTTAGGGCTATTGGGCCACTCCTTGTCTTTCCCTCCAGAAGTGTTACTGCGGCTGTGGTCCCGCCTTCAGCTGTACATGAGGGGGTCCTGGGTTGCTCAGCGGTTGTTTGAGCAGTTATGCGGGAGTCTAAACTTCAAAGTGCTGGTCTGCCCACGGGGTTGGGTTTGACTTCGGCGTCTGTTTGGTTCCTTCGGAGACTCCCCTTCCGCCTCTTGCTTTTGTTAGGTTTGTTCCTCTGGGGATCTTGTGTTGGTGCTGCGTCACCAGCATCCTCTTTGGGGTTTTTCGGGGTTCCGTGCCTTGGCACCTCCCCGAGCCTTTGCTCGATGTGTTCACGGACAGGTCATCTCTCGGCTGGGGCTTTGTAACCAGTGCTCACCAGGTCGGTTGGGGATGGTGGAGTCTGTCCGTCCGTCGGGCTCACAGCACGGTTCGGGAGTTCATGGCTGTCTGGTTTGCGCTTCGGAGCGTTTGGGTCACTCGGTGCTCTACCATTCAGCTCCGTTCAGACTGTTCTCTGGCGGTTCTTGCCGGAACCACAGGGTTTCTCTTAGGTGTTGACCTTTGGGGTTGGTTCCGTAGTGGCTCGTTTGCTGGATTCTCGGGGTTTGGCTAACCGTGAGGTTCATGTCCGGGGTGTATCCTGCGTCCTGGCGGACAGCTGTCTCAGTTCATTCCTCTGTTCGCTGATTGGCCAGTTTTTGCAGACTCGTTTTGTTGACTTTGTCGGACGTATGAACTCCTGGCCATGGACGTTCTTCAAGTCAGCGTGGTCTAGGCGTCACCCATTTTATGTGGCACCCTTACCCGCCTGCGAGGCGTTCACGTTGGATGCTTTTCAGTAGGATTGGTCGAGGTGGGGGTACCTGTTCCTCTTCTCCCGGTCCAGCTGTTGCTTCGGGTTCTGGCTCGGTTGCAGCCCATTCCCACGAGAGCAGTCCTTATGGTTCCTTGGTGGCCGGCCCAGCTTTATTTTCAGATGCTGCTTGAAAGGTGTCCGAATCCGGGGCGTTTTCCCGCGGCTCCACCTCTTTCGGCAGGACGGATCAGTCCTGTACGCGACTGGTTCGGCCTTCTCCTCGGCTCTTCCCGTTTGGTATTTTGATGCGGGTATCACCATCTCTGTGGTGTTCAGGTGGCCTTGTTGACGGTGTCCCTCCTGCGAGCTTCGTCTTGGCGACAGTATGACGTTCCTGGTGTTTCTATGCACTTTGTCTTGCTCTTTGTATATTGTCTTCTCTTTCGCATCGGGTTGTCTTGTCCTTTCATGGGTTTTCTGGACTACAGTTATTTGATGTTTTCTTACTGTTGCCTTGTTTTATGCGGCGCTGGCAGAGCCACTCCGGCTTGCATTCGTGGTGGACGTCACATCTGCCCCGTTTTGTACGCTTTCTCGTGTTTTGTTTCACCTCCGGCCTGCTCATGTGTCGCCTGCGCCGTCCTGGTCCTTGATTAGGGTGCTTTCTTATCTTCTCCTCAGTTTGTGGTAGCCCCTTCGGTTCAGGTTTCTGCTCTTTGGTACTGGTGGTAGATTTGTATGTGTGCAGCTTTTCTCCGTCCTGGCGATGGTCGAGATGGCTGGTTTCTGGAGGGGTTCTTGGGTTATTGATGCTTGATTGGTTTGGCCGGGGATGCGTCCTGTGTTGTCCAGTTGCGTTTTTGCCGTTCCCTGCGTACCGTATCTGGGGATGCGCTTTGTTTTGATCCGGTTCCCCTCGCTCCCTGTTTCAGGGCTCGGGTCTCCCAGGTCGTCCGCAGAGTTTTTTTCAGTCTTCCAGCTTGCGGTCTGTCCTTGCGCCCGTGCTGTTCGGACGTTTGCAGCTTTTGCTGCTGTGTTGGTGACGTCTACGGCTCATTTCGGGTGCAGGGAATTGAGGGTCGCACAGGTTCTTGGCCGCCCATTCTTTATGCGCGTCTGCTCCTGTGCGTTCTTGTTGCCTTGGGTCGCAGGTTGCATCCTGTTGTCTCTGGTTCACGTTGCAAAGTTTGTGGCAGCCGCCTCCTGGGTTAGCCCTTTCTTTTCCTTCTCTTTGGGTATGAAGCTCCAGGGAGCCGTAGGGGCTCCCCACAGAAAACCAGCGTTGAATGTAATGAAACGCCTTTTTCTGGGTGAGCCCTGGAGGCTCCCTGGCAACCCTCCCTCCCACCGGTTGGCGGTTTTTTTGCGTTGGTTGAAGCTTAGCTTCCGAACTGGAGCTTGGCAGCCGGCGCGGTAGGTCCGGGACTCCCCCCTCCCCCTCTCTGGGTGGGGAGGGCTGTGCGGACAATCGGCGCAGCACTAAAGTGTGATATTTGCTTGTTTGCTTGTTTCCTTGGGATTGTAGGGAGTTTCTACCTCTCTGTTCGGTTTTTTGTTTTAGTTTTTTACCATGTGGGGTTTGTTTTGTCATGCCTACCTTTCTGGGTGCCTGACCCCGGTTGATGGCAGATAAGGAAAACCCCAACCACAAGAGGGTTTTCCAGTGCCATTGCTCCCTGAAACCTCTCTGAAGGGGCCAGGTTCTGGCACTGGTCCCTGGTAGGTCTGAACTCCTTAGCTAATGTCCTGGTCTAATATAACATACATTAGCCCGATAAGCTCCAGGGAGCCTCCGGGGCTCACCCAGAAAAAGGCATTTCATTACATTCAACGCTGGTTTTTTTCAACCCCTGTTACGTGGCTGTGTTAATTTCATTTTCTAATAGTGTAAACATTTGTATGCTGCTGATATTTTTTCCTGTACTGTACTCATATGGGTGACAAGTTATTATCATCCTCTTTGTGGTGTTGGAATATTGAGGTTCTCTATTCTAAGTCAGGCTCTTAGGGGTCATAAGTTTTGTAATCCCTTCCTATACAGCATAAGTTGAAGGTCCGTCTTGTATTTTTATTGTAATTAACATACAATTTTGAATTAGCTATATAATTTTTCTCATTGCTATGCTCAACTTCACGGCAGTTCATTCTTAGAAAGTTATCCTATATTGCTTGTGCCCATTCTTTTATATATTCTGATGTTTAGTTTGTAGAGTAATAAATGTCTGTGACTGAAGCCTGAAGGTGATTACAAATAAGTGGACTTCAGTACATTACTAGTGAAGTTTTCCAATTCTAAATTAATACTTAAAGGAAGAAAGTATTTTTGTCCATTACATTGTTTGTTTGATAAATTCAACTTAATTCCCTATTAAAATGAAGATGCTCTCTGCTGAATATGAGAACATTTAAACATGGAATTGGGTTACTACATGTGCTTGGTTCTGAGATGGATCATATCATTTCTTTATCAACTTGATTTCCTTGGATTCCAACATAAGATGGAGCCCAGCACAAATTACTGTACCTTATATTTTATTGATATAATGTCACTATTGTTCTTTCTTTCTTTGTCAGAGGGTCTTCTAAGGAAAACTGCTTAGTATCTATAATGATACTAAGCTGTAATGATAATTTGTAATTCAGTACAAATAATTTTAGGGCATTGTTTTTATGGGCATTTTAGGGCATTACAACAGTGTGGACAAAGATGTACATTCTCATATTTTTTTGCTATAGGTTGTTGGAAGACACAAACTGTAAATACCCAAATGAAACTCGTGATTGGTCTGGAGCTCAAAAAGTATTGCAGGTAAGAAAGTCCTAATTTTAATATACAGTACTCCAAAATTTGTGAAGTTATGAGTATGATGTTCTGTATTTTAATAATTTAATTACAGTATAAAGTGCTGCTTTGATAATTCTTTATCCTATTGAAGAGTCAGAGACCCACTCTTGCCTATTAGCAGATAACCAGAATCTGACTCTGCTATGTGATGAGAGCTTGGGGATCAGAGAAGTCATCCCTAAAGTCAGAGAATTATCAAAGCCACACTTTATACTGTAATTAAATTATTATTATAATAAATGTATATACAGTACAGTGGAACCTCAAATAACGACTTTAATCCGTTCCGATGCCGTGGTCGTCATGTGAAATTGACATCATTCAAAACGAAGTTCCCGATTGAAAAGAATGTAAATAGAAATAATCCGTTCTACCACCGAAAAACATCAATATGATATTTGATGTTTTAAATAATGGAGCAGCCTACTTTACATACACTGAATAAACTTTTATGACTTTTTCTTTCTTCAAATTTGTTCAAATTTTTTTCATTTTTTTGTATAGCAAAAAGTTTGTTTGATGTTTGGCAGATAGACTGCTCCATGTTTCTTAACCACTAAATTGCGCCAGCCGATTATTCTCGGTCGGCGGAAAATTGCGCCAAGAAAACTCTTTTTTTATTTTTCCGTACTCATTCTAAATGTGTGCGAGGTTGGTTGTGTACAAAATAGACTCTTAGGACCTCCAGTGAGAGGCAGCCATCTTGGAAAAAATTCTCAGAATGCCCTAGGGCTGCTGGCTGGGTTAGTACTGAATGAGCAACCATGGATGGCACACGTGCCTCTGGCTCCCAAACACCTGTCTGACGCGGTGTTCAAAGATCACACTGTCGGTGAAATTCAAACCTTATTGTTAACCACCGTGCCGCGCCGAGTTTATTGTACTTACCTGTTTGTGCTTGCAGGGGTTGAGCTCTGGCTCTTTGGTCCCGCCTCTCAACTGCCAATCAACTGGTGTACAGGTTCCTGAGCCTATTGGGCTCTATCATATCTATCTGTTCCGGGTCTCCAAGAACAAGAAGTCATAGATTTAAACTAACGAAACAAAGCTGCCAGAGAAATATACGAAAATTCACTTTTGTAAACAGAGTGGTAGACGATTGGAACAAGTTAAGTGAGAAGGTGGTGGAGGCCAAAACCGTCAGTAATTTCAAAGCATTATATGACAAAGAGTGCTGGGGAGACGGGACACCACGAGCGTAGCTCTCATCCTGTAACTACACTTAGGTAATTACACTTGAAACTGTGTATGGAGTCAGCCTCCACCACATCACTGCCTAATGCATTCCATTTGTCAACTACTCTGACACTAAAAAAATTCTTTCTATTATCTCTGTGGCTCATTTGGGCACTCAGTTTCCACCTGTGTCACTAGTGCGTGTGCCCTTTGTGTTAAATAGCCCGTCTTTATCTACCCTGTCAATTCCTCTGAGAATCTTGTACGTGGTGATCATATCCCCCCCCTAACTCTTCTGCCTTCTAGTGATGTGAGGTTTAATTCCCGTAGTCTCTCCTCGCAGCTCATACCTTTCAGCCCGAGTACTAGTCTGGTGGCAAACCTTTGAACTTTTTCCAGTTTGGTCTTATGCTTGACTAGATATAGACTCCATGCTGGGGCTGCATACTCCAGGATTGGTCTGACATAGGTGGTATACAAAGTTCTGAATGATTCCTTGCACAAGTGTCTAAATGCCATTCTTGAAATTGTGAAATTGTGAAATTCCCCCGGTGCGCATGAAATAAAGTGTTCCCAAAAAATTATTTTTTCTTTGTAAAATAATAAATTCCCTTTCCTGAACATGTCTATGTAAAAATAAATACCAAATTCCACTTACTTTGGCTGTTGGGACGTGGACAAGGTGCACTGTGATGTCATCAGAGCCTGGTCGCCCATGCGTGAATCGCCCAGACACGTTCACGCGGGCCATTCAAGCACCGGGTGTTGCCACAAATATATTTTCAATTATTTGTTTTATGTATTTCCAATGCGGTTTTATTTGTTTGTATATTTTTGTTATTTTTATCGTATATGATGCATATTTGTGTCCTTTACAATATGTACACAGTAGAACGTTCATAATATTCCATGGAACTGTGATACATGTGTCAGTAATGTGTCCACAATAAATGTTTATTATCGCAATATTACTTGTTAAAAATTCACTAAAATTACAATGTGTACAGTTTCACCAGAATTTGAGTAATAATCAAAAAGTGGCCCATGGTACACAGCACGACTTCGCTCTCATTGCACCAGGTACAGATAGATTTCAATTCCTGTTTCTTCGTTCTGTGTGCTTGCAAATAACACACTCATGTACACCATTGGCATTAGTACCTGTAGGTGGTATGTAGCCAAGCTTGTAAAATGTAAGGTAGTCTTGAAAAGATTACAGGAAAAGATCACTTTGTAAGGTAGTCGTGAAAAGACCACTTTGTATGGTCCCACACAGGAAAAGATTCAGCCAGCTTCAAAGAGTGTCCATCAGTCTGGAAGAGATTCAACCAGCCTCAAAGAATGTCCGTCAGTCAAGAAGAGATTGAGCTATTCTTGAAATTATCTATGGAAAACACCACAAGGAAGCCGCTAATACTGTTCATCTATGCTACTTGTATCAGATGCATCATCACTGAATGCAGAATATGATTCATCTATGTATCATCTAAATAGATTGATATTTAGATGATACAATATTATGACCCCTTATGTTCTTCAAACAATAAGGTTTAAATTTCACCGACAATGCGCGATCTTTCAACACCGCGTCGGACAGCTATTTGGGAGCCAGAGAAGCGTGTGCCACCCATGGTTGCTCACTCAGTACTAACCCAGCCAACAGCCCAAGGGCATTCTGGGATTTTTTTCCAAGATCGCTGCCTCTCACTTTAGGTCCTAAGAGTCCATTTTGTACACAACCAACCTTGCACACATTTAGTATGGATACGAAAAATCAAAAAGAGTTTTCTTGGCGCAGTTTCCCGCCGACCAAGAATACTTGGTTGGCGCAGTTAAGTGGTTAAGCAAGGCTTTCCACCCCAATGGCCAGGCCTCTCAGAGACAAACTCCTGAACACATCAGAGAAAATAACTGACTGTGCAAGGGCATTGTTAGTGGGCACCCAGGGAAGAAAACCCCCTGAGCATATGCAGGCCAAAACCCAGCAAGAGCCAAGCTCACACAAGCTAGATCAAAAACACTCATGTGAATCTAGCACTAAATTAAGGAACAATACATTAAGCAAATGCCCGCTAAACACACACTGAAACTAAGACGCTGGTACAACGTTCGAACAAGTTTTAACACTTCCTAACCAGTTATAACAACCAATATATCAAGTTGTAACAACGTTCTAATACGTCATAAACACGTTAAGCCAAGATGTAACAATTTTATTACAAGTTGTAACAAGCAGAAAATAGAGACAGTTACGGTTTGTGTTTCCAGGATGGCCGCTGCAGAACAAAGCCCAAGGATAGCCAGCACTTTGCTTGAAGTGATGGCGGCTTGCCCATGACTGGCAGAGTATAGGCTTAACTATAGTCCAACACATCAACAACAAAACTGAGATAAGGAGCTGACTGAGGGCTGGGGCTAGGCTGCCTGCTGGTGGTAATCTGTACTAATGAGTTTCAACTAGTTTAAGTGATTCTCTTATTCTCTGTGAATTGTTTGTGAAATCTGGCAGTTTTGAGGCTTTGTTTTCTCTGAAACCTCTAGTTGTCTGTTATGCTTCACTGACTTTCTGGAGAGTCTTTCTAATGGCGTGGCACATTGTCACTTACTTCCTGTGCCTCAGCGAGGGAAGGCCAGGTTCTGGCTCTGGTCCCCAATTGGCCAAACAGAACTTCCACAACTGATGCGCTCATTTCCTGCCAACTTTCTTACAGTTGAGCTACAGTGGGGCCTATCATCAGAATTGGCTTTTAATTTGTAGCCTTTATACCCACATAAGGATAGATTAATTTGTTATAGTGTATTGTTTAGGATTTTCTGCATGACATTCAACAATCAGTTTATTTACATCTCAATGTTTATGGTATGGTTTATTCATTTTATAATTTGTCTTATAAATTTATGAAATTATGGAGGATATGTATTTTATTTATTATATAATGTTAATTACAGTTACATCACTTCTCTGATTTTATTTTTCATATTTATCAGGAATGTGAATACGAGGCACGAGCATCTGAAAACCTTTTGAGAAATCAGAGTGTTTTCATTGGAATTGACTTTTTTGTTGAGTTAATGCCTAAAAGGTAAGACATCTAAAGTTTTCTGTTTAAAAAGTTGCAGAGACAACTCTTGCAATAGACAATTTCTGAAAGCCCCCCTTGTTAGCTCTTCATAGCTCTGTCAAAGCCAAGACTTGAGAAGTGTACCAGGTCTCTGAGACTCGTGCTGACCTACCACGAGCCAGGAATAGAATCTAGTTCTCTACAAGGTAGGAGCAGTTTGGGAATTACAGATCTTCCGAATACCAGAATGATTAGTAAAAACTATCATACATAAATAAATATTCAGATGCAAACCAAGCAGTTGCTCATTGCTACTGGTAAACGACAGTTTTGATGTGCATGATGCCACCAGTTGGTGGGCTAGGTCACCAGGGGTCTCAGTCAGACTGCCTCCTTATTCCTTCAACTGGTGCCTTCCTGTTAGATTGCCAGAAGCCCTAAGCCTAGATAATTATCATGGATATATTGGCAATGAAAGGCAACAAAGCAGCAAACTACCATACACCATTGAAGCGGGGATTGCTGGCTGGCTAAGTCAAACAACCTTCTGCATGATCTCGGAGATGAGCCATGGAAAAACAATGCAGTAAGTAGGTTGTTCCTTTTTATCCATAAGGTTGTGATGCTGCAGGTATCATGTGAGTTAGGGTGTCAGTGGACAAAGACCTCAGGTGACCTGAAATGCCATCTGGTGGCAGTTGAGGAAATTGACATGAGATTTGTTGGTTCACTGCCAACTATTATTTATCTTGTTTCTAATTTTTTTCCTTTTCATAAGAGCACTGGTTTGTTTTGTTTTACCTGTGACTTTCTGGGCAGTAATCTAAGATTTTGGTGGATCTCTGGCCTGCTGAAGCTCGCCTCACCACTGTGAGCAATCAAAATTGTGGTCATAGTCTGTGGTAGGTTACACTGGTAGCAGAAGCCTGGTACATTTATTGAGGCCCCAAGGTACCAGAGCATTAACCCCTGCCCTGTGCATAGTGCCTTAACCACTAAGCTGCTCTGGGCGATTTGGGCTTTGACACCCACAGGCACATAAAAAAAAAAAATTATTTCATCTTTTAAAAGTGTTTATTTGTGTTCCCTGATCACAGGAAAAATAGTAAAAATCGTAAGCGGCATATTTTAGATGCAATAGGGCGAAAAATTCTGGCAAAAAACCAGTGCTGAATCTAATGAAATGTCATTTTCTGTGTGAGCCCCGGAGGCTCCCTGGAGCTTATTGGACTAATATATGTTATATTAGGCCAGGACATTAGCTATGAAGTTCAGACCTACCAGGGACCATGAGCCAGAACCTGGCCCCTTCAAACAGGTTTCAGGGAGCAATGGCCCTGGAAAACCCCTCCTGTGGTTGGGGGTTTTCCGTATCTGCCATTGATTGAGGTTAGGCACCCAGAATGGTAGGCATAACAAAACAAACCCCACATGGTAAAAAACTAACCATAAAAACCAAACAGAGAGGTAGAACTCCCTATAATCCCAAGGAAACAAGCAAACGTAACACACTACTGCCGCGCCGCTCGTCCATGCAACCCTCCCTCCCTGAGAGAGGGAGAGGGGCCCCCCTGACCTCACCCCGCCGGCTGTATAGCACTCCAGTTCGGAAGCTACACATCAACAAACACGAAAAAAACGCCGACCGTTGGAAGGGAGGTTTGTCAGAGAGCTTCCGGGGCTCACCCAGACAATGGTGTTTCATTACATTCAATGCTAGTTTTCTGTGGGGAGCCCCTACGGCTCCATGGAGCTTCATACCCAAAGAGAAGGAAAAGAAAGGGCTGACCCGCTACGCGTCCGCTACAAACTCCGCAACACGAAGTCAAGACAACAGGTAGCAACCTGCAACCCAAAGCAACACAAAAACTCACAGGAGCAGACACGCTCACAAAAGAACGAGTGGCCAGGACCCTGTACGACCCCCAAATCCACGCGTCAAAGCTGCAAACGTCCGAACAGCACGGGCGCGAGGATAGGCCACAGGCTTGCTAGACTTAACAACCCTGTGGTCGACCTGGAAGACCCGATCCCTGGAACAGGGAACAAGGGAAACCAAATCAACCCAAAGCGTAACCCCAGCCATGACACGCAGGTAACTGCAAAGAGCCGCAACCAGACAACACATGACGCACCCCCGGCCAAACCAACTAAGCATCAATAACCAAAAAAACCCTTCGGAAAGAAGCTGTCTTTACCTTCGTCAGAAAAGACGGAGAAGGCTGCAAACCTACAAACCTGCCACCAGTATCAAAAGGGCAGAAAACCCCTGCACAGGAGGAGAGCCAGAAGCTCCCCGAAACAACCCACAGAGGCTAATGCTAACAAAAGTAGGACCTTTGAAAAACAATCTTGAACAGAAGGGGCTACGACAAACTGAGGAGAGGAAAGATAAGAGAGCACCGGCCTGACCAAGGACAAGGACAGCTCAGGCAGCACATGAGGAGGCTGGAGGTGAAACAAAGCTCGAGAAAGCGTATGGAACGGTGCGAATGTGATGTATACCCCAAACGCAAGCTGGAGCGGCACCGCCAGCACCACACGATACGAGGTGACAGAAAGAAGCATCAAATAACGGTCCTGAAAAACCAATACAAGACAATATGATGCGAAAGAGAAGACAACCTACGAAGAGCAAAAAAAAAGTGAATAGAAATGCCAGGAAACTTCATACTGTCGCCGACACGAAACTCGCAGGTGGAACACCATCAACAAAGCTACCTGATCACCATGGAGATGGTGATACACCCGCGTCAAAAGACCAGACGCGAAGAGCCGAGGAGAAGGCCAAACAAGCCATGTACCATACCGGTCTGACCTGCCGAAAAAGGTGGAGCCGTGGGAAACACCCTGGGTTTGGACACCGATCAAGCAGTGTCTGAAAACAAAACTGGGCTGGCCACCAAGGGGCCACGAGGACTACTCTCCTAGGTAAAGACTCCAACTGAGCCAGAACCCGAAGCAACGTGGCCACCAAGGGGCCACGAGGACTACTCTCCTAGGTAAAGACTCCAACTGAGCCAGAACCCGAAGCAACAGTTGGACCTGGGAAAGAGGTACAGGTAACTCCACCTCGTCCAGTCCTGCCAAAAGGCATCCACCGTGAACGTCTCGCAGGCGGGGAAGGGCGCCACATAGAATGGGAGATGCCAAGACCACGCCGACGTGAAGATGTCCATGTCCAGGAGTACATCCGTTCGGCAGAGCCAACGAAATGAGTCGGCGACGACTGGCCAATCGGTGAACAGAAGACTCTCCCCGGACATGAAATGCACGGAGAGCCAAACCCTGAGAATCCAGCAGACAAGCCACTCAAAGGGACCAACCCCAAAGGGGCAAGGACCGAAGAGAACCCCCATGGTTCCAGCAATGAACCCTCCCCGGACTATCGGCGCGGCAGTAAAGTGTGATGTTTGCTTGTTTGCTTGTTTCCTTGGGATTGTAGGGAGTTTCTACCTCTCTGTTCAGCTTTTTGTTTTAGTTTTTACCATGTGGGGTTTGTTTTGTCATGCCTACCTTTCTGGGTGCCTGACCCCGGTCAATGGCTGATAAGGAAAACCCCAACCACAAGGGGGTTTTCAAGGGCCATTGCTCCCTGAAACCTCTCTGAAGGGGCCAGGTTCTGGCGCTGGTCCCTGGTAGGTCTGAACTCCTTAGCTAATGTCCCGGTCTAATATAACATACATTAGCCCGATAAGTTCCAGGGAGCCTCCGGGGCTCACCCAGAAAATGGAGTTTCATTACATTCAACGCTGTTTTTTTTTTGTTATGCTCCTGTCGGTGACAATGGCCAAATAGCCCTTAGCAACACAATGCATAAGGGTTATGCACCAGGTAGCTACTGAGAAACTTCCAACAAATGACTTTTATATGTAAAATTTCTACTGAAGAAAAAATATATTGTACTGTATATCACAATTATTAAGTTTATCAAATACTGTTTAGTACAGTTTAGTATTAGTAATTAGGTTAGTTCATATCTTGTGTGTGATATTGCTGTTAACTTTAATGTTAAACTTTTTCTAATTGTTCAACTTGTGTTTTTACATAGTTGGTTTGCTGTCACTTTGCTTCATGTTCATAATATTGAGCGAAATGTATCTGTGAATGTCTTCGCACCAATGGTTCCTGTGCCAAATGCTGATATTCAACCTTCTCAATCTAACGAAGAAACTCTTATTCTGGTATGTATTTTATAAAAAAATTACAATTGTACATTTGTGAGTGTATGATTTCAATCAACAGTTTTGTTTCAGTAAAGATCTGTGCATTATTTTGTATATAAATTGCTGTGTATACAGGTATAGCCCACAATATTGGAGGGAAGGAAAAAGTGGAATTCAATAGTTTATATTACATGTACAGTATACTATATATGTATCTACAAATTTTCAGACAAACAGACATTGGATCCAGTAAAATAACCCGTGTGTTGGCTTGCGTCTACAGTATAAGTTTGTTTATTCATGTGCTCCCCTATCATTGCCTACTTATCACTGTCTTTAAGGTAGCGAGATCTGTTTCTGTGACTCCACTAATAAAACTTTACACATTTGTCATATTTTCCGTGGGGAGCCCTGTCGACTCCCTGAAGCTATCTGAACTGATATGTGCTATATTAGTTTGGGGTCATCAGTCACAGGAGTTCTTATGCCTACCAGGAACCATGAGTCATAACCTAGTCACCTCAGAGGTGCAGGGAGCAATGGCCTATGAGCACCTTTCATTTAACGTATAATTGCCATTGACCGGGAAAGGACCCGGAAAGGTAGGAGAATCAAAATAGACCACTGTCTGGTTAACCCATGTAATCTACATCCCATAAGATCAAAATAGCTCCTCTTGAAAGAAACCAAACAAGCAACCCTTCATATGACTAGAACTTCCACTCGTTAGCGATAACCCCTCCCCAAAAGGGAGAAGAAGGGAGCCCACCACTCCAGTTCTTGAACAGATATGCTGATGGTCACCTCTGGCCTCAAGGTCTTATTCTGGATTTTGCCTTGTGTAGCTGTATCAGCAGTGTGCTTGGGGTGTTGGCCAGGTGTCTTCCTGTATACAGAGCTGCATGTGCCTAGGGTGAACTTCTCTCTGTTAGTACTGTCCTTGCGTTTCAGGGTTATCTTCCCCTGGGATGTTCAGGAATCACTCCCCGTTAGAGGACTTCATTAACTGAGATAGTCTTTACCCTTGAGGTATGTCAGGGGTCTTGGGCCATCCGTCTTGCTCTGGGTGAGGAAAATTTATTGGCTGGGTGGGGCACACTGTGGCTGGCGCAGCCTGCCTTGCTACACTGAAGTGGCCAATGCTTTTCTCTGGTTGCCAGTTTGCTTGTTGTGTTTCTTTGGGGCTTTTAATTTCCATTTCTTGTTTTTTTTTTTTTTTGGACGTATGGACTCCTGGCCATGGACGTCTTCGAGTTGGCGTGGTCTAGGCATCGCCCCTTTTTTATGTGGTGCCCTTACTCGCCTGCGAGGCATTCACGGTGGATGCTTTTCGGCAGGACTGGTCGAGGTGGGGGTACCTGTTCCTCTTCTCCCGGTCCAGCTGTTGCTTCGGGTTCTGGCTCAATTGGAGCCAATTCCCACAAGAGTAGTCCTTATGGTCCCTTGGTGGCCGGCCCAGCTTTATTTTCAGACGCTGCTTGATAGGTGTCCAAACCCGGGGCATTTTTCCCGCGGCTCCACCTCTTTCGGCAGGTCGGACCGGTCCTGTACGTGACTGGTTCGGCCTTCTCCTCGGCTCTTTGCATCTGGTATTTTGACACAGGTATCACCATCTCTGTGGTGATCAGGTGACTTTGTTGATGGTGTCCCACCTACGAGCTTCGTCTCGGCGACAGTATGACGTTCCTGGTGTTTCTATTCACTTTTTCTTGCACTTCGTAGGTTGTCTTCTCTTTCGCATCGGGTTGTCCTGTCCTTCTTGGGTTTTTCTGGACTACAGTTTTGATGTTTCTTACTGTCGCCTCGTTTTGTGTGGCGCTGGCTGAGCCGCTCCGGCTTGCATTCGGGGTGGACGTCACATCTGCCCCGTTTCATATGCTTTCTCGTGTTTTGTTACACCTACGGCCTGCTCATGTGTCGCCTGAGCCATCCTGGTCCTTGATCAGGGTGCCTTCTTATCTTTTCCTCAGTTTGTGGTAGCCCCTTCGGTTCAGGTTTCTGCTCTTTGGTACTGGTGGTAGGTTTGTATGTTTGCAGCCTTTCTCTGTCCTTCTGGCTATGGTCGAGACGGCCGCTTTCTGGAGGGGTTCTTGGGTAATTGATGCTTGATTGGTTCAGCAGGAGGTGCGTCCTGTATTGCCCAGTTGCGCTTTTTTGCCGTTACCTGCGCACCGTGTCTGGGGATGTGATTTAGGTTGATCCGGTTACCCTCGTTCCCTGTTTCAGGGCTCGGGTCTCCCAGGTCGTCCACAGAGTTTTTAAGTCTTCCAGCCTGCGGTCTGTCCTTGCGCCCATGCTGTTCGGACGTTTGCAGCTTTTGCTGCTGTGTTGGTGACGTCTAGGGCTCATTTCGGGCGCAGGGATTTGAGGGTCGTACAGGTTCTTGGCCGCCCATTCTTTATGCACGTCTGCTCTTCTGCGTTCTTGTTGCCTTGGGTAGCAGGTTGCAGCCTGTTGTCTTGGCTTCACGTTGCGGAGTTTGTGGCGGCCGCCTTCCGAGTCAGCCCTTTCTTTTCCTTCTCTTTGGGTATGAAGCTCCAGGGAGCTGCAGGGGCTCCCCACAGAAAACCGAGGTTGAATGTAATGAAACGCCATTTTCAGGGTGACCTCCGGAGGCTCCCTGGCTCCCTCCGACCGGTCGGCAGTTTTTTCGCATTGGTTGAAGCTTAGCTTCCGAACTGATGCTAGGCAGCCGGCACGGTAGGTCCAGGGCTCCTCCCTCCCCCTCTCGGGGCGGGGAGGGCTGCGCAGACGATCGGCGCGGCAGTAAAGTGTGATGTTTGCTTGTTTGCTTGTTTCTTTGGGATTGTAGGGAGTTTCTACCTCTCTGTTTGGTTTTTTGTTTTAGTTTTTCACCATGTGGGGTTTGTTTTGTTATGCCTACCTTTCTGGGTGCAAACCCCGGTCGATGGCAGATAAGGAAAACCCCAACCACAAGGGGGTTTTCAAGGGCCATTGCTCCCTGAAACCTCTCTGAAGGGGCCAGGTTCTGGCGCTGGTCCCTGGTAGGTCTGAACTCCTTAGCTAATGTCCCAGTCTAATATAACATACATTAGCCCGATAAGCTCCAGGGAGCCTCCAGGGCTCACCCAGAAAATGGCGTTTCATTACACTCAACGCTGGTTTTTTAGGCGATGCTGCAGTCACAAACTAAACAGCAATGCTGTTAGCTCGTGCTGCGTGTGTCAGCCTTAGTTGCTCACTCAGTACTGAGGCTCTCACACCCGGGGAATGTTACCCACGATTTTTTTTTTAAATGGCGTCTGTTTACAAGAGCCCCGAGGAAGCTGACGTGAACCCCCGTGTAGCCATGGGTGTTTTGAATGCTACGCTATACCTATGAACACCCTGAGGCACATTACTCACCACCCATTGAGTACCTCAAGGTGTGTTGCGCAGTGCAGTGGTTAAACTGCATAAATTGTATATATATAATATGAGTAAATGTTGCTGAACTGCACACATTGTATTCTGTATACTATATAGAATTGAGGGTACTGTGCATGATTTAAATGTCCAGTGGATACACAGGGTTTATATCAGCTTCCTCATGGCTTTAGTAAACAGACACCATTTAAAAAAAAAGCATGGGGTAACATTCCCAAATGTGAGAGCCTCAGTACTGAGTAACCAAGGCTGGTGTATGGAGCATGAGCTAACAGCACTGCTGTTTAGCTTGTGATCCTAGTATTGCCTAAAAATGTCAAAATATATATATGTAATTGCTTTTATTTAACGATGATAGTATTACAGAAGACCTGTGACTGTGATAAAAATGACCAGGATTCTGATAATAGCAGGATTATGGTGATAATTAGCACTGTGTGTAGTATGGTTATTCAACACAAACTCTACATTGTGTAAACTAATAAGTGAAACAACAAACAAAAATATCCAAGATGAACATGGGAAATTGAAATTGAAATACAGTAAGTTTATTGAGGTATAAATATACACAAAGGGATGAGGTAGCTCAAGGTATTCTCACCCAGTATGAACATGTGAGTTTTCTTCTCCCACAATAATTTGCCAGTTCTCTTCCTTATGGCATCGAATGACACAATGATACCATCACCCAATTTCCTCCAACTATATGAAACCAGAAAATATGAACATCCTTCCTTTTTATACCATTTCCTAGTTGCATTCAAATGTGTCATTGCATAAAATTTGTGTTTTAGCATGTACAGGTGAGGTGACAATTTTGATGATAAAAGGTTATTGAGGGTTAACAGTCTTATTTGTATTGGAAGATATTTCAGCCTAGAGATACTGCCATCAATTACCATCTCATAATAAAATAATATCTGTTTCATAATTCTGGAATACATTTTGTTGTATGCCTTTGAAATGTTTATACAGTATTTATTTAATTCCTTTCTTTAGGTGTGAGTAATGTGCCTTAGTTGCACATATCCATTTACATCATATGCAGTGGGTGAATGTGTATGCACCTGTGGAATTTATATGCAATTAAAAATTATATTTCTGGGAGGCCTCCTTGGTAGCTCCTCATAACTTGCTTGCACTCTGGTGAAGCCAAATCTTGAGAAGTGCACCAGGCCTTTAAGACCTGGTGCACTTTTGATAGGGGATAGACTCACTTACCAGAAGACACAGCAAAAATCTGTGTCTATGAGGCAAGAGGAGCTTTGGAATTAGAAACCAACCCGAAGCTAAGAAACACCACCAAAAAGATAGGCAAAACAAAATAAATTACAGTACAGTAGTTTAATTTTAAAGAACGAAGAGGCAACCAAGGTAAACTATCTTTGTTACAGCCGAATAAACCTACCACCACCAGCCCAACTCACCTGTGGTCACGACCAACCAACTACCTGATTTACTCACCTGGTAAAAATAGAGGGCATTTTCCTTTGAAATCTTCCTGGTTGCTCTTATATCAGCAAAGTTGTGTGTTGGCAATCCCTTGAACAGGAGTTCTGCATTCCAGGGTTTCCTTTCCTTGAAGCCAGCTTACATTTTCCTTGTTCCAGCAAAATTGTCTCGGCTCAAAGTAGTGCACGAAACTTGCTAACCATAGGAAGAGAGGGTGTTATACAGTTAGCTATGTGCTTGTGTATGATTAGTGCCTGGTCATGGTATCTTTTCAGCCTTATGAACAACTGTTTCAGCTGTGAATAATAGTTCTGGGTCACTAGTGACCCAGCACCATGCTCTTCTACCTTTGCACCCTGTAGCTGAGATGCCACAGAGTTATTAGCATATGCTCTGGTCTGGCGGGCGGAGGAGTTTATCTCGTCTGCTCCAGTCACAGTGTGGTGGAGGTTTTGAGATGCCTGGGTATAATGTCCCAAGGTTTTCAGTGGATTTAGTCTCCCCCCCCCCCCCTCTGGTATCTCAGGGTCCTTCTTTGCCATCTACTTCTTAAATGCAGCATGTGACTTGTTGGACAAACTTGTGCTTGCAGTGATCCCATCCCACCCTTCTCCCATGTCCCTAAGTGAGATTCCCATGGGTATCTCACTTCTACTATCTCAATAGTAGAAGTCTCAAATCACAAGAAGTCACTATCTCAAATGAACACTCCACTATCCCTCGTGGAGTGTTCATTTGATGCATCACGCTTTTGTGCTGGGTAATGTGCTGTGCTGTGTGTAATGAAGTAAGGGCAAGGAGGTAGAATAGCTTATTGCCAGAGATCGGGTGCATGGGGGAATTGTGTAAAATCCTGGTTTCTGTCTCGGAGAGATTGCAGAATCCGTGGTAGGTAAAGTTGAACTCCCAGTTGCAATTCTTCTACCATGTTGTAGCTCAATCGATTAAGGCGTGTCTGGGATCTTCTTGGACATAGGTTTGAACCCTCATCACAGCCCTTGTGGATTTGTTTATTTGATGCATCACGCTATTGTAATTTCTGTGTGTAGCATTAAAACATTTGTGACACTTCTTAATGCCCCTGTACCCTTAACCCTGCTCTCCTACCATCAACTTCTATTAGTAAACCCGCATCACCATTTCTCTTGCTACTACAGTACTGTAATCTCATGTTCCCTCAAAAAAGCCAGCGTTGAATGTAATGAAACGCCATTTTCTGTGTGAGCCCCGGAGGCTCCCTGGAGCTTATCGGGCTAATGTATGTTATATTAGACCAGGACATTAGCTAAGGAGTTCAGACCTACCAGGGACCAGCGCCAGAACCTGGCCCTTTCAGAGAGTTTTCTGGGAGCAATGGCCCTGGAAAACTCCTTTGTGGTTGGGGTTTTCCTTATCTGCCATCGACCGGGGTTAGGCACCCAGAAAGGTAGGCATAACAAAACAAACCCCACATGGTAAAAAACTAAAACAAAAAACCGAACAGAGGTAGAAACTCCCTACAATCCCAAGGAAACAAGCAAACAAGCAAACATCACACATTACTACCGCGCCGATTGTCCGCGCAGCCCTCTCCGCCCCGAGAGGGGGAGGGGGGAGCCCCGGACCTACCACGCCGGCTGCCAAGCTTCAGTTCGGAAGCTAAGCTTCAACCAACACAAAAAAATGCCGACCGGTGGGAGGGAGGGTTGCCAGGGAGCCTCCGGGGCTCACCCAGAAAATGGTGTTTCATTACATTTAATGCTGGTTTTCTGTGGGGAGCCCCTACGGCTCCCTGGAGCTTCATACCCAAAGAGAAGGAAAAGAAAGGGCTAACCCGGGAGGCGGCCACCACAAACTCTGCAACACAAAGCTGAGATAATTGGTCGTAACCTGCGACCCAAGGCAACAAGAACACACATGGCAGCCAGCATGGCAGCCAGCGTGGTAGGTCCAGGGCTCCCCCCTTCCCCTCTCGGGGCGGGGAGGGCTGCGCGGACAATCGGTGCGGCAGTAAAGTGTGATGTTTCTTTGTTTGCTTGTTTGCTTGTTTCCTTATGATTGTAGGGAGTTTCTACCTCTCTGTTCGGTTTTTTGTTTTAGTTTTTTACCATGTGGGGTTTGTTTTGTTATGCCTACCTTTCTGGGTGCCTAACCCCAGTCAATGGCAGATAAGGAAAACCCCAACTACAAAGGGGTTTTCCAGAGCCATTGCTCTCTGAAACCTCTCTGAAGGGGCCAGGTTCTGACGCTGGTCCCTGGTAGGTCTGAACTCCTTAGCTAATGTCCCGGTCTAATATAACATACATTAGCCCGATAAGCTCCAGGGAGCCGTAGGGGCTCCCCACAGAAAAGCCAGAATTCCCTGCCAAGGTCTTAAGGGGCCTGACAGCTGAGTGGACAGTGCTCTGGATTCATAGTCCTGAGGTTCCAGGTTCGATCCCCAGTGGAGACGGAAACAAATGGGCAGAGTTTCCTTTGCCCTGATGTATTTTTTCACCTAGCAGTAAATAGGTACCTGGGAGTTAGACAGCTGCTATGGGCTGCTTCTTGGGGGTGTGTAACAAAAAAAAGGAGGCCTGGTCGAGGACCAGGTCGATGGGACGCAAAGCCCTGAAATCATTTCAAGATAACCTCAAGAAGGTGCTGTTGGGAATGAGCTATAGGAATCAAGCATGGAATCTAATGAAACACCCTTATCCAGCAAGCCAGCAGTAGCTTCTTGTTCCTGCTCTTCTTCTTCCTCGTGGAGTGTTGCGGTCAGTTTTGACAGCTGTTGAGTGAGGTTTGTGGCTGGCTGGGATCCCAGGTTACCTAGTGATAGGGTGCATCAAAGGTAGTTGTTCCGCTGTACCAATAACCATTTGCCTTCTTTGTTTTTCAGAAATTATTTTTTTCAGGGAGTAGTTTGTTTGCTTTGACTGTCTTTCTCATAGGGTTTCTTCTTTGTTTTCTGTTGATCTTTGAATCCCAAGCTTCCCTCACCTCACAGTGCCAGATCTGATCCAGTCTACCAGTAGGTTTGCTTGGGTTTCATTTTGATGCTTGGCTTCACCAGAGAGGAAGTTACAAAGAGCTACTGAGGGCCCAGCAGAAAATTAAAACTTCAGTACATTTACTGATTGATTTTTCCTTAGGTATCAGATTCCTGGTGGGATATTGTGCAAGGTGCAGACAACCGCTTTGGGAATGGCCTCACAGCTTCCATACTCTCTCTGCAGGAATCTTATCTCAGTAAACTCAGTGGAGATGCATCTCCTTGAGTTTAAAATATATAATTTAATTATAGTTTTACATTGTGATTTTAATCTGTAAATATATGCTAGTACAAGTGCTAAAATTGGCATCTAAGTAAACATTAAACCCATTTATATACACAAAAATACTAAAAATCAAAACATTTACAGTACAATATACAGTATTAGGAATGATGTTGCATTCAAATACTTGTAATAAAATATGAAAATGCATTGTATTATTTTTGTCCTATTCTTGCATGTTCAATGTATTTTTGGAGGCATAATTAACAGACCAGTTAGCCACAATCACTATTCTCTTCTATGACCCTAATGTCTTACCCCTCTCTTGGAAGCTTCCCATCAGATGATGATCAGAGCAGATGCTTCTACATGTGGTTACTATCATCACACAATCCTTTCACACTTTCAAGCACTCTGATCCCATCACTTTACCTTATGTTTTATATATTATTACAGTGTTTCCTTCAAAGATACTAGTTGTCCGTTTCTACCATGTGATTCCCCTTAAACCACCCTTCTCATTAAGCATTCTCAAACATTCTTCTAACTTGTTCATACAACCTCAAACATTCTACTGATTTGTTCATACAACCTCAAACATTCTACTAACTTGTTCATACAACCTCAAACATTCTACTAACTTGTTCATACAACCTCAAACATTCTACTGATTTGTTCATACAACCTCAAACATTCTACTAACTTGTTCATACAACCTCAAACATTCTACTAACTTGATCATACAACCTCAAACATTCTACTAACTTGATCATACAACCTCAAACATTCTACTAACTTGATCATACAACCTCAAACATTCTACTAACTTGTTCATACAACCTCAAACATTCTACTGATTTGTTCATACAACCTCAAACATTCTACTAACTTGTTCATACAACCTCAAACATTCTACTAACTTGTTCATACAACCTCAAACATTCTACTGATTTGTTCATACAACCTCAAACATTCTACTAACTTGTTCATACAACCTCAAACATTCTACTAACTTGATCATACAACCTCAAACATTCTACTAACTTGATCATACAACCTCAAACATTCTACTAACTTGATCATACAACCTCAAACATTCTACTAACTTGTTCATACAACCTCAAACATTCTACTAATGTTTTCATACAACCTTAGTGTGCTGTACTTCATTCACTTTACATTTCATTCCCTTACCTTTTCACTCATACTGCATCCCTCATATACTTCCTCATTGCTAAGACCATTCCATATACTTACACAAACTGCTTCTCCTTAAAAATAATATCCACTGCTTGTACATTTCAGCATCCTCCCCCTTTCTATACCAAATTTCCATGTATCAGGGCTGGGAGTAGTATATTATACAGTCAGTGCCTTCTCAACTACCAAACTAACATTCCTTCCTCTTATTTTACTATTCACCTCTCCTACCACTCTTCTCCCACTCATTAGCCACATTCTTATTTCACCTTTCATACAGTATTCCCATTTTTATCTAACTTGCCTCCAAATAGAGTATTTAAAACTTGCTACCCCTTAACAGTATTCAATTCCCCATTTTTATCCTGTTGTTCATATCACTATCTTGCCAATCTATAGAGCCACAATAAAAACCACAATGTTCAATTCCATTCTCACATGCACTATACCTAGCCTTACTTTTTTCCTACATTGACCAACTTTCATCTCTAGTACACACTATCACTCTCATTACAATCTTTTGCAATTCTTCCTCACTCTCAGCCATTAAAATTTCAGCTTATCCTCCCATAATGATAGTACAGTACATACTTATTTCAACTGTTTGGTAAAATATACAAAAATGTATTGTTGTAGTTTAGTTTAGTTCATTTATTATGCACCCCATACCCATATTGTGGGCAGTAATGGAAAGGGTTACAGAGGTACATAATGGGCTCAGGGAATGAACTCCACAATTCATTTAGCTAAGCAAGTTAGAATCTTGATGAGCTAGTTACAAAATTCAATGCACATCGTCACATCAACAATGGGCTCAAGACCGACAACAAGTATAGTTTCCAAATTCAGCAACTGACATATGTGAAGAGCTAGTGTCACAATTAATATGTTTATCCTGCACACCGCCACCCATCCAGTGGGCAGTGGTGGATAGGTTACAATCACTCAGTTACTACCTACAGTTAGCAAACTGGGAATATTTTGCCAGAACTTCTGGCAGCATATCATTTTGAATTAAATATTTACACATCTCTTGAACATTTGTTATAGAATTGTCTTCAAATTCATGTATCTTTTTGCACTCCATCACATAGTGACAGAGGGTGTGTGAATAATTTTGTTGACACAGTTTACATTTGGTCAGGTCTACACCAGCAGATAATGAAAATTTCCAGAGATACTGTACTTGTAACTAAATAAATAAATAAATAAATAAATAAATGTTTATTCAGGTAAGGTACATACATACAAGAGGCTTTACAAAAATAGATAGATTTATAGATAGAGCTAGTACATACAATGCCTAAAGCCACTATTACGCAAAGCGTTTCGAGCAGGAAAAACAGTACATAAACACTAAAACTTAATACTAATTGAGATTAAAGTATAAAATGTGTTGAGAACAATTAAAAATAAAAATAAAAAATGGGGGGAACATGGCAGAAAAAGTAGCACAAATACAATTAGGTCGACAAACAGCGTTGTTTAAAAAAACAGACATGGGTTGACAATATAGGGACAAGGTAGGTTACAGGGAATTTATTAGGTAGTGCTTAGTTTTTATCTTAAACTGGATGAGAGAGGTAAAGTCTTTAACATGATTGGGAAGGTCATTCCACATTCTGGGTCCCTTGATTTGTAGAGCATTTCTAGTTTGATTAAGTCGTACTCTTGGAATATCAAAACTGTATTTGTTTCTGGTGTAGTGCTCATGGGTTCTGTTACAACCTTCAATAAAGCTTTTGAGGTCAGGATTGGCATTACAGTTCAGCATTTTATATATGTATAACACACATGAGAGAATGTGCAGTGACTTAATATCTAACATATTCAGAGATTTGAGTAGGGGTACCGAGTGATGTCTGGGGCCAGAGTTGGATATTGTCTTAATAGCAGCTTTGTGTTGAGTAATTAGAGGATGCAAATGATTTTGGGTAGTAGAACCCCAAGCACAAATTCCATAATTGAGATATGGATAATTGAGGGAGTAATAGAGCGTCACCAGGGTAGGGCGAGGTACATAATATCTGATCTTAGAAAGAATGCCAACAGTTTTTGAAACTTTTTTATATATATTTAGAATGTATCCCTGGAAATTCAGCTTGTGGTCAATGAGAACGCCAAGGAATTTGCCATCTATTTTGTCACAAATTTGGGTATTGTTTATCCTGAGGTTTATTTGATTACAGGATTTATTGCCAAACAGAATATAGAAAGTTTTGTCAATGTTAAGGGTGAGTTTGTTGGCAGTTAGCCAAAGATGGACTTTATTTAGCTCAGTATTCACTGAGGCATTTAGAGCAAGGGGGTCAGGATTGGAGAAAATGAAAGTTGTGTCGTCAGCAAATAGAATTGGTTTGAGGTGTTGGGAGGCATTTGGAAGGTCATTAATGTAGATGAGAAAGAGGAGAGAGCCAAGTATGCTGCCCTGAGGAACACCAATGTTGATGGATAGGGTGGGAGAAATTGAATTATTCACAGAAACATACTGGAGTTAGTTAGGTGTTAAAACTTGTTCAAACGTTGTACATGTATATCCAAAAGGCTAAGAGGATTCAACAATTGACACAGACGGGAAATTTAACAGGAGTTTATTGAGACCAAAATTATGCTAATCACCACTTATAAATCCTACTCTAACACTGGCCAAGAGTTAAGAAATTTAGGCATGGAACAAAACCTCAGAGATTACACACATTACCTTAAGACCTCTGTCTCTCCATCCGGTGGATTCACTCTGTCACTCCCTGCTGTGCGATGTTCTCCACAGCCCTCTCTCGACCCCGGTGTTCCGCACTCTGTCAAACTAAGTCTCTACAGGACCTCTATATACAACCCCAACAGGGGGGGAGGGGAGATTTGCTGTTGATACCTACACCAAAAATGCAAGGGGTCGGGCCACACGTGCACAAACACTTAATAATTTTCATTAAACTTGTTTGACATTCACCATACACTGTTCAAGAGAGGAATTATTAATTATGTGTGTGACTGACCTTTGACCTGGCTAAAAGGGGGGAGATCCATGGATGTTTACACATAAGAGTCTGGGGTCTAATTCCATTGCAATGTTTGACAAGAGTATCATGAAATATTACATACTTGAAACTAGCTGACTAAGACTAACCCAGGAATTTTTTAATCAATATACAAGATAATACGGAGGTCATCTGAGCTGACCTCTTGGAGAAGGCTTCCCTGGGTGTGAACTCTAAGGGGGTGGGGGGTCACACGTGTTACAGTGGACTTATGTGGAATGAGGGGTAATGGTCTGTGGTCCTATCAATGATTATCCCTGAAGTAAGTGGAGAGGTTATGTTAGTCCAGATGTGGTCAAGAGCATAAGCAGTGCTATCAGTCATTCTAGTAGGTCTAGTGATTAAGGGTATTAGGAAGCAGGAATTCATACAGTTGAGGAAACTAGCTGCAGGAGTGTTATCAGGGTTACAGAGGTCACTATTAAAGTCCCCTGAAATAATTAAATGTTTTTTGTTCATTCTGTTATCTAGTACTGTATTAGATTTCTAAGGTTAGAGTTAAATTCAGACACATAAGTCTTAGGAATTCTATAGACTGCTCCAACAGTCATAACAGTCTCGGCACCCTTGATTCTGAAACGAAGATATACTCTCCACAAGAGTCTCTAGTTCTAATTACTTTTAAGCATGTCAGTTCTTGGTGGTAGTAAAGAGCAGTACCACCACACCTCTGAATTGGTCGACAGTTGTGAATTGCTGAGTAGTTTGGAATGGTAAAGAGTTGAGTAGCATCCTCTTTTAACCACGTTTCAGTAAGTATAAGAAAAGAGAATTTGTTGTCAACAGTTTGAATGAAGATAACATGATCAAAGTGTTTGCTTAGAGATCTTACATTCAAGTTAATTACATGGACATTGTGATTATGTGTTAATACATTGTTTACATCTTGTGCTGTATAATATCTGCAATTTTGATCATTAAAGTAATGATTGTCACAGATAGTAGATAAGATGTTTAGTTCTGGGTCTATACTCGTTTGCATATGAGGGCTGGTTGTAAGAAAAAAAGGCAAAAGAGTATAACTCGTACCATATTCGTTGTTATGAGTTCCATACTTAAAGTATTCATGTCCTTTTCGCTCATAGAACACCGAACCCTACACGCTCTGTGATATATTGCTTAATTAATAGAGATTCACAAATAAAGCTTATATTTGTATAAGTCAGGATGAGGATTTGGGATGGAGGGATGGGGTGTGGAAAGAATGGTGCCCAACCACTTGGACGGTCGGGGATTGAACGCCAACCTGCATGAAGCGAGACCGTCGCTCTACCGTCCAGGGGCCGGATTCAGGAAGGTACTTACGAAGGTTTTTCCTCTTAGCTAAGAATGTTTTCCCTCTTAGCGCCTTTGTGGCGGCTACGTCCGTATTCAAAGAGCTACCCTAAGTGGAAAAACCTTCGTAAGTTCATTCCGGGATTTAAGTGTGGTTTCGGCCACTCGTAGCTTTACGTAAACTGGATATAAGTCATTTTTTCTCTACTACATAACACTGGGATTGATTTATGATATTGGAACATGACCAAAATATTATAGCTGGTGAATCTAGTGAAGAGGAGTCCTTCGTGTTAGTTATATATGCATTCTCTGCTTGAAACTTGAAGTAAATATGTGTTTGATGATAGTAGAATTAGTTTTATAATAGCAAGATATTATACCAGTAGTTATTAAGTAAATAAACACTGGTGAACATGAAATATGAGAGAAGGTGATGAGCCCTGCCTGATGGGATCATTTACTATCACCAAATGCCCCTGTTCACCTAGTAGTAAGGGTGTACCTTAGCTATACATACCCATTTCTAATTTATTTAGTTTGGTTTTATTTTGAAATTAAATCTGGGTGAGACATAAAATAAAAATATGCTGCACAAATGATGTTAGGTAAGGAAAAGGGTAAAAATGTCACAAACTTTATTCATTGAATACTTAAAGCTATAATTATGACTATATAGATTATTAAAAAAGAGAGAGGGAAGTAGGGGTCCAAGACCTCTTCCTGTTATACAATTTGGGAGTGGAACAAGTAATTATCAAAAGAAGGCACCATGCTGGGAAGGCTATGTAGCAGTAAGGCAGTGAGGTGAGGCAGCTACTTATTTGAGAAATGCTTATTTTATTTACCTTATAAGCTGAGGCAACTTATTTTATTTGAGGAATACTCAGCTGATTCCTCTACATTTAGCATGCAACAAATTTGTGTCCAAGACCTCTTCCTGTTACACAATTTGGCTGTGTGTAACCAAACTAGAAGTGCTCTACAAATCAAGGGACCCAGAATGTGGAATGACTTCCTGAATCATGTCAAAGGCTGTACCTCTCTCAACCAGTTTAAGAGTTAAACCAAGTACTACCTAATTAACTCCATGTAACATAACTTACCTCCTAAATGTCAACCCATGTCTTGCTATTTTTTAAACAACGCTGTTCACGAACATGTGCAATTGCTGATTTATGCTATGTTAACCCCCCTTTTTGTATTTTTTATTCCTTCTTTCAACACAATTTATACCTAATCCCGATTACTATTAAGTTTTAGTCTGTGTTTTTTCCCCCACACCTTGCCCGAAATGCTATGAGTATTAGTAGCTTTAGGTATTGTATGTACTAGCTCTGTCTGTAAATCCAACATTATGTTTGTAAATCAACTGTATGTACTTTTCCTGAATAAAATGTATTTATTATTTATTTTTTAATCAGTAAGTATTAAAAGAAGGCACCAAGCTAGGAAGGCTATGTAGCACCGTTGTGTGTAACAATAAACCAAATTTTTTTTTAACAAATAATGCACCTGTATGGTAAAACAAATCCTGTCAGCTGTAAAAATATTGATGCAGTTATTTAAATGAAAAATATAATGAAAGAAATATTACTGGTTTATTTTTATCCTATCTTTTTGTACTGTAGAGTATATCCAAGGAAGTGAAAAATTGAGACATAATGCACAATTTAATGAATGATTAGCATGGATTAGCAGTTCAAAAGAAAAATGACTATTACATATCAACGTGAGATCTTAATGATCCATGGTCAACATGATTTAATAAGGATAATACAGTACTAAATTTGTAATAATACAAACTATAATTTAAGATCTTTATTACTGATTTTTTTTATTAAGAAGATTAGGTATATACAGCAATGTACTACTACCCTATTCTATATAGAATATTACATAGTGTAGATAAAAAACTAGCTATAAGTTTATCTAATACTCCCATCTCACAGGATGGTTAGACATACTGTACATGGAATCAATTTAGAAAATACCAGCCTCAATACAAAAAACAAATCAACTCTGACTAAACAACTCTAAGCAATTTTCACAAGAGGTAAGCACTGAATCATGGAAACATTATATTATAATTACTCTTACCAGTTTCTACAAGACTTCTCTCAAACAATGTATTTTTAAACATGTTTAGGTATACACAGCAATGTGCTGCTTCCCTATTCTGTATAAAGGACCACACAGTGTAGATCAAAAACCAGCTACAAGCTCATCCAACATCCTCACCTCACAGGATGGCCAGTCATACATGGAATTAGGAGAGAACAAAATACTTAATGCTGATCTATTAGCCTCCAGTGGCAAAATCTGGGTGCAGCACAAGAATATCTTCCAATATTCCTGAATGTATGAAGTAATTACAGAGCTCAAAATACCTCATACCATTTGGTATGAAGTCACTGATAACAGGACAATCACAGATATAGTGTTGGAGAGTATGTCCTCTCAAGTAGGACTGAAAACAGATGTTTTTTTCCACCAAGAGGGCTATAAACCCATGGAACCGCCTACCCGCTGAAGCCGTAAATGCCAAATTCCAGCTAAAAAATATTAAGACAATTGGCGGGCCCTTGAACAAGCCGCCGGCTTTCTGTCCTCTTCGAGGCCACTAGATAGTTAGTAGCCCTTGGGTAAATTCAGTAAATATATACAATAATTGTCAGCGCATCTTCCGAGCAACAAGGACAGCTACACAGTATCTCTTAGAATTACGTAGGTAAACAACAAATGTAACATATTTGTTTACTACAATGTCGGTGCTGCCTGTAGAAGTTGAAAAAACATAGTTTTACTTCGAAATATACTAATATACTAAGAAAATTCGACGTAAATAGGAGGCAGTAGAGCTCCGATAAGCCAGCACTAAATCTTCAATATGAAGAATGTTGCTGCTCTCTGATTGGCCAAACGAAACACAGTAGTGACCTCTATGGCACGCAGGTGAACCAACAAATTCCTTCCTAAGTGGACCTTATTGAATTGCACCTAAGCATCTTCTTAGGGCGCACTTAGGAACCTTCGTAGCAAACCCACTTACGAAGAAATACACAGAGCTTCCTGAATCTAGGTCCAGCCCAAGTGGTTGGGCTGGAGTGAGTGAATCCGGATGTTGGAGTCAATAGTAGCCTAACGCAGCACCAATGTTAAAACTGTGATGTCACAGTGATGACACATCACATACATTATAGCTAAAAACGCAAATAATTATCTTTAATATAATTTTCATTAAGTTTGTTTAAACAGTAGCGATGATGTAGCACGAAATAACGTAAGGGGGCAGGGGAATAAGGGGTCTAGCTGACAGCTGAGAAGACAGCGCTCGGGATTCGTATTCCTAAGGTTCCGGGTTCGATCCCCGGCGGAGGCGGCAACAAATGGGTAGTGTTTCTTTCACTCTGATGCTCCTGTTCACCTAGCAGTAAATATGTATCTGGGAGTTAAACAACTGCTACGGGCTGCTTCCTGGGGATGCGTGTGTGAAAATTAGGATTAAGGACTTTCCAGAAACGCTATGCGTGCTGTACAAGAATGTAAAGACTCTTGTATATATGAATAAATAAAAAAAAATAAAACTTACTTACTTAGTAATTTACTTACTTTACTTACTAAAAAAATAAAACATTTGGGCGTTCATAGATCCATAATGAGTGTGAATGCGGATTCGATGAGTCGCTCGAGAACGACGGAGCTCATAGTAAACACGTGAGCCCTCGTGCCGCCTCCAGTGATACCTGCTGGTCGTCAAACACCTACGAATTTTTTCATCAAAGTAAGTAACATTAAAAATACAGACCTTAAAAACCTCGAAGTTCAAAATCAACAGTAACTTTCATTTGGTTAGAGGTTCTATAATAATGTTCAATGTAGTAATATGGTATCTGTGCATGGGGTTCAAGTATTTTTCCGTACTCTTGTATAGTGGCACTACAGTAAGCAATATTCCTAGTGGAGTTTAATACTGTATGCCAGAAATGCTGTGTGTAATTAGTGCCTACATAAAATATACAAATATCATCTGCACCTACTAAGTAACCCCCTGTAATTGATCTTTTGAATATCTAATAAATAAAATATTGTTATTATATACTGTAATGTTTGCTGTTTGTTATTTAGAGGGATCTGTTCTATGGGGGTATGGATTTTCAAGGGTGCAAGGTACAGTAACATACACAGTACAAAAAAAAACACCTGACCTATAGACAATGTGTTTGTATAAAAGAAAGTTTATTTTGGCCTTTTCTTCATATAATATTTATTGATATCTGACAACATTGAAAATATTTTTCAGATTGCCTTTGTTTTCTTCCTTCAAATAATAGTGTTAAGTTGTACAGTAAAGTTCAATACTGTATTTTCTTAGTTTTTTCTGACTAAGACTTATGTTTTACAGAAGTCAGCATAGGCCTTACTGATGGTTATGAAGCCCAAGGACAAGATGAAGAAAAATACAAGGACCTTGATGCACAAGAATAAAAAAGCTGGAAAGAAAAGAAAAAATCTTTCAGAGATGAGTGTTGATGACATGTTTTCAATGATTCAAGAGGATGATGAGAATGGCTTGGTGAGTAATACCTGACGTATACCTGTTGATAATTCAGAGGATCAACATCCCCGTGGCCCGGTCTCTGACCAGACCTCCTGGTTGGTGGTCAACCAGGCTGCGAGCAGCCTGGTTGATCAATTATCCATTGAAAATCCTTGTCAAGTTCTCTGTTGACACTACCAGAAGTCTTCCAATTATGCCCCTAGTGTGTAGAGGGAGTGATGAAAAGTCTTGGGGTTTTGATGTTGATCGAGTCTCTCAGCGGGCCTATTGCACCTCTGCTTATCATTGTGGCTGTTTTGCACATCCTGCCATGCCTTCTGGTTTCATGTCATGTTATTTGTGTTTTCAGATTTAGAACCAGCCCGCCTAGTATTTTCCAAGTGTAAATTATTATGTATCTTTCCCACCTTTGCTCTAGGGAATACAGATTTAAGCGATCCCAGTAATTTATATGATTTATTGAATGGATTCTAGCAGTAAAAGCTCTTTGCATACTCTCCGGGTCAGCAGTATCTCCTGCTTTGAATGTGGCTGTTAGTGTGCAACAATATTTCACTCAAGATAGCACTAGTGTCTTGTATCATCGTTGGTTTGGCATCTCTTGTTTGAAATATTCTTGCTATCCAGCCTGTCATTTTTCTTGCAGTTGTGACAGCTACAATATTGTGTTTTTTAAAAGGAAGTTTTTTCAACATGATTACTTCTTAATTTTCTATGTTGCCTTTCCTTCAGTAGTGTGGATTGACTGCATTTTATGTGTGGTTTCCCTTTTTATATTTTTGCTTATTCCATAGTGCAGTAACCAGAACTTGTTATAATTAAACATAATATTTTCTGTGACCCATTGAAGAATCCATTATGATTAACATCATAAGTTTGTTGTGTCTATATTGTCTACTCTTATGAAAATCTTAGTGTCATCTGCAAAGTATTGTATCCTTTACAATTACAAGGATAGCTTGCATCCTTGTCTATGTCTTATATGAGGATGAGAAAATGTACCATATCAAGCACAGTATCCTGGGGGGACAGAGCTTTTCACAGAGGATGGTCCAGATTTTACTTTGTTGACTCTTACAGTCTGGGTTGTGATAATTAGGAAGTTAAAGATCCATCTCCTATTTTGCCAGTACTGTAATTCCTTTTGTGCCTGTTTTGTGTACAATAACGCCATGCACACATTTGTCGGAAACTTTTGCAAAATCTGTGTATATATTATAGGATATATATTATATCAGCAGTTTGCTTGTCTTCCATAGCATCTAAGGCCATGTCATAGTGGTCTGACAATTGTGAGAGGCAGGGGTGACCTGTCCTGAATATAATGTTGCCCAGGGTTATATAGATACTATGATTCCATATGTTTTGTAATCTTACTACTGTACTTAGCACTCTTTCAAAGATTTTTATGTCTGATGTTTGAACTATTGGTCTATAATTTTGTGCATTTGCTTTACAACCTGCTTTGTGATATATAATATGTATCATATAATATAGTCATACTGGTTTAGCACTTTTGCCTCATAATTACCATACCTTTTACTGAGCCAAAGCCTCTTGGTTGCTTCCTGAGCCAGAGAGCACAGTCCATCCATGCTATCATTTACAATAATAAGAACAAATAAAGAAACACAACTCTTGTAATTTATCCTTAGATTCGCAGGAACCAATTACTTACTGTATTGCTGTACAGTAAGATGTTGTATCAATGTATTGCTGTACAGTAAGATGTTGTATCACTGTATTGCTGTACAGTAAGATGTTGTATCACTGTATTGCTGTACAGTAAGATGTTGTATCACTAGATGTTGCCGTCAACATACTTTTCACCTAATGTGCCTCTTTGTTCTTCACCCAGCAAACATCATAAATGAGATACTGTACTGTATTGTAAATATGATAATGGTAGTGATGACTTTTTGTATGTTTTTCAGATGGATGATGATTCACCAGAAAGGACTGGAAAAAATAAAATGAAAGGGGTTAATTCCAAAAAGGTTAAAAAGAACCAAGAAAGTAAAAAAGGTAATTATACATTTTATATTGGTACACCCTGTCTGGAGCAGTTCTCCCAGTTTTTGAGTTGATTGGTAATAAACTTTGAAATGCATACTGTATTTGTTTAAGAGTATTTTTGGATGGATATGTTTTAGTTTTTCTTGTACTAATTTATTGACAATAGGATATTAATTTTACCCATGGATACATTCCTGAAGACATTGAATCGAATTGACCGTAAAATAATGTTAATGACCATATCAGAGAAAATTACTTGTATTCCATGACAATAAATTTTGTTACATAAAATAATAAAAATTTAGCATAAATGTAAAGAAACTTCCTTTTCTGGTAGGCCTCAGCCAATCCATCCTCCTGTTTAGATAGCACTTTTTGTAACTATGTGGACTGTCGTACACATATTGATGTAATGGACAATAAGATGGTAGAATTTGGTACTATTCACTTTACAGAGTTAGGGAAATATAAAGCTAAAAAACCAACCTGAAATATTCTTAGGCCTAGTATAGCACATATATATACTATATTAAGCCTCAGAGAGCATGTATTAGGCCTAGGATGGTTTGGCTAGCTTTATTAGCAACAAATACAAAACCATTTCCAGTTTGTCCAAATTCAGTAGTACCAAATTCTACTTTCTAAATGTCAATTACGTAAATATACGTTCGATGGTCCACATAAGTAGTTGGCATCCATCAGTCTCGGGAGACTGATTTTGACAGGTTGCGCTCTGGTTGTCGGTCTGGAGTGACCTCTCCAGGGCGTAAAGCCAGGGTAGGTTGATACGGAGGAGAAGCTGTTACCCAAGCAGGAGGTTCCCTCTCTCCACGGTGCTGAAAGTCTCCAATGGAAAGGCAAATGCCAATACGATTGGTTCCAGTTCCGTCACAGGAACTGTGAGCTCCGGAGATGACCTTTGAAGTTGGTGAAATAAGACACAGGGCCTCCAAACCTGGAGGACGCCGTGGTCGAGGCCGGAGAAGAACCACCCCAGCAAGGTCAAGAACGACCCCAGCCTCCTGAAGCAGAGCCTGGGTCGCACGAGCCCCAGGTGGTGGATGTCCCAGTCCCGCACTTACGGCTTCTAGACAGAGATCGTCACAGCCTTCTTTCACCCGAGGCTGGCTTCCTTCAAGACCAAGTAGGAGGAAGAGTGATAATTATTAAATACAGCAATTCTTATTATAATAATTATTATAATAATGATATAAATAGTTAATAATTATCACTCTTCCTTCTACTTGGTCTTGAAGGACGCCGGCCTCGGGTTGGCTTATATTGCATATCTCCGATTCTCAAGCTCCCCATGCCTCATAGGGAAAGCCAGAGTCTGGTTTTATCTGCCAGTAGGTCAATATGGCTTCCAGAGGTTTCACCTGATCCTTAACACATAAACACCAGAAAGCTACTGAGGAAGTACATACACATAGGGACTATAAGTACTATCTAAACAGGAGGATGGGATTCCTCAGTAACTTTCTGGTGCTTCTATGTTAAGGATCAGGTGAAGCCTCTGCAAGCCATACTGACCTACTGGCAGCCAAGATCAGACTCTGGCTCTCCCTATGAAGCATGGGGGAGCGTGGGAATTAGAGATATTACCTAAATTGAGGAAAATCAACCAAAAAGCCAGATGAAACAAAGCAAACCGCACCATCCCCACACAATCCACAACACTCCCAACCTCCACACATAGCTCCCACCCTTGCACAGTACATATACACTGTGTACCTCTTGATGTACACTGTGTACCTCTTGATGTACACTGTGTACCTCTTGGTGTACACTGTGTACCTCTTGATGTACACTGTGTACCTCTTGATGTACACTGTGTACCTCTTGATGTACACTGTGTACCTCTTGATGTACACTGTGTACCTCTTGATGTACACTGTGTACCTCTTGATGTACACTGTGTACATCTTGATGTACACTGTGTACCTCTTGATGTAGAGAACCTTTTCTGCTTGAGTAATTTGTGCGTGAAGAAAGGTTGTTTGATGTAAAGTATTTTACATGTGATTACATCATTGTAATATCTTTGCAAATACATTATTATGATATTTGTTTTTGTTATTTACTAGATGTTGATGATGAAATGGATTTTGATGAGGGCGAAGATCTTTCTGGTGTTGGCAACATGACACGCAAAGAATATTTAGAAAAACTGAAGAAGAATGATCCAGAGTTTTATGCTGCAATGATGCAGTCAGCTGATGTTATGGGTCTTCAAAGCACAGATGAAGAGGATGAAAATGATGATGAGGAAGATCCTGAGAAAGGTGGTTCAGTATTTCAGCCTCCAGCAAAATTAGAGGTACAGTATATGTGTATACCTTCGTTTGCTTTGATGACCAAACCACACAATAGGAAATAGAGAAATGATGACTTTTCGGTCCATCCCAGACCATTATCAAGTCATATGTATCAAGTCGCACATACATCTTAAAATTAACACTTTGGCATGCCCGGCGGGCCACCCGCATCGCACCGGAAGGTAGGCTGAGCATTACTGGTGAGCACACAACCCAATGTTAAACGCTTACACTTAAAATATTTATATTTAATAATAAGAATAACCAAAAATCAAGGCTTGATGCATAGAGCGTCATCACCCCCACTGCGTGTATTATTTTAATGATGCCAAGGGCATCATCAGGATGCCAAAGTGTTAAATCTCGTTGAGTTAGGAGTAACATATAGTATTTAGTGCATGAGTGCATACATATGCCACTAAAATCTTTACATTATTTATTTATTCCTAAATGAATAATAAAATATGTTTACTCTGACAGATTGATAGCGATGAGTCTGATGCTGAAGAAGATGGACTTGAGAAACGAGGTAGTAATATTGTGACGGCTTCTATGGTTACTCAGTGGGAGAAAGATTTGAAAGGAAACAGGTATGTGTAGTGAATGCATAATTAGGTAAGCTTACTATATATATATAGAACTTATAATGAGCTGGTTTTATGACCATTAGTAATTACAGTGGTACCTCAGCTTACGAATTTAATCCGTTCCGTGATATGGTTCATAAGCCGAAAATTCATAAACTGAAGTGAATTTTCCCGTAAGAAATAATGTAAATTGAATTAATCCATTCCACACTCCCCAAAAAATTGACTTCAAAGTAAATTTTATACCTAATTCACCCAAATCTTTAGTACTAAAGTATGTGCAAGTTGTTGCTTACCTTTATTGGTGACTCTTGTTGGCATATGGAAGATGGTGAGGAGATGTGGAGGGAAGGAGGGGAGAAGAGGTGTTAGTGTTTGGAAGGGGAGTCTCCTTCCATTATAACATCAGGAGGTGATGACTTCTCTGGAGTATACTCTCTGGCATGTTTTGCCTGCATACCACTAAGACCTGCTTGTGTCTCACTGCTTGATTTTCTCACTAAAAATTTATCCATAGAGGGTTGTTTACCTTCTTTGTAACATTTGTCTGTAGTGAGGCATCACAGTGTCATTAAAAAGATTAATGCAATGCAGCATGCTCTGCGCGAGTCGTTTCAACAAAAGTTTGCATTTCTTCCCACAGTTTACACCACGTCCTAATTGTTGAGGAAGGGACATTCTGTACTGCCTCCTCCTCCCCTGAAGACATTTCCTCAGCTGCCTCTTGTCAATAACCCATGTACCATTTTCATGTTTACGACTGTTTTTCCTTTATGGTCATTCTCACATGTGTTTTCTTGGCTTGAACCTTATTACTGGCTTTCTTAGGAGCCATGGCGAGATATATAATAATAACTTTTATGTTCAAATACCAAAAAATCCGAAAAACACTGAAATTATTTACAAAGAATTCAGGTGCGATTGTCACTAGGCGGGAGGCACTGGTAAACTGAGGTGCGATCACTGTGCCACCACGTGCTAGGTCGGCCATATGCGTATCAACAAACTTCGTTTCCTGAGGCAAAGTTCGTAACCCGATTCGTATTTTACGAAGAAATTGGGCTCATAACCAGAAAAGTTTGTAAAGAGGGGCATTCGTAAACTGAGATGTCACTGTATTGGTAATACTTGCTTGTACGTATACTACTTTAATGGACAACTGTAAATATGTTGTTTAGAAATTTTTCCTGCAAATGAAATATTACAATGTGAAATGTTTATTTACAAGGCACATGGCAATCAATATACTGTACTTAAAAGAATAAACAATATTTTTTGTACAGATTTAAGTGGTCGAGATTTCATTATGAATTCATTGAAAATGTTTTCTGATATTTATTTAGCTCAACCCAGTTTAAAACTACATAAGTTTTTTATGCGATCTGGTAGTTCCTATAAATTTTTTTATAAAACCAGTAGTTTAGAACTACCAGTTTTTTATACATAACTCTTAGGCGTTGAGAAGAAGAAAGAAACTACAAGTCTCTTGTCATACCTTGAGGTTACCTTGAGGTGCTTCCGGGGCTTAGTGTCCCCGCGCCCGGTCATCGACCAGGCCTCCTGGTTGCTGGACTGATCAACCAGGCTGTTGGACGCGGCTGCTCGCAGCCTAACGTATGAGTCACAGCCTGGTTGATCAGGTCATGGTAATTCCAAAACAAAGCTACCCTTCAGCATTATAAAGGTTGGGTACAAAAATACAAGTTGATGAAAACAAAAGAAGATCAATGTCATAATATAGTCTCAACCCAAGTACAGTAATGCTAAATACTACTAAATAGCTTTCAATCCTAATAGCAATATATTGAGCTTGTGTAGTAGCAATGTCTGATTAACAGTCAAATGTTCTACTACTTGGATCTAGGAAGGCAGCTACATTATTGTAATTTTGTTGTGCTCAAAACCATTCAAAGCATTTTTGCAATATTTCATTGATATTTTCCCTGTTCCAACCATGGTTAAGACAGAAAAATGGAACCAACCATTCTTTGTTTTCATATCGAGTATACCAAAAGGTGATTGAAAAGGGTCGTGTGATATAATAGAAGATGGTCACAATAACAGTACTATTAGTTAGAAGTCACTTAAAAATGTACAGAGCATGATACGGTATTACCCACTTGATTATTGCATTAATTTACTTTTGCAAACGGTTTTATTTTCAGTCCTTTGAATACATTCTTGGAGGTGGAGCAAGCATTTTTGGCTGCTATTGAGAGCCTTGGAAGCAGAGAAAAAGATGCTGAAACAACTAGCAAGTATAAAGTTGAGGGACCTCAAAGTAAGTCCTTCAAACTTTTTTTTTTTTTTAAACGGCTTGCTCTTCCTTTTGATCATTATATTGTGATGTACTGTACTGTAATCGACTTTCAGCATTATGTTAAATCTCCATAAACATTGATTTAATTATGTTAAAAAACAAGACGATAGGAAATCTCGAAACCAGAGAAGCATTTATGAGCTATCGCGTTTGGATGGTTTCTTGGGTCGAGATTTAGTGTTGTATGACATTTTTAGTGCAAGTCATATAACACTTTTATTTTGTTTAAATTCCTCCACATCTATTTTGTCGATTCCTGTTACTATTTTATGTGTAATGATCATATCACCTCTTTCCCCCCCCCCCTTATCTTCTAGCCTTGTGTCCTCATGTAATTTCTGTTTTCTCTCTTCAGTTTTCAATGCCATAATACGGCTATGTTTGCGTAATGTCGCTCCAGCCCTAGCAGCCATTCTCAATCTCAAGTCTCCTAGTGATGACCCAACTAAAAGTAAGAGGTGGAGGAAGATGAGAAACTACATCAAGTCTTATCTTCGTCATCTTGTCACGGTATGAGCAAATATTGTTATATTTTCAGTAATGTCTGCAGGAAATATGTATTATCAGTAAATAGTAAGTGAAGTATTTTAGTACTGACCTTGAGTGAATCCCAAAAATAAATGTGTATTTTTTATATCATATATCTTAGCTGCTTGCACCAAGAAGCATTGTTGAGCCACTAGGTTATTATAGACTATGTGGGAAGACGATTGTGATTCATCACACAAAGAAATCACAGTAATTTGATGTATCAGTGAGAAAATCAGTAGGAGTTATGAGGAGGATTTGAACCTGCACACTGGGTACTCCCAAGCATGTGGTTTAAGGGGTGGTAAAACTTCTATACCACACCAGTGTATGTGGGAATGTGTAGAATTTTTATTTGGTGTCTGTGGATGCTTCAGGAACCCCAGAGGATTTAGTTGAATCCCAGGGTGCATTGCTTTTTAGCATATTGTGATCCACTGGTTAAAGGCATGTGTTTGGGAGTATCCAGCATGTCACATATGAGCCACATAATTTTGAGCATAGCAGTGTTCCACACATTGAACTATATAAATTCCACAAATTACACACTTGAATAATATTAGAGCAAAAAAAACTAGAAATACAGAGAAGAAAGAAATGAGACATTGAAATAATTGAGAAAAATGATATTCGTGGCAACTGCCGCCCCACAGGGTGGCAGGGTAAGTGTACTAGAGTGCCTCATCACTTGGCTCTCATAATTTTCTCAACTTCCCAGCTCCATCACGGCTAAAGTATGTCACATACAATATTTTATTTGGGCTTCCCGTGATCAGAGACTGCTTTTTAACAATATAAGAAGAGAAAATAATTTTTGTTAAATAATTTATTTTTGGCGCAACACAATGGTGGTGTCAACGACTGCAGCGCTGTGCAATGGTTAAGGAACAAGGAAATACTGTGAGCCGAATGACTTGAACAGAAAATATCATTCATTCATAGGTGTTTTTGCAGCATAAATTGATATAGTGTTCTGGTTCATATTTTTAAAATTAAATACAGTATCAGGGTCTGTATACTTATCCATGTACAGTATACAATAATGTTATCAATTTCTTTCCAGTTGACCGAGTCCGTTGCGGAATCTAGCATAGCAGAAATCATTCTAAGTCGAGGCATTTTACCTCTCCTTGGTTACTACTCGGGACACCCAAGCACGTGTAAATTTCTCCTTCGTAGACTTATTGTGTTGTGGTCTACCAGTGAGAAGAGAGTTAGAGTTTTAGCTTTCATTTGCATATACAGACTCACACGAACTCTCTCTCCACAATTCTTGGAGTGGGTGTTAAAGGTAAGAATTAAGAATTAATTTTTATAAATTCTTCTCTACCATATTGAGTTTTTGTGTGTGTAATTTTTTGTATTGATGCTGATTGATGAATTAATCCTTATTGCAAATACTCCTATTTGAAATTTGATTTTGTTTCTCTGGAATTTTTTTATATTATAATTAGTGTGTGAATGGACTCAGACCATCCACAGGTATTTATATTACAGTTATAAGATCATGATATTGGGAGGTGATCTGTGAAAGGATAGTGAAGGGACTTGAAAGGAAGGGCTGATGGATGTGAATGTTTAATGAAAGGGAGAAGTGAGGTAATAAGGTACTCAGCTGGCTAGATCATATGGTAACCAGAAATCACCCCATTACCGAAGTGGACTGCTGCTAGGAATCATTTGATATCATTGCCCCTAGTTCTGGCTGCTGGTAGGAACCATTATTTGCTTGGCTTGATTTTATGTCTTGCTGTTCACAATGGTGCAGATTTAGGAAATACCTCCTTATAAATTTTGTAAATTTGTTAGTTTTGTATGTGCTAATCATTTTATCTTTTTTTTGCTGTGTGTACTCTCATATGAACATAAGTAGCAGCAGTCACCACAGTGGCCTGTTGAACCATTTTGGGTTATACTCATCTAGGTTCGACCTATCTGATCCATGCATCTATTGAGCCCATTTTTAAAACTAGCAATACCATTTGCCTGTATGATGTTGGCTGGCAACCTATTCCACTTATCTACCACCCTGTTGTCTAACCAGTGCTTCTTACCTTTCCCCAATCTGAAATTCTCCTGCAGCTTCTAGCCATTGTTACAGGGTTCTGACTTGCTCTGATAGTTTCAAGAACTTGCTCATACATGTCATCCACTTAAAGACCTTGATCATATTTCTCCTCCCCCTCCACCTCTCCAGAGAATGTAGGCCAAGCTCCATTAACATTTCTTCATATGGGAGGTCCTGAATACAAGGGATCTGATGGCTATCCAATGTTGAATTTGTTTAGAAGGAATTAATGTTCATTCAGTTATCAACCTGTCCTATTGAACACCCAACATTTTTATACAGTCGACCATGGGATAAAAATTGCACTGGTCGATGGCAAGTTTGCAAAATTGCAATGTAAAAAATGCATTTTATACATGGCAAAATAGAGAGAGTGGGCTGCTCTAATACAGTGACTAGAATTGGATGGTGCAGTCAAAAGTCAGGCCTCACCAGGGAGAGACAATGTTTGTGCATTTATTGTTGATGCTTATGGCTGTAAACCCCCAGCATTCTATTTTCCTTTGCTAATTGCATTAATACACTGCTGCTTAGGTCTTAGTTCACTGCCAATCATAACCCAAAGTCTCTTTTTGCAACTTGATTTGCCTAAATTTGCATCATTCATCTGGCAGATGATGTAACTCATTTCCTAAGTTTAGGGTTTTGTACTTATCAGTGTTGAGCTTCATTTGTCACTTTTCTGGATAGTTCTCTAGTGTGATGTGGTCTTCCTGAAGTTTTGCCGTTCTCATTCAAGATTACTATTTGTCATCTTACCCATCCTAAAAAAGAATTCCATCCTATTTTAGAATGGAATTCCACTTTCTGATGCTGACAATACTGTACTTATTCTTACACCTGTCAGTTCTGTCCATTGCTCGTTCTTCGTGCTTCAAGAAGGTTGTTTATCTTTGGTCTGCTGGTTAAGATACTATGGAGATAGGTAGATACATTGTTTTTCAATATGCAATTTTATATTTTTCCATCTTTGGACATTGATGATCATTCCTGTTGCTTCTCTCATTCTGCTTGTTAGGTTAACAAGTTTTTACAACCTCAGGTGTGAAATGTGTATCATCGCATGACCTTGTTTTGGCCAAACTGCCATCAGGCAACAACCTACCAATTGATGACTTATTTGTGAGCCCATACCTTGCACATCAGGCTATTGGAGTGCTAGGCCTTTGCTCAAGTAGAGGTGGAGAGGCATTGGTTCTCTATTTGCACCAAGTTCATAGTTTCCTCCGGATTCTGCTGCAAGTGCCAATGAAGGTTGTATTAGTGGCAGCAGCTCTTGGCACTACCCCAAGGTGGAGTTGAATGGAGGAATGGAGCCCACTCCTTTCTTTCTTTTTTCTTTCTTGTTCATGTAAGACTCTTTGGTAATGCATTCCTTGGCGAAGGTCTCTGTGGTTGGCACGCACTGTCCTGAACTTCGGGTTCAGATTAAGTGTTGGGTTCCAGATCTTAATAGTTATCTGAGAAGGGGCCATGGTTTTTGTTTGACTGCGGGAGTCTAGTCCCCAGGCCAAAAGGCCCTTTTCTCAGAGTAGTGGTCCCCTTGCAAGTCATTGCCTTTCTCATCTCAAAAGGGTGTTTCATTACATTCAATGCATGATTTGTATTATTTGATTTAACAGAACTCGGTGATTTGAAACATACCCTATTTATCCACACTGTTTCTAGACATGTTTATTTTTACTATTTCTTTTGTTAGTTTCCAGCAATGAAGCCCCACAATTTTTTTTTCATATATTACGTCAGGCATCATGGGTCATATATATGTATTCTGCATACGGAAATAAAAATTATGAGTTTTCTAAAAGCTGTCATATTTTTTTATCAGGGAATATAACACATGATTTTGTTTCCCTTTTCTTTTACCCTATTTTGCTGCAACTTGAAAAAGTAAATGCCAATTGATTTATATTATGAAATATTAAAAGTAATCCATTTTTTTCAGAGGCTTTACCTTTCATATGTACAAAACTCCAGATTTACATCCCCCTCCACCTGGGGTCTAATAGACTTCATGCGCATATCACTAGTGGAGTTGTATTCTTTGGACCAGGTGCTTGCCTACAAACATGCCTTTGTGTACATCCGTCAGATGGCATTCCATTTGCGAAATGCCATCACAATTAAAAAGAAGGTTTGTAACGTGTTGTTAAACTAAACATATTTAGTGTACATGTGAATATAACTTGGTTTATTTCATCATTGTTAATAATATGTAGCTGAATAGTTTAACTAGTTACAGTACCTGTCATAAGGCCTTAGTTGCAATTAAAAATTTTTATTTCATTTCTTTATTATGAACCCCACATCTATCCCTTGGACGGTGGTGGAAAGGGTTACAGAGGCAATTAATCAGTTCAGGAGCTGAACCCCATAGTTCATTTAGCTAAGCAAGTGACAATCTTGTGGTGCTAGTTACACAATTGTTAATATTACATACACGTGTACATATATTTACATACATGTACACAAATACATATACATATAAAAAATCTTTTTGTCACAAGTGATTCAACAAGAGGCTCACAACAGTCTATACAAGGCACTTTACAGCCATAGTAAGTCACACTGTCACTAATCTTGCCCCAAACAAACCCAACTGGGCGGCATCTTTACAATCGTGTGCATGCTGCATCTACTGGAAAATTGCCTATTTCAATGGGATTAAGAGAATATAAAAGTACCTAATTTACTTAAACTTATGGGCATTAATCTTCATTTTCAGTAATGAAATACAATAATGTGTACAAGTGAATGATTTTAAGTATTTAATGTGTATATTAAATAAATGTGCATTTCACGTGTTGTACTGATTGGGCAGATTTGTTTTCTTTTACTCAGGAGCGGGTACAGCTTGTATACAACTGGCAGTATATCCATTGTTTACACCTGTGGGCTGATCTTCTGGCCAAGACTCACCCTAGTCCTGCTCTCCAGCCAATCATATACCCTCTTACACAGGTAAAATGTGTTTACATGTCAAGGTTCTGAGCAGTCTCACAAACTCTTCACTTATGATACACACAGTTTTATCATGTGTGCTAACTCATCTAGACAACAATACAGTAAATATAAATTTTCAGCCTTATCTAAAGTTATTAGCTGCTGTGATCTTAGATACTGAATCTTGAGCATAGTTGTTCCCTCTTCCCTTTCCCTAACCCCCATTCTTTTTCTTACCTTTGGCAACATTTAGCTAGGTATACATGCAAATTAGCTACTTAAAACAAAAACAATTCAGAAGTACAGGTAATGAGTAACTTAAATGTGAGAAACCTTCCAGTGTTTTTTTGGCCATCAGTAAGTAACCTTGGACTGTTAAATCAAGTTGGATTCCTAGTTGGAACTGTTCTTAGCTCTACTGTATATGTTTGCAGGTAAAGAGGATTATCTCTTGGGGCACATCTCTTCACTTTCCAGTATCGAGTGCAACACTCCTCCAAATTTTCAAAGATTTTGTCGGATCTGTGTTTAACCCTTTAACTGTGATTTGCATTGTTCTCGCATTATTTTTTCTTTCGTGTTACAAATGGAAAAAAAAATTATTTCCATGTATATACCATTAATTATTATATAATAATAATTTAGTTTATTTAAAAAATATTCAGAACATGATACAGTGGTTGGTTATTTGTTATGACTATGCAAAGTGTCTCATCTGCTATTATAGCACTGAAAATGGTAACAGAGTTTTGAACAGAATCTAATTATTCATGACAGATTTAGATTTGCTGCCAAACAGCTGCAACTAACAGGTCCAAACTCTTTGTTTTGAAGGCCAGATGTCGAGATGAATATTTTAGGATATTCAAACATTTTTTGTTGTTGTTGTTGCTAACTTGTATATCAGAGAGGAACTAGTAAGAAATAGGAATGACATGAAACATAGCTACTATATGTACATAACTTTGTAAATAGGCTGATGAGAGCCAGAGATTTAGACAGACAAATATTTGAACAATGAAGACAGACATAACCGAAGGGAGAAAGTTTAACTATTTTATTAGGTGGAGAGAACATTGGTGTTACTTTCAATCAAATAGAAAACTTTATCGGTGCAAATAAAACAAACCTTGCAAATAAATTATGTAAGGTAGAAAACTGAAATTTAAGGTGAAAATGCAAGATGCTAATAAAAGAAAATATCTTGTGAACCTAGTGAATATTGTCTTAAATTATAAAATGCCTTATTGAAGCTATAGGCTGATTTTTCTTTCAGGTTGCTATAGGAACAATGAAACTTCAACCCACACCCTCATTTTATCCACTGGTATTCCAAGTCTGTGGAATCTTGACAGAACTCTCACGGAAAACTGGTACCTTTATTCCAGTTCTTCCCTTCTTACTTGAGGTATGTATGTTACAGCAGTATTGGAGATAGATAAGGTTAACTCATTTCTGGTAAGGCACTCTCAGTACCTCCCCTGGTGCTTACATACTTTTATAACCAAGCCTTGGGAATTGCGCTAGCCCTCTAAAACCCATGTTGACATAACAGAAGCCAGGTCCATAATCTTTCTCATTGTGGATAAGACATCTACCCTAACTGAGTAAACTTAACAGAAAGGTAAGTGAAACAAAACAAGCTACCTATTGAAAGAAAGAAATGAACAATTAGGACAATGAGGTAATCTATTGTTGCTACGGATGAATAACTTAAACCTTAATGCATCGGGTCGCTAGTAGTTGATGGAGCAGGTCTTCTTGGATCCCGATCTGCCACCCCTCACTTACGAGTCATTAGTATTGAACCCCAAAGTGGTAATGGGCAAGAGAGAATCCAGGGTGAGAATGGGGAGCTACTGAGGGTCCACCATGAAGTATATACTGTAGCTTGTGAAGTCTCTAAGGGACTGTGAAGACTCTGAAAATATATATAGCCCCACTCAACACTACACCAAGCAGAATTAGTCTCATCCATATGTCGAGTCACCATGGCAGATATTGTAGGAGAGTGCGCCTCCCCCCCCCCCCCCCTTAAAAAAAAAAGTAAATGCCTGGAATAGGTTCCCAGGACTTTCACTCTGGACTGCAGTCAGAAGAGACTTTGTAGCAAGATGCATATTCTGGGAATGCCATAATTAACCCTGTTGAACTACAGACAAGGATGAATGTGTAGCTGTCTATGATCAACAAGTACAAAGTAAGTCATAAAGCCATATATCACTAGCAAGGAAGGCACGAGGGAACTAAATGAATTACTAGTGACATGGTAACCAAATGTGTCTGATGTGTGCGCTCGGCACTAATGTCTCAGCACGAGACCATGTCCCAGGGAACTGCAAAAGTAGAGAGCAAACTTAATAGGAAAAACACTGATGCCTGTTAGTGGTATAATTCAGACAAACAAAAACTTGTGTAACCATGTAAATGGCAGTGATCACTTAAGAAAATACAAAAACAAATTGTGTATTTACCCTTATTTTGGCCTGGGCAGTGGTTAACATTCCTTCTGGCATTTGTTAGCATTACACTGTGATGGGATTCAGGACCAAACAAAAATATTTTGTTTATTTTTTCTAGTAAATACATTCAAAAGTGAGAAATCAGAGGCAAAAGTAAAAAATAAGGTGGGTGCTACAGTCATCATGTAATGATGGGAACCCAGGAGTTGAACTACATCTCACTCCAGATTAGTTTGTGGCCTCCCATAATGTTGGGAGACACCACTAAACTATTGGAGCTATATAAACACCATTGGCATTGAAACATGGCACAAAATGTAATCTGTCACATGATTATAACTGCATTTCACCAGACAAGCAACTTGGGGTTGAATGTTTTAAAACCCCAATATGTCCAGCTTGGGTTTTTATCTATTTTATCCATAATAGAAATAATTAAGTTGGCCTATATTAAAGCAAAATAATTTTTTTTTTATTTAAAAAGAAAAAGTGGCTATGGAGCAACATGTGAAAATACCTCCACATTGAGTGTTAATGGCATTAATGCACTGTATATGAAGTAACTACTTCATATACAGTGCATTAGATAAGTCACTGAAAATTGAGGTCTTGGTGAAACCAGGCAGCAAGCAGCTGCTGGAAGATCCTAGGTAAGTGTGAAGAGGGCAGCTGCTTCATACTCTCTTGAAGTGTACGTGAACATCTTGTGGTAAAATAATGCTTGGAGGGTATTTGGAGTGTAGATGTATGAACCTTCTTAAGATTATTTCTATCTAAATAGATTTTTCTTTCTGGTGTCTCTTTCCTACAATTTCAACCTAACCTGGCTGCATTTGGTCCTGTTTTTGGGAAGAGGAGGAAATTAAGGAAGCAGCAAACTGGTATAACTCGAAAACAGGTTAGCCTGACTTCAAAAGTCAAACACGTACAGTGAATAGAACACGAACTATGAGTACTGTACAGTAATAGCTCATTAATCCAAATTATGATAACCCAAATCTTTGGGTAATCTGAATGAATTAGTGTTCATCATATGTAGGTAAAAGATTAAAATTGCATGGGAAAACTGCGGGAAGTAACTAGGTAAACAGCAGGAGTTGGCAAGGAAACTGTGAAAGTGCTAGGTAAATAGTAACCAAGTCATAGTCTAAAAAAGTTGCAAATGTTAATTTTTGGATGTTCCTAGTAACAAATTTGGCTAACTCAAATTGGGGTGGGCCTCATATGATGTAGATTACAGTGCTGAATGCAGAAAGTACTTGAAGCTTCAGATATCACGGATTATGGTTGTGTACATTCAATACTACCCATAGGACACACGCGAGGTATTTCAGCAAGTAGAATGCACTTACAGGAAGTAACAGTGGAAACCATCTCCTACCACATCTTCAAGAACAAATATGACAAAAATTTGAAATTTAAATGGCCTGGGTATAAATACTGTACATATAAGAGGAGTCACTCCTCAGACACTGATAGGTATAACAAACATATAATAAAAGTTTAGCCAGCAGACTTTGTGGAGGTAAAAATAAGCCAGCAAAGTTGTGTAAAAATCTTTGTGACTGGTACTAGGAGAATTTATCATTGCACTAGAGACCTTTCTCATTTAAAAAATTGAAAACAGTGCTGGGAAACTTGGTGAAAATTTGTTGTATTTATATCGTCTTAGTTTAGGTATTAAAATATACTCACAATTTACATTATAATAATGTTTAAAGTTCTTGGTGCATTTTTTCTTGCAGATTCTGAATAAAGCTCAACTGGAAAAGAAACACAAAAAAGCTTCTATAAAACCCTTTGATTGGTTGTGCATGCTGAGGCTTTCACGGGCAGAAATGTCAGAGTCGGCCTTCAAAGACGGAGTTGTTGACCAAGTTTATGATGGTATAATTAATTATTTAAGTGCAGAAAGTGCATCCATTGGTTTCCCAGAACTGGTTGTGCCTACCACTCTTCAGGTTGGTTAAATTGATTTTGTCTAGTTTAGTATGCAGTCATATGTGAGCCCTTTCCTTACTCATTAGTTCCTGTGCTTATATTTATATTAAATACAGTAAAGCCTTGGTAATATGCACCTTATTTCATGATATAAAAAATAGTGTTTAGTGAAACAAAATTATGCTTTCTGAGTTGGTCCCTCAGGTGCATCTGTGAGCCAGCCTGCCAGACTAATGATCTTCTCACCCACCATTCAGTTCAACATAGTTTGAATAGTCTGGTCAGGTAGTTGGAGGAAGGAAGACTATCACAAATCTAACTCAAGCTACCAATTCTTTATTTGTTAATACTCAAACATGCTCAGAGTTGACAGGATAACATTGGTAGCAACTGAAGGACTGACTCGGAGAACTATAGTTCATTGGTTGCTCCCTTGAGCCAAATCCAACTAGAGAAAGAAACGTCCACTAAAAAAAGAATGGAGATGAAACCATCCCACAGCACTGTGAAGTATCTGGATCAATTGCAGAAGTTCCACTCACAACATCACAAAGTACCACAGATACTAAAGGTGAGGTTGCAAATACCATCCACAGAAGTCATGGCACAAAACTCGCCTGGAAGACCCCACCCGAAAAGGCACTCACTTATAGAACTGAAAACCTATACACAGGGTGGCTGGCCACTCAGTTGCCCAACTTAAAAGAGCAACTTGTGGGGAAAAAAACCAGGGGTCAGATTCACAAAGCGGTTATGCAAGCACTTACGAACTTGTACATTGTTTGTCAATCTTTGGTGTCCTTGTTTACAATTATTAAACAGTTAATGAGCTCCGAAGCACCAGGAGGCTGTTTATAACAATAACAACAGTTGATTGGGAAGTGTTCATGCTTGTAAACTGTTTATTAAATGTAACCAAAGCCATCAAAGATTGAGGAAACATGTACACGTTCATAAGTACTTGCGTAACTGCTTCGTGAATCTGGCCCCAGGAGCCCACGTGCACCCCGACCTAGGCCCACCCTGGGAAAAATTGTAACAAGCCTTATCAATAACCAAGCAACCAAATCTTCACACAAGGGCAAACCCCACAACCACACACTGAAGTGAAATACCATAAGCAAACATGAAAAGCTGAAACCCAGGGAAATTTCAAAGTGAAGAGAGAGATTCCCTACCCCAGTTCAGTGCCCTAAATGGGAGCCCACCTGCAAAAAGTGTAGATCTGCCAATAACTATCAGTGTAAGGGAAAGGCAGGTCACAAAAGACAATATTCAGACCCTAACCAGGACAACCCAGAACCCACAGCCCTAGCTGCAGCCAGAAAGGAAGCCAAGAAGATAAAATCATAGTCCTGGTATGTCAAAGCTGAACCCTGCCAATTCACAATTGGGAAAAAGGAAAAGTCGATAGTAGAGGACAGTTTGCAGGCTTATATCATAGCAAACTAAAACTGAATGGTTGATCCAAAACTATGTCTCGGGCACATCCGGGGAGGGAGCTTGGCTGCAAGAGTGCAGTCCCTACATACCAAGTCAAATCCTGCTCAGTCATTGGCAAGAAAAAGAAGGGGGGGGGGGGAATTGGCCATAGAGGAATCCTTTGCTTCCAAACTGTAAAGAGAACCCACCCACAAAATATGAGATCATTGTCCAATCCTCAACCCAGTGGAACCATGCAGAAAAGCCCTGAAACAGACCAACTAGAAATACAAGGTGCAGAAGCCAATGCTGTATCCTTAAACATGCACAAAAGACATACAATACCAAAAATCTGAGGCGAAAGACCTGGAGTGCCTAATGGAAATCTGCTCCCAACTACAGCAGGAGCATGCACAAGGGAAGCATGACATACGTAGGTCACAAGGGGAATGGAAGCATAGGCTTAAATCAAACTGAAATGGAGATACTACCTAGCAAAAAAAAAAAGGAAGAGCCCTGGAATAAGCTGCAGATGCTCCACCCAACCAGGCATCCAGGTCCTGTAAGTGGAGGAAAAGCAGCAGCATAATGTCCAGGGGCAGAAAGAATAAATCACGCAAAACTGTGCTATACTGACTAACCACATTTACAGAAGTGCAGTGCAGCAAATTCTGGCCAGGGGTGCCAAAACAAAGCTCAAGCATTGGAAAAGCCATGACATCAGGGTCGAGCCACCATGGAAACAAGCGATAGGAATGAGAAATCCTCCCACAAAAGTTGTGCCATGTTGTAATGGCACAACATGCACCTGCATGCTATAGCCAGTGCTGGATTATTCATTAGACACAGTGCCTAGGGCCTACAAGATAGTGGGGGCTTACAAAAAATAAAATGAGAACATTTCTTCCCGTTTTTCTACAGGATATTATTAAATTGATACTGAAGTGCTGTTTCCATTTATTTATTACTTAATCTTATTAGTACCTATTTGTTACATGATTATATTATATACTATTCTACTTAGGCATATTCTGGCCATAGATGAAAGCAAAATAGTAGGTAGTAGTTTGTGTTATTAGTGAATATGGTATCATATCAGGTCCCATATCTTGGAGGAACTTAACCACTGCACTGCACAGAATGCCATATGGCACTTTAAAGTATAGGGAGCGATTTAACACTCCCACAGCAACACAAGGCTCGCACCCTGTATCTCAGGACTCCAGTTAACAGACTCCATTTTGAAGAAAAAAAAATCAGCAGCATCCATGCTAGCTGTGAGAGCATCAGTACTAGTACTGAGAGAGCAACCAAGGCTGGTGCATGCAGGAGCAGCGCACAGCACCTCTATGCAGTTAGGGGCCACAGCACCACTTAGTAACAATGAATAAAATAGGCAACTGCAATTATTTTGCGTTGGTAGTGTCATAGATGATCCCGACTGTGATTGACTATGTACAACGTTCAGATATCAGTGAATACACTGCTAGTTATGATATTCACAGCATGAGGTAGAGAGAGAGAGCACCCAGCCATTGTTTCCTGCATCTATGTATCATGAAACAACCTCGTGTTCCTTCACAACATAACCTTGTTGAAATGGATTCATATTTGGGATTTTGTGACAGGAATGTGATAATAAGAGCAGTTTTGTAGCTGGTCATAGCGAGATGTGTAGAATATTGGAGGCGTTGTCTTGCATCATGTGACTGCTGGCGTCGTCTGCTTGTGGCTCCGTGCCAAGTTTTGAGTTCGACCACGTACCCACCAGAACTGCTTATTAGTTTGTTATAGTGCATATAAATATTGATAGTGATATATAACGTGAGTACAGTATATAGCATAATAACAGCAAGAACACATTGTTTGGTTACTCTAAGAATATATTATACGAGTCACTATATATGAGCCCCAAATTTTAAAACAGCGATGTTCCACACATTGAACTATATAAATTCCACACTATTGATTAATATTACTGCAAAAAAAATAGATATAAAACCATTCACAGACACTGAAATAATTATGTAAAAATGTATTTGGTGCAGCCCCTGCCACACTATGCTGTCGGCCGCTGGGCTGACTTTGGATTCTTGTTCTGTGTACACACAATTTTTGTGGTTCGTTATGGTGCACACAAAATGTAGTTATGTATAACATGTGTATAGTGTAATAACAGCAAAAACAATGTTTAATTGATCTTAGAATGTAATGTACATGTCATTAAATAAGAGCTCCATAATTTGAGTATATCGATATTCCACACACACTTAACTATGTAAATTCCACAGATTACACACTTCTGAATAATATTACAGCAAGAAACCAGAGAAGAAATGAATGAGACATTGAAATAATTATGAACAATTATATTCCGCGGGGTCGAGGGTGTCTGAGCACCTACTCACTCAGTGCCCATAAATTGCTCAACTACTCGGCTCCATCAAAGCTAAAGTATGTCGTATACAATATTTTATATTAGTTTCCCATGATCAGACCACAGTTTGACAATACTGAATAAGAAAAGATTTTTTCAGCGCGCCACGAGGGTGTCATAAAATGCGATGCAGGGCAGTGGTTAAGGTATGAAATACCTTAATCCTATAATACTGGAGGTACCTATAATCCAGCCTAACCTATGGCAATACATATTGGAAAGTGCAACAGCCCAAACTGAATGCAGTACATTACCAGATGAGAGCATGTTGCCCCATTGGCTGAACCTGTCCCAGAAAGCAGAAACCATAGTACCTGACAGAGCCAGAAATAAAAAGGACATAGTCCCAAATATTCCAAATGCTGGACAACTAAAGTGTCCAGCATTTCTAAGATCAGGAATTCAAAATGGTTCAGTGCCCCGGTGGCTGCAATACATAACAAACTGTAACAAAAATGTGTGGTGCCACAAGCTGACAGCCGTAAAATAGCCTCGGCTGTTCTGCAAGTGCACAGCCAGCAAACAAGTAAGGCCCAAAATGCATAGAGCCACAAAAGTACATAACCTAAAGATCAGTACCCCAATGATTCACTGAGGCACACTGCTCCCAGAAAGAAATAGGAGCTGGTCTAGGAAAGAGACCCGTGGTAGTATCCTAATTGAGGATAGGTGCAATACCCAAAGCACTGGCAAAAATTCCCCTGGATGAAAATGTGCTCCTTGCTCCAAGAAAGTAGATACAATATAAAAATAACATGGCGCACAAGCCAACAGGAAACTGGGACGCTTTAATCTCGTTGCCAGAGAGCTCTGTATTGGCTGTCTTCTCATCTTGTATTCAATATCTGTAAATATGTTCTCACCTATATATATATTCTGCTCATTCGACCTAATTTTTTTAATCATTACCTTATTTTCCACTTTTGTGGAGTAGAGGCATCATATTTTTATAAGAATTACAGCAACAAATAATTTAAGTTGATCTCATGTTTCAATTTTACAGCTCAAGTCATTTTTAAAGAAATGCAAAGTACCAAACTACACCAAAAAAATTAAGCAGCTTCTGGAAAAAATAAAAGAAAATCAAAATTTTATTGAATTAAAAAGAAAGGACATCACTTTTGGAATTGGAGACACAAAGCTTGTAAAAGATTGGGAGGTAAGTTTATCAGTGAAAAATTTCCAAATAGAGAAATGTGTAGATTGTTTTATTATATTTTAGTTGTTAAAATATATTTGTTAATTCCTTGTAGTCTGAAGGTTTAGAATTACAAAATCAATCTAAATTTAATGCATGTGAATATGTATTGGTAGCTTAAGGACGATGTGTCTTGAGTCTCTCTCCCTGTTATAAACAATCCATCTAACTTTTTCTGAGAAGGTCCCCTTTTTAGTGCTTACACATTGGTGTCTTGAAGCCTTAAGAATCATACCAGTCCTCTGAGAACTCTGCCGTCTTTCCTGGAGCTAAGTAGGTGGTGAGACCGAGGAAACAAACTAGAAAGATTAGACTAAACAAAACAAACCAACACCTGAAAGAAAATACAATTTTAAGAAAATAAGACTATCTCTTTGATGGCTCTCTTCATTTTGTTGGGCTTTTTCAGACTACTTCATTCTATGTGGGAGGCTGTTGTTTGATTTTGCTCGTTCCACTCTTATTGTGGGTTCATGTTGAGTTAAGAGTTCTTTCCCATACAGTATTTTAAATGCAGTAAGGGTCCTGATTTCTGGGTTCTCGTGTGTCGGGGGTTTCTCTTTTCGTGTTCTTTGTTTAGAAGTGGTTTCTTCCTCTGGTTTTGGAATTGCCTCTGACATTTTTGTCAGTCTACAGCAGCTTTTGTTTCCTGAACTTCCATGTGGGGCCTTTGCCATTCCTGCTTTCAGGGTGTGAGGTGATTCCCTGTGGTTGTCTGGCCTTCCTAAGGTGAAGGCAGTGGCTACACCTGGCTTTTAGTGTGTGATTTTTCTTGTTCAATCCCACTTGCTAGCCCCTGAAAAGGAATTCCAATTACAGGTTCCTCTTCTTACCTTTTCCACAAAGCAGACCATGGAAGCTTCCTTGAGTCCTTATAGTGTGTTTGAGTAACTCCTCTGTTTTCCAGAGCTGCCACAGACAGGAAACTGTCTGAACTGAAGCATATTTAAACACAGAACTCTGGAATGAAGGAACTCTGCATCTGGAAAAGCACCTAAGAGCTACACAGGTCTGGCAGTGAGGAAACATCCAACATCCAGTTAGACTACCAGAAACCTCAAGCTGTAGACATTAGCAAAGAATGAAGAAATAGCAGCACACTTGCCCAAGTTACGTGTTCTTGGATACACATAAGGCTAGTTGAACCAAAACGTCCAATGAATAATCTGTAAAAGCCTGGTCTTGGAACAACCCTCCAGAGAATCAGGACTGACAAAATAAATCAAAGTTCAGAAAGTTAGAGTAGCATGGAAATAATGCCTGGGACATTGTCTGCACCTTTGACCAGACAAACCAAGCATTCACTGCCAGAGGACACTGATAAAATGCAGAAGACTTCTTCTTGTCCCAAAAGGACAAGACTGGAGATGGAGCAATCATCCAGACAAAAGGAACAACACTTTACAGGAATGAGTATGAAATTTGCAAATTAGAATAACAAAGGCCAGAGTTGAAAAGAAAGTCACCTTCAAAAAGGAATCCTTAGCTTATACGGACACAAATAACTGAAGTGAATACGGAAAAGAAAATGCAATCCAAGTAGCAAGTAGGTACCAAAGGTAAGAAAAAAGGTGGCCAGGGATAGCTCAATGAAAAGATAAGAAATATCTACCCCACAGCAGAACTTTATGCTATTCTCTATGCTCTTCGTCTCCTGCTTTCTCGTTGTCAATCTTCCTTTGTAGTGGTAGTTGACTCGTAGTGCCCTCATGGCTTTGGGGTCCTTTAATCCGGTCCACCCGGTGGTCATCGAGATTCAACATTGGCTGTTTCTTATCTCCAGTAAATTTAAGTCGGTAGAGTTATGCTGGGTTCCCAGCCATGTTGGTGTCTTAAAATGAGTGTGCGGATGCTGCCGCTAAAGAAGCTATCCGCACTTGTCCCATCTCCCGTGAAGGTATTCCTTATTCTGACTTTTACCCAGTTATTCATTCCTCCATCCTTGCCCGTTGGCAGGGTTGTTGGTCTTCTGTTACTGGTAACAAACTGCATACTCTTAAAGAGTTGCGTGTCCCTGTGGCCTTCCTCCTACCACCGTAACCGGCGGTGGGAAACGGTTCTGGTTCGGTTACATATTGGCCATACACATTTAACTCGGTCACTTAATGGAGTGCCACCCTGCTCCTTATTGTCCAAATTGCATTGTTCCTCTTACGGTTGTGCACATTCTTGTTGAATGTCCTGACTTCCAGGACGAGGGTGTGTCTTGCTTTCCGACTGTCCCTCGTGGTCAATTGTCCCTCGATAGAATTCTTGGTGAATCGGATACTTTTGATATCGTTCACCTTATGCGTTTCTGTTCTCGTATTGGCATCCTTGGTGATATTTAGTGCCCTCAGATTACTCCGCACATTTGGTGGTGTTACATAGCCTTCCCGGTTTGGTGCCTTCTTTTGATAATTACTTACTTACCCCAAAAGAAAAGAAGAGGCTTTGCCAGAAATGGAAATTTGGAAATGGAAAATTTATGGAAATTTTGCCAGGGCTGAATGGTACAAGGTGACCATATCGGGCATCAGATGGCACTTCACAGAGCCAGGATACAAATGACATCACATCTAGTACAGAAATGAAGCACATCTAGAAAAGAGAAGGGAATAGCTGGAAGGGCTTCCAAGTTGCCTGTGATGAGGACACAAATGTGACACTAAAGGAACGACCACCTGATCCTCGTAAAGATTTTTAGTTATATGTGAAATATGCTATTTTGGTAGTATTCTTAGCTTCTTTGTCCATGACTTCTGTCTGGACTTGCGGATGTCCGAGAGGGCTCGCTTTGGTGACTTTCTGCACTGTCTGCCTGGTTAGCTCCAAGTCTAAAGCTCTCCACTAGGCATTTTGAGCCTTACTGGGGACTAGGACCAGATACTAGATCATTCCAGGCTAAAATGGAAAAACCACGAGAAGGGTTGCGTGCCCCATAACAAGCAATTCACGGAAACATTGGTAGCTATGAAACGAGCTATGTGCACGTAAGTTAAAGGGTCTATTAATGGGATGGGGTTTACAGGATAAATTCGGTACCATCACATGTTGCGAAGACAGGTTAGAGGTATATGCCAAACCTAGAAGAAAAAGATGCAGTATGATCACTATGTACAAAATAGTAAAGATAATTGGCAAAAGTCATTAAGAATTCTTGAAACCTGGAACCTAGAGAACAAGAGGTCACAGATTTAAGCTAACTAAACAAAGCTGCCAAAAGAACATTAGAAATTTCACTTTTGCAGAGTGGTAGATGGTTGTAATAAATTAAGTGCGAAGGTGGAAACAAAAATCGTTAGTAGTTTCAAAGCGTTATGTGACGGAGTGTGGGGGAAGACACCACAGGTGTAGTTCTCATTTTATAACTACACTTAGATAATTGCACTCATTGTCCAAACCCAACAGGTAGTTGTACTAGCCAACCTACAGAAGCCTTTGCCTGTAAAGGATATTTGCTCTTGTTTTCTCTACTAGTGAATGACGTAACAGTCAGACCAGGTGGCCTGAACCATCATTGGTGACAAGCAGGCACATTAAAGTGAGGGTTGTCCTCCTGTGGCAAACTATCCTTTGCTTTGTTTTTCCTCAATTTTAATTTTTCTTTCAAGCAGTTGCTTATTTTGTTTTTAACCTTTCTGGTTGATTTTCTTGGCTATGGGTAAAACTCTGATTCTTAATCTTACCTCACCTTGTAGAGCCAGATTCTGATCCTAGCTCACAGTGGGCCAAAGTGGATCTCAAGAGTCCTGGTACAATTCTTATGGTTTAGCAGTACATCTTGAAACCTACTAGTGGCATACTGAAAATGGACATTTAAATCTCAACTTCCTTAATTTTAATGCTTCTGACTATTTTTTTTTTTTCACAGATTTCAGTTAAACAGGCAGGTACTCCTCTTGCTACTTATCATGCCAGTTGGCAAAAAGTACGTGAAAAGGAACAATTAAGACGTATTTCTAACCGTGTCGAGATGGATGATTACAATCTTCCTGTGGTAAAGAAACGTGAACTACTTGAGAAGCAAAAAGCCAAAGATAATGATGATTTCAAGGAACTTTTTGCATCAGATGAAGATGACGATGATATGGACGATGACACAAGGTACTGTTTATTTTATGTTGTTTAAGTCATAACATTTAAAAAACACAAATTAATGACTAAATTCTTGTTGCTAGTAAATAATTTATAACGTACCCCTAATGGAGACCACCTAGGACACTGCTCTGAAAGATATGAAAGCAATATCATATTTTTAGGCTACCCTCCTAATGCAGGCTGCAGTGAATTGTAAATACTGTATGCTTTTAAATAAACTTTTAAAGTGTAGTCAATTTAGGCATGATCTAAAGCTTTGAAATCTTTATACTCGTCTCAAACACTATGTTGTCAGTCATAGAAGCACAAGCCTAACACCATTCTCTTATTTTAAAAATATTGCAAAACATTTCCTATTAGTTTATTCTTTGTATTTTTCTACAATGTTGTCAATGCTGTTTAGTTTTCATTATCATACATTAAACCAAGTGGTTGGCAATTCCAAAACCTGCTCTCCCCTCCCCATCAGGATTTTATTTTAATTAAAAATATATATAATCTTATACATACTCTTAAAAGATATATCTATTCATAGTAATTTGTGACTGGCACTGTCATATTCAGCATTACAAAACATCTAGTAAAAAACAGACTATATTAAACAAGATTTTTTGCTTTCTTTACCATCCAGTCAAATAAAAATGTTGTTCTCTTCAACATACATCATGATGGCAAATTGATAGATAATAACATGATAATGGAATATCAATATACAATACTATATATCCTTTGAAGTATAAGAATGACTATTGTGACTTTATTTTAAACTGGGGTGAGGAAATGTGTCATCTTCATTAAACATTGCAGTACTTGGTTTCAGAGCATACTCAAGTATGTATTTTCATTTGTGCCAATATACTACTTAGCCATTTCCTACCCATTATGAGGGTAGGAGAAAGGACGTGAGGATACATCACATTTATTTATTCATTTATATATATATATATATATATATATATATATATATATATATATATATATATATATATATATATATATATATATATATATATATATAAAGAAGGCACATTGAATTTATGAGAGTACATAGTATTTGTTTTCACATTCTTGTAAAGCCACTAACACAGCATTTCGGGCAGGTCCTTAATCTAACAGATAATTTTAAGTAGGTAATTTCTAGTAAAATTTAAAAAAATGTTAACAGGTACATTGTAAGAAAATCTGAAGAAAATTAATAGGTACATTATAGTAAAGTTTGAGGATTATCAACAGATACATTGTAGCATAATTTGAGGATTATTTCACGGTATAATGCAGTGAAATATGCATTCAGTGTCACAACCATGATATATGATGATAGGAATGATTACAATGGTGAAGTTGTGTGGCTTAGCCACATATATTGGGGGATTGGGTAGCACTAGATACAGTGTGAGTTTAAAGCACTAGGTAGGAAACTATGAAGATGAAATTTTGTACTTTTTGGTTTTATTTTTGAATAAGGTTAAAGGTGGACAGCTTTTCAATTCATTGGGAAGCGAGTTCCATAGACTAGGTTTCTTTATTTGCATAATGTTTACACAGAATAAGTTTGACTCTGGGGAATATCAAAGAAATAATTATTTCTGGTATGGTGATTATGGGTTCTGTTACATCTGTCAAGGAAGAGTTTCAGAACTGGGTTTGCAACAAGACCATTTAAGTGTATGCAGTTTATTCACAATCAACTCCAACCTTTTTATCTCAAATTAAGACCCAGGATCCAGCAAAATTATATATTTTTTTATTTTAATTTTTTATTTTTTTTGCCACGGATGATGTTGCTTTCCAGTACTGTGTGTGTAAATGACCAGTACTGTCTCAACCCATTCCTCTCATCTAGTGTCATTTATCTTAAAGATTTAACTAATCCATTAAAATGTGACCGATAAACATTAAAGCTAATATTTTATATGCATCAGCCTCAGTAGATTAACTGGGTTCTTGCATTTCTGGTTAGGCAAAAGCGACTGCTGCATAGTCTTCTGATGTTGTGCAATGATTATTGATAATTTTAATGTGATTTAATGCTGCTTTCCATAATGCTGCAATATGCAAGCTGTTAATTGTTCTCATGCACAACATATTTCCCTTTTCATAGCATTTCGAGCCATGTAATTAAGTTTAATATTCACATTCATTAATGTGTTTTAACTTCAGATTCCTGATGAAGAGTGAACGAGCTAAACGCAAAACCAAGGAAAACAAACATTCTGATTTAGAAAGTGAGTCTCCTAATGACAGTATGGATGAAGAGGAAGGAGAAGAATTGGATGAACCGGCACTTAAGAAAAAAAAGAAAGAACAAAACCAAGAAGTAGATAATATTAGTGTTGCTAGTGACGATCACAGTGATGATAAGGTGAAGGTAATGAACCTATCCGACTTCGAATCGGATGAAGAAGTTGATGATTTTGGAGAAATCAGTGAAGACAATGAGTAAACATTTTTACAGTTACAAATTACTTGTTAAATTTATAAGGTGGTGACATTTTCCTGAAGACTTTCAGTAGCTTCCAAACATACTATAACATAGATCCAGTTAAGCTTTAAGAAACATGCCAGACCATTGGGCAGACCGAGACATCCAGGGCTAGCTATGTCAATTTGGTCATCATCTGTGTCTGCTCTGGGACATGATTTAATCCATGGCCTTCCTGCCCTCCCTCATTGCTTGTCCATGCCTGGCTGTTCGGTTTCTAGGTGGCCGTAGATGAGGGTTCATCAAGCCTTATTTTGACAAGCCCTGTATACATCAACCTAAAACATCATTAGAACTCTACACAGCTGTACCTCCGAAAGTAGCTACAGTAGAGGATGGGGAAAGTTGTGTGCCTCCCTTTTTCTACAAACTAAAACTTATTTCATATTACATACAGATGTACACAAATTTTGCAACTTCCCTAATATTTACTGCCCATTGAAACTTTGACCTTACTTTCCATTCAGTGCTTTGAGAGCTTCACAACACAGTAACCATTCTCAAGGTAATTTTTACCATTACATTAATATTTTAATTTGTGAAATGTCTACAGTAATAATTTTTGAAGCATACTAGGTGACAATTTGTTTTCAATATGAGCAGTATATTTTCATCTGTGCCAATACACTACTTAAAGCCACTTCCTACCCATTATGAGAGTAGAAGGAAGGACACAGGGATACATCACATTTAAGTGTATGCAGTTTATTTACAAAACAACCTCAACCTTTTATCTCCAATTAAGATCCAGGATTCAGCAAAATTATAATGTTATAAGACAAAATAACACATATTAAACATTTTGTACAAATAAATGAAGTTTAGTCAAGTTTGTTTACTAATTTCCCTATTAATTAATTCTATGGTAAAAATTCACATTTATTGTACTAGATTAAGAAATTGGTGTAAAGTTTTTTATCACTATTCCTTGGTTTTCAAACTTGGGTCATCTTTGGCAAGTGCATATGGAAATACAATTGTACACTTGGGTAGAGCCTCTTCCAATTCTTGAAGTATGGCATCTTTGTTGGTAATCTCCGGAAGGTCATACAGGAGGAGGTGTTCTAAGTTTCTGTCGGGAAGATTTTTTTTTTAAATATACAGCATATGCATGTTCATCTTAAGTATATGAGGTCAAACTTTTATCCCAACAAATCACCACAGAAAACCTTTTGCTCCAAATTTTGAGTGAAGAGAAGGATTAGAAATTCATTATAAAACGTACAGAAAGCACAGGACAGCTAAGAGATTTTGAAATTACCCTGAAGTCTTTGAAAACTAATATGCTCAGAGTAACGCGAATCACCGTTGGGCTGACGATTACTCTGCTTGCAAACTATGACCTTTTACAAGCACTTGTGACAATGGCAAGACTGAAGATATGCATGGTTGGTTTACAGCCTGTTTTCACTATATATGTTGTAAATGTTTAGCATAGTTACATTAAGATGGAAAACAAGGCATCACATCTGGTTCTTTACACATTAACTGTGCCCTACACATCTATGGTGTGTGCAGTCAGGAACTTAGTTAGCAAGGCACTGGAATAATTGTATATAAAATGTGGTCATTGTTCAACAGTGGAGTTATCAGCATCATTATTAACACTGCCAAAAAAATGGGAAGATCATCCTTAAGAAAATCTGTGCTTGAATACAGTACAGTATAAAGAACCTCAGTCCAAGTAAATAATTATCAAAAGTAGGCACAGAGCCTGGGAGACTATATTTTAACACATATAGCACCATCAGTCAGCAGCCAGTTGAGCCTGAGGGCTCGGGGAGTAGAACAACTCTCTAAAACCTCTCCATGTATCAATGTCACTAAATATTCAAGTCTAAATATCACCAAGGATGTAAAAACAAAAGCACACAAGATGTGTGATATCAAAGGTATCTGATTCACTGAGGATTCTATCAAGGGACAAGTGACCAGAAGGGACAGTTAAAAAGTAACATTATGCTTTGACAACGTTGCTGGAACAAAAGATTAATGTCCTGAAAATCTGAACATTCAACAAGGAGATACATGACCATAAGAGGGACAACGCAGTTACGACAATATGGAGCAGTGTGGTGTCCCATTAAGTGCATGCGAGCAAAACATGTATGGCCAATACATAGCCTCAATAATGCATTTACCACCGCCAATTATGGTGGTAGAAAAAGGCCAAGGGGACAGACTACCCTTAAGAGCATGCAGTTTGTTACTAGTAACACATGACCAAGGACTCTATCAATAGTCATGGATCAAGGAATGAATAGGTAGAAATTGGAATAAGGACCACCATTTTTATGAACTAGGACAAGTGTGGATGGCCTCCTCAACAGCAGTGTCCACACGCTCATTTAAAGGAATACCAATATGGTTGGGAACCCAGGAAAATTTAACCAACTTAAATCTGCTTAAGATTAGAAACCAAATGTTGGATTTCAACTACCACAGGATGCACAGGATTAAACAACTTCAGAGCCATGAGAGCACCGAGAATCAATCACAACAACAAAGGAACATTGATGAAGAGCACACAAAATCGCAGTTCACCCATGAAGATGCTACCTTCTTGAGGTAGACTGCATGTATAGGTTTAGACTGGAAAGACTACAGAGCATTCAACACTGTCGGCAGACCCATCTGTGAAGAGGGCAACAGAATTTGAATTTAATGAAAAAGTTTAAGGAAAAGGTGCTTCATAATATTAGGAGGGGCTAGAAGCCTTTCTACCAGGTTCTACCAAAAAACTTTTCAAGAGGGACCCTTCATGCAACGATGTTAATACCATCTGTTGAGCGCACCCGACCCCATTTTCTGTTCCTGGTGGAAGACAGTAATCTAATTGACACCCGTGTAGTTTCCTTCTCGCTGTTCATCTTTTATTCCTCAAAAGTGATGTAGGTGGTACCTTGGTTGACAGGAATCTCTTCACCTAGGGCAGTCCTGAACTCAAGACATGTTCCAGTGGGAACAAGTGGCCAAGTCAGTGTAGACTGTTATTTGTCTGTGATACTTAGTGAAGTATTGATGATTGGATCCACGTATCCCGGGATGGCCAATTTGAGTTACAAGATGGAATTAAGGTCCGACTGTTAAGGCTTGTTATAAATGTAGCCTGTGTGGAAGCCTGCCAGTGTGTTGCTGTGTAGGATTAGCCCATGATTTACTGAGAAAGGTGAACTAGCCAGCATGAGGACCATAGATAGAAGATTGCAGAAATTTTATAGTGTCCTGTGTGAATGTGACACCAGCTGTGTTACGTAATGTACATATGTGTATATGGTTAAGAAATACACTTGGTGATGGTTCTGTTTAATGTTAGTACCCGTTTACCCCTTTTCCTTTAGATAGATTGTTACTGCTAGTTCTTAATAACTTACTCAATCCCACCCAGTCATAGGTAAGAAGAGGCACTAAAGCTTCATATACAGTTTGATATGAAAAGAACCTGGCTACTGGCTAAGTGAGGCTGTAACACACTATGAGGGCAAGGATGGAATGACACAAGGAGAGCCATTGCAAGCACGAGAAGGAGGCTTGTAAGTGACACCTGTATAAAAAAAAAAAAAAAAAGTCATGAAAGGTAACAAAACCTACATACCAGAGAGGCAACAGTCAAAGCCCGGCAAAAGTGAGAACAAAAATGCTGCAGACACCTTGTGAGGTAAAGGCAGTAACAATTCTGTAGCGACAAAACACCAATATTAACATACAAGCTCTGGGTAGGGGATGAACGAAAGGCAGGGCAGCCATACAATCCAGTATACACAGTGCATATAGAGAAATATGCATCTATTAGCAGCCCAGGAAGTATTTGAAAAGACTCGAAGTAATGTAAGAGCCTTAGAGCATTTGTCTTTGGAGGTAAGAGATATGGGGTTACCAAGACAAACCCCAAAAGTTTAGCAGAATCTTTATAGAAATAGGGCCTACTATAGTGACAATGTGGATGAAGAACAATTTGTGCTCTGACTCTTACTCAGAGGCAAGTCTTAAATGTAGAGAACTTGAAGCCTTGATAGATGGCCCTGGATGACACAGCGTCAATACCTCCACAGCAGAGAGTGACATCATCAACATAAAGGGCCAAGAAAATGCCAGAGGGATGGGAGGCAGTAAGACCATTAAGGGCAATACAAAAAAAAAGTGTAATGTTCAGAACACTACCCTGGGGAACACCCTTTAATTGGTGAAAGGAGGCATAAAGTCTCACTTTAAAGGAACGATGAGCTAGAAAGAAAGAGTGCGGAGATTGCCACAAAGGCCAAAAACAAAGCTGGGACATAATTTTATACCTCCAGGTGGTCTTGTAAGCCATTTCCAAGTCAAAGCGAACGGCAACAACAGATTTTAGCGGTAAATGCAGAACAAATGTAGGCCTCTCGGTTCACAAGAATGTCAGTCATGCTGCATCACTTGCAAAAGGCAAATTGAGAGGGAGAGAGGAAGTGTGTTCAAAGAACTACACAAGGCTGACATTGGGCATGCTTTCGAAATGCTTGCAGACACTTCATCAGGGCAATGGTACAAAAATCCTTGGGAAGGTCCCTAGAGTACCAGGTTTCTGAATAGGAAGAACAACCACCTCAAGTCTGTCATCAGGGGCTGATTACGATCTCCCAAATATGAGTATTCAGTAAATACTGAAAGGCACACTGAAGGTGATGACAAAGCATTTCATAGTGAATGTCATCCGAGCATGCCACCATAAAAGTGTGGGAGCACAGAGTAGACGATTCTCGATAGAAGAGATCATTATAAAGGACCTGGAAGCGAGTGCAAAAGTCTAATGGACAAGATTCAAGTAAGGGCTTATGAGTAAGGAAAGCAGGAGGAAGATTTTCAGCCATTAGTACCAGAGCTAATGGCTGAAAAGTGCAAACCCAATTCGTTCATGACCAACACCGGATCCGCTATAACAGAACCATGGAGACGAAGAATGGCAATGTCAAACAAATTTTCCAGCAATCTTACGGATCTTCCAGATTCCAGGGTGTCATCTGTAATGGTGGAGACAGGATCACCAACTCTCCCATTCAGCTGTGTTGATAGATACAGTATATACAGCGGGTTCGGTGGCTGCAGGCCACTGTACCCGCCTTTCGAAACAGAATAGAATCAGGAGTCTTTGAATGTGCCTTTGCCATTAGGTCGACTGATGGACCAATGGGCAGTCAGGCAGAGGCAGACAATGACTGCTAGTCAGTAGCAGGACCAACGAGCACCCTACAAACTTGCATGTAGCAAGTGTGAACTTTATGAATCGAGATAAAATGAGCCCACACAGTGGACCCACAGGAAAATTTTCAGGGCCTGAAGATAACTAGCCAAACAGAAACCCCAGGCACTGGGGCCACTTACCAGAAGAACAGTCACCAAATGAAGCCAAAACAACCAGACTATGAATAGCGACTGTTGCACGCCATATAAACGAGCATGTAGACCCCAGTGCACCCCCAGCACAACCAAGAGAATGCCCCCAGCCAAGGGCCCAAACAAAAGAAATTAAGATTTGTGATCAGCCCAAGGCAAGGCTCTCCACTCCAGTAACCAGGCCTCTCAACACATGGTTGGAACAAGTTAAGTGAAAAGACGATGGATGCCAAAATCGTCAGTACTGTAGTTTCAAACATCATATGGCAAGTACTGGGAAGACGGAACACCATAATTGTTCCCAGGGGAAGAACACCCTGAGTGCAGGCAGCCCAAAATGCAAGAGACCATACAATAAGCTAGATCAAAAACATGCATGTGAAGCTAGTACTGTACTAAAACATGGAAGCAGTAAACAAAACATATGGATCCTGCAGGACCACTACACACAGATCCAAATGCTGTATCATTAGCAATAGAACCAAGATGGGATGCTGGCCGAGAGCTAGGACCAGACCACCTAGTGGCAGTAATCTGTATTGATTAACAAGTTTTGAGCTAGTTTGAGTGAATCTGTTGTGTGTGAATTATTTGCAGAGTTGTTTGGAGGTTTCAAGGTTTCCTGTTCTGTGATATCTGTAAATTTTCATTTTCCAAAAGTCTGTAAAGCTTCATTAACTTTCTGGGCACTTTTTCTGGTAGGGTGGCAGCCTTGCTCCCTGCACTTCTAAGGGGGGCCAGTTTCTGGCTCTCGTATCTTATAGGCCAAACAGAACTTCTGCAACTGATGTGATCTTTTAATATGGAACAATCTGTGCAAGATTGCTTCAGGGAGACACAGGGCTCCCTCCAGAAAACAAAAATCCCACTGGATACATTTACAACCATGTACCCACCAGAAAAATGAGTGCACTAGAGATTGTAAAAAATTATCAAACTATACAGTACATGAATAGAGTAGAATTAAGTTGCAAAGTGCATACTTACTTTAACTTTCCCAAGTGTCTTAGTCCATCTGCAGTAACATTACCACATGAAGATATTTGAAGTTCTTTCAGAGAGTTACACAGCAGTGGCAACTGGCTTAGTCCTGCATCATCAAGGTAAGATGCCTTATGAAACACAATGCGACGGATATGCTTGCAACCTTCTGCAAAGTTCAAATGCAATTATAAAGTGGATGGAGTCAATAAATATCATACCAGATGTGGGTATGTACCATTTAATATGGATAGAACCAACAACCCATAGCAAATACCTCACCAAAAACAGTGTCACCAATCTAGAATTGCTCAAATGGTAACAAAAACCAGAGTTGAATGTAATGAAACACCGTTTTCTAGGTGAGCCCGGAGGCGCCCAGGAGCTTACCAGGCTGAAATGTATGTAATAGACCGTCGCATCAGTCGATTGAAGTTCTTGCCTACTGGGGACCACGAGCCAGAATCTGGCCCCCCTCAGAGAGGCATGAGGAGCAATGGCTTATGGAAACCCAGTTGTATTTAGGAGCACTCCATGTCTGCCATCGATTGGGGTCTGGCACCCAGGAAGGTAGGCATAACGAAACAAACCCCACGTGGTAAAAATCACTACCAAAGCCCGAACAGAGAGGCAAAACTCCCAAACTAAAACAAACACCTAACCTAACCTAACCTAACGTCACTAATGCCATCGCATCGATTGTCCACGCAGCCACCCCTCCCCCCACCCCCAGCACTGGCCACTACAGCACTCAGTTCTGTGGCTGAGCATCAGAACACAGGTCCCAGGGCAGAATCCTCTTCCAAGCCCACCACCCCTGAAGAAAAGCTTCCAAGAAGGGAGTCGGCTGGGTCAACCGGAAGTTTCAGCAGTAAAATCGGGCTAAACCACCTCCACGCCCGAATCGAAAGGGAGCAGCCAATGAAGCCACCCGATGCCTCATCTCATCCTGACTCAAAAACCCTCAGACATTTAGGACCCGGAAGCTGGGGGGGGGGGGGGGAAGAGCAGGGCAAACCATGCCCACTGGGAAGGAAGGGGAGGCGTGGACGGAACCTAGGTTGAAGCGACCAATGCTTCCAAATCCCGATCCCTAAAACCCAAGCGAGGCAGCTCTGAGGCCTCCAATCGAGCAACCAACCTAACACATTGCAAGAAGGAGACTTGAACATGCAATGCAGCCACCGCCTGATTCCCGAAATCAACAGACAGGGAATGAATAAATTGAAACACAAGGGGGGGGGACCAAGTCCCGCAAGACTCCGGGTCGAGTGTCACCGGGTGTCACCGACCCAACAGGCAGCATGAGGGAGATAGTATGGATGGTCATCACCTTGATGTAGGGTGACGAGCAACCTTCAACTTCACACAAGGAGGGAGTGGACTCTGAAGTATCATCCATGGTACCACCGAGCCCACAGGAAGCTTCCAGGGGCCTTAGGGTAAATTAGCCCTATGGGAAGCCCAGGCACTGGGGGCAGCTAAGCCGGTAGAATCCCTGTCTAGTAGCAGGTAAATTGACTACTAGGAGGAGGTTTGAACCCTCGGGGGAAACAGGAGGAGGAGGACCACCAACACCACCTAGGCTACCCTAATAAGAGACTAGGCAGACCCTCCACTGTCCACCAAAGGCAAAAACACAAGAAAGGGAATCCAAAAGCCCCCAAAGAAACACGACAATCAAACTGGCAGCCAGAGAGACGCATCGGCTTCCACGGTGTAGTAAGGCAGGCTGCACCAGTGCGCCCACACCCAGCCAATAACAATCCTCCATCCTAGGCAAGATAGAAAGCCCAAGACCCTCAACGTGTTCCAAGGGCAAAGACTTCCTCAAGCGATAAAGTCCTCTAGTGGGGAGTGATTCCCGAACACCCCAGGGAAGATAACCCTGAAACGCAAGGGGAGTACTTACGGAACACCTAAGGAAGTTCACCCTAGGTGCATGCAGCTCCGTGTACAAGAAGACACTTGGCCAACACCTAAACACACTGCTGGTATAACCACACAGAGCAAAATCTAGGACAGGAAGCGAGGCCTGAGATGACTGAAATGACTGCCAGCACATCTGTTCAAGAACTGGAGTAGTGGGCTGCCAGCTCTTCTTCCCCAACACCTATTGGGGAGGGGTTAACGTTAACGAACGGAAGTGCTAGTCACATGAAGGGTTGCTTATTTGGTTTCTTTCTAGGGGAGTTATTTTGATAATTTTGGATGTAGATTGCACAGGTTAACTAGACTGAGGTCTGCTTTGATTCTCCTACCTTTCTGGGTCCTTTCCCTGGTCGATGGCAATTATGACAAACTTTAAATGTAAAGTGCTTATAGGTTATTGCTCCCTGCCCCTCTCTGAGGGAACCAGGTTCTGGCTCGTGGTTCCCAATAGGCATAAGAACTCCTGTGACTGATGACCCCAAACTAACATGGTACATACCAGTTCGGATAGCTTCAGGAGCCGAAGGGGATCCCCACAGAAATATAGACCGAGATAATCTCATTTAGTATAAGAAAATGTGAAGGCAAAGAAAATATAAATGAACACCAAGTGGCACTGCAGAGTGAGCACAAAATAAAAACACTATCAGAGATAAGAGAATCTACATCCCTATACTTCCCTTACAGTGCTCCCATTGGCAATTATGGCAAGAAAGCTTTGCAACTGTGAACAAGCAGCGAGATTTTCTGCAGTTGCTCATTAATACTGTACAGTACTTATAAGCCAAAAAGTTTTGTGAAACCTTATGTTAATTAAGAGTAACTTACTGAAATGAGGAAAGCCAATGTGCATTACTGCCGAATCAGTGGCATCTATTTCTTCAATTTTGAGGAGGCTGCCACCTGTTGGTGGCAAGGTATTGTAGTCTTTGGTCCATTTACCACTGCTGTGCCACTTGACAACTGCTCCACACCGTAGTAACCATTCTGCACAAGCTCTGTCTGGGCCAACTTCTTTAACTCTGCTTTCATCTACTCTGTTAGATATTAATTCAAACAATGATTTATGGTAAATCTATTAAACTACAGTATTTTGGAGCCTAACACAAACAAAATAATAAAAACCAACTGAAAATCTATTCTCCCTCCAATCTAGAAGAAAAAATGTGAATTTATTAATTTAAATTTTAAAATTCTTTGAAACTCTCATATTTTAAGTTCACTTGCTTGCTTAATGAACATGTCACACATCATATCTCATCATGCAAAAAAGTAAGCCCTAAGCTATGCAGTGGCCGTTTTACAAGTTGACGAATTAAATTTACTTTACACATGACAAATGAAACATTCCTTAAAAAGTGCTCGACTCTTTCTTCCTCTGCTCAAACCACTCAAAATACTTAAACATACATTAGATAAAATTAATTACCACCAAACTTACGAACGTGTACATCTTTCCACAAATTTTGGTGGCTTCGTTTACAATTATTATACATTTAATGAGCTCCGAGGCTGTTTATAACAATAACAACAGTTGATTGCGAAGTTTTCATGCTTGTAAACTGTTTAATAAATGTAACCAAAGCCATCAAACAGTTCACAAGCATGAAAACTTCCCAATCAACTGTTGTTATTGTTATTAACAGCCTCCTGGTGCTTCGGAGCTCATTAATGTTCAATTGTAAACAAAGCTGCCAAAGATTGAGGAAAGATATACATGTTCGAAAGTACTTGCGTAACTGCTTCGTGAATCTGGTCCCAGGTTTTTTACGAATAACCTGCCTACACTCTGGCCTATGGGAAATGGTGTTCCCCACTATATTTCCCTTCTAGAGAACACAGAGAATCAGTTATTATAAAATTTGTTTATTATATTTCTTATATAAAATAATTATGTACTGGTGTAATATTGGAATGCACCAGTTGTTTAACAGTTGCCTCACTCTTGGGCATATATTTACTGCTAGGTAAATGGAAGCATCAGCTGGAAGGAGAAATATCCAAGCATCTGTCCTACCACAGTAACCTAACCTAAGAACTTTTTGTTCTAAACAAACTGTGCCAATCACTGTTACAGGTGAATTAACCATCAACAAACCACAAACTAATCAAAAGAATTTTAGGTAATTAACCCTTCAACTGTGCATCACATCCAGGGACGTACTAAAGTAACAGTGTAGGACTGAAAACAGTAGATGTTTTTCACACATAGGGTTATAAACCCAAGGAACTGCCTACCCGCCAAAGTCATAAATGCCAAACTGCTGAACTTAAAAATTCAGTTTGAAAAAAAATCAGGACAAATGGGGGGGGGGAAGGGAACTTTGACAAACTGTCGGCTTCCTGTCCTCGTCGAGATCAGTAGAGTATTAGTGGCCCTCAGGTAAACTCAGGTACCACGTAAGATTTAAAAGTCCAGCCGAGTAAAATAAGACACCCATATACTGCCCCAGGGCGATGATAAACAGTTCCCATCTTGAAAAAAATAAAAATAAAATGTGAGCACCTCACCTTGGCAGGAAGGCCTCAGTTTGTATCAAGCAGCCACGAGTGATGCACGCCAGTCGAGCTCACAATGTTGCCACATGGTGTGGGCCACAGTATCCTTAACTAATTAAGAAACTGTCTAGAAACTGCAGAAAGCAGACGAGAAAAGTGACAAAGAAGTGATAGTGATAAAAACTATCCACAGGACATGGATAAAAGTGACATGGACAGCGATATTGATGTACGAGTGAGCATTCCTAAGGTGAGGCTTACTCCCCATCTCTTCCGCCAAGTCCCAGGTCATGTCGAGCTGTGGTACCTGCTGTTCCAATACCCCTTGAACATGTGGAAGACGATTCTTTTTCCAAATTTAGTAACCAGGATTCTGATTCCAGTGGTAGCAGTGTTTTTGGTTAGTCATGTGCACAGTGAAGTCAGGTGGAGCTTTGCTGCATTAGCAGCTCTCCCTGCAAAATGCTGGCATGTGATGCTGCATGGGGAATTGAAGAACCATTCCCTCGTGTTCAACTGTTCATGCCTGCTGAGTGTGAAGTAGAAGAGCTTCATCTCGTATCTATTGTTGGAGGTAGGAAATATGCTGATGTGGTGGTCATGCTGCCACCAGCACAGAAGGTGTACTCCTGTGGGAGGATAGTACCAATGTTCTTCCACAAATTCCTGCATTTCATGATACAGCTGTAGGTGTTACAGACCTTTTCCCATAAAAAGGTAAAGATACATGAAATGGACTATTTTACGGTATGCTTTGACAAGCAACTCAAAATTATTGCTCAAGTAACAAACCAATGGATGGCCAAGCTTAACGAAAACAAGCGTATAACACAGTTTAACACATATGCAGCATTGGAAGTACACTACTATGCTCGAAATGTATGCATGATAATGAAACATTTATAAAATGTGTCATCCAGGACTATTGGAACAAAGACTCTGTTGTCCTGACACCTATTTTTGGGAAATACATATCTCATGACAAGTACTGTCTACTTCTCAGGCAGTATTAATTTTGAGAATATTGTAGTTAAAGAGTTCAGTAATATTACTGATTATGTAAGTAAATTTGTAGCATACTGTTAAATGATTAACTTGCTTGATTATCACCAATTGATTGGATCATATTACGTTCTGTCCACACTTATTTATAATTTTACATTTTCATACAGTTTTATGGTCAGCATTATGTGTGTGTATGTATTAAATGCAGCATTTATATTTTAAGCTATGAAATATGGGATAGAGAAATGTAGTTAGCTTTGCTTTGATGTCCAAAGAGCTTGGAAAGGATGTGGGAGGAAGAAGGATAGGGCGATGAAATTCTTGGAAGAGGATTTGGAAATGTAGTCGTTTTTTATTTAGATACTCTGAACAAAATTTCCATGTAGCTGGCTAAAATGTAAGCCAGTAAAGAAATGTGGTAAATGATAGACAAAAACTCCAACTGCTTTAAGGGGCTACTGACAACACTATTTTTGCTGGCAGCCAAATCTGGTTCCGGGATTGGGCGAGAGATGAAGGGAAGATGAATTTTGTATCTTGCCGCTTAAAAAATTACCGTATTTGCCGGCATATAAGACGTGCTTTTTTATTTTTACATGTCTCAAAAAATTCCCCTGTGTCTAATAATAAAATATTTAAACCAAGCCGAGTTATCACAGTCTTGTCACAAACTCATGAAAAATTGCTTACGATATACGTCGGCAGTTATGAAGGTAGCTCATAGCTCACCAACTTACCCAGCATACATAACCCACACCCGATATATGTCATACATTATTTCACGACTGTTACCTTTAAGAAACATTATCTAAATGAAAAATGCTCCTAGAAATTTGAAAGGAATGTTACATTTTCATCTGCCTGTCAGCCATTTGCAATGAGTGAATGACACCACCACCTGAGCACTGTGATGGTGTGCCACAGCCGAGCGCACCACCCTGGTGACCTGATGCAGCACCACAAAACATCACACCCAGAAATACAAGTTTCACATCCTGTATAGCAATTCTTTTACCCAAAATATGAACAATTACACAGCTGATCTTAGAGGAGAGTTGCTAACTTGAGTTGGGGTACAAAATCCACTTTAAAATATCTCAATAAATGTGTGATTAAACATAAAAAAAAAAAATCACAAAATATCCTAGTAAATAGGGGTGCATCCTATGTGAGGGTGTGTCTTTTACACTGGCAAATACAATACCCTGTACTGTATAAATATCTCCAAGAGTTAACTTTAAATGTATCTTTGTAAACCTCAAAGATTATTAAAAATACTTCTTACAAAACTATGAATTCTTTCAAACAAAATCATAAAATGTTACTCCACTGTATTCTACTAGTATGAAGTTCAGTAATCTTTGAACAGTAAAAGTTACCTATACAGGAATTTATTTATTTATTTATTTATATATATATACAAGAAGGTACATTGGGATTGTGAGGATACATAGCATAGTACTTAAATTCTTGTAAAGTCACTAGTACACGCAGCATTTCGGCCAGGTCCTTAATATAATGAAATTTTAAGTAGGTAAATACTAGCAAAATTTATAAAAATTATAACAGTTACATAGCAAGAAAAAAGTTACATAGCACACAAAAAAAATAAAGAAAGCAGAATGATTTCAATTCTAGTACTAACAAAGTCTAGTATTGTATATTACAACTAATCAGTTACATTTCAAAAGTTTGTATGACTTACTTGTTAAAGATGGCATTAAGCCATGCCCAGAGGCTCCTTTGTGAAGTATGAGACCACACTTGAGGAACTGTGAGTGAGAGGCACTCACCATACAAAGTAGCGGGGTGCCTTCCATCTGTGGTTACCAATCCAAAGTTACACTTTGGACTTTGGAGAGACTGAAATGTTAAATTATTACTTTTAACCAATTTGAAATGCATTTTAAATTAGATATTAAAATGGTAAAATACGGGTGTTTAAATAAGATACTGCCATTTCCTTTCACTATTTCATACCATACTACAGTATTTTTAGACAACCGTTCATCTTCCATTTATATATTTTACCTTTTAGCAAAACATACAGTAATGTATATGAGAGTAAAACAAGCTGAAAGTTTTGATTTTTATTTTCATCTTGAAAATTCAAAAACGTTAGGCTTATTAATATAAATTTTAATTATAATTAAAATTTATAACAATTTAAGTGTTGAATTAATAAAATTACTTTAACTTCAACATTGGGTAAAATTAACCTTGCGTAATAACTTTGGTAAGTATAATAAGGGTAAATTAATAATGGGTAATTTAACATCACTTAACTTACAGAGGGTAAATTTAACACTGTTTCGACGAGCAGCATAGAGAAGTAGGCAGGGCACACGAATGGGAATGGGCTTAGGTCACAATATCTTAAGTACACCACACACACACACCCGCCTCCCTGCTCGGCAAAACACGCACGAGATGCACACGAGGCCATAGTGTTTGAATCATCTTTTCTAAAAATTGAGCATCTTGACACCGTTATTTCTTACCTTATCATAGAAATTTGTTCTTCCAGTGGGCAAAAAGGCAGCGAGTGGTTGAAGAGATTTGAGATACCTGTAATTCATTACAGATGTGGGCCACCTCTGCATTATAACTCCTGAAAATAAAGAAGATAAGTTTTTGTATAATTTTAAAATAGAGTACAGTACTAAAAAAATTTCCAAATCACATTAATTTATAATGAAATAAATTTCCCGATACAGTACAATAAATTTCCCCAGTTCCCAATACAGTATCAAGCATATTTCAAAATACTGTACTACACAACCCCCTTGAAATGACACATACAGCCAAAATAATTTCATTGTAAATGTTAGTCAATCAATGCTGCTGTCATATTTGAATGAGTCGAGTTCTAACAATGAGCTATAGTGAAGACTCTAGAAAACGTGGTGCAATTAAAAAAAAAAAATAGACATTTCAGCTGAAGTGGTCTGTTATTGTTGATTTAGGGGCCATAACAGCACAGGTAAGGGGGGGGGGGGGAACTTGAGGCCTTGCAGCTACACAGTCTACTATCAGCAGGAAAATGATTTTGCCTCATGGCAGGTAAACAATTTGGCCGATGCTTGGCAATCCAAGGATACCCATGGGAAGGCAAGAACCAGTATATCAACCCTGGTCAGATGACCAACCGGAAAACTATCAACTCAATACCCACCAACCAGATGATACTAGTGTCAAATCAACAGAACATATCCACAAGGGCAGTGATGAAGGTTCGAACTTACGCCCGGGATGATCACGTATAGTGTCAGATCTTTCAGTAGTATCCAAAAGGTGCTCTGGATTTAAAATTATAATTTAACCTCATCTTTAACTACGATTTAATAAAAAAATCTCAACTAAAATAAATAAAAACTATGATTTAAGCATGGAGACATCTTCAGGATGATATAACTTCTCTGGAGAAAGTGCAACACCGGGCAACAAAAATCCTTCCAGAGCTAAGTCAACTCACGAATCAGGAACGTTTGAGAGCCACAAGGCTAACAACACTGCAAACCAGGCATGACAGGGCGGACCATTTTTAAACTTTTAAAATACTCAACAATTTGGAGAATGTTGATCTGGAAAATTTCTTCAAATTGTCAGATGTAGCACAAACAAGGAGCAACGGTTTCAAGCTTGACAAGCCACAATGTAGAACTGAGAACAGGAGATGCTTTTTCATCCACAGGGTTATTAACCCATGGAACTGCATATCCACCAAAGCCATTAATGCCAAAACTCTAAAATTTTAAGGTACAACTGGAAAAGATCATCAAGTTAAATGGGAGGGACTTACAAGCCACCGGCTTCTTGACCTCGTCGAGGCCACATGTGTTAGTGGCTCGGGTAAACTCATCCACCTAGGTAAACTTGTTCACCTAGCAGTAAATAGGTACCTGGGAATTAGACAGCTACTACAGGCTGCTGGGGTGAAAAATTCTGAACTGTAATGTCAATCATGACCTTAAAAGCTTCTTAGAAGGTTTTAACAGAACCCATGGGCACCACACCAGAAACAAATACTTATTTGATATCCCAAGAGTAATCAAATCTAATCTACAAATCAAAAGACGCATAATGTGGAATGACCTTCCCAATCATGTTAAAGACAGTACCTCTTTCAACCAGTTTAAGATAAAAACTAGAAACTACCTAATAAACTCCATGTAACCTACCTTACCCCGAAATGTCACCCCATGTCTTATTATTGTAATCAATGCTGCAAGGTAGGTAGGTAGGTTTGTTGACCAACTTGTATAATTGCTATTCTCTGCCTTGTTCCCCCCCACCTCTTTTTTTTTTTTCCAACGCAATTTATACTTTAAGCTCAATTACTATTAAGTTTTAGTCCAAGTGTTTTTCCCTCCCTCTTCACCTTACCCGAAATACTATGCATACTAGTGGCTTTAGATATTGTATGTACTATCTCTATCTTTAAATCCATCATTATGTAACTCAATGGATGTACCTTTACCTGAATAAAGAATCTGAATCTGTGTGTGTGTGTGTGTGTGTGTGTGTGTGTGTGTGTTTACTAGTTGTGTTTTTGCGGGGGTTGAGCTTTGCTCTTTCGGCCCGCCTCTCAACTGTCAATCAACTGTTTACTAACTACTTTTTTTTTTTTTTTTTTTTTTTTTTCCACACCACACACACACACACACCCCAGGAAGCAGCCCGTGACAGCTGACTAACTCCCAGGTACCTATTTACTGCTAGGTAACAGGGGCACTTAGGGTGAAAGAAACTTTGCCCATTTGTTTCTGCCTCGTGCGGGAATCGAACCCGCGCCACAGAATTACGAGTCCTGCGCGCTATCCACCAGGCTACGAGGCCCCTTACCCTTACGAGGCTACGAGGTGTGTGTGTGTGTGTGTGTGTGTGTGTGTGGAGAAAAAAAAATCAGTCTATTGATTGACAGTTGAGAAGCGGGCCCAGAGAGCCACAGCTCAACCCCCACAAACACAACTAGGTGAGTACAAGGTTATAAACCCATGGAACTTCCTACCCCCACGAAGCCGTAAATGCCAAATCTGTTAAATTTTTAGGTACAGCTGGAAAAAATTAAGGCAAATTTAGCCTTCGACGAGCCACCAGCTTCCTGTCCTCGTCGAGGCCACTAAGGTTAGTGGTCCTCAGGTAAATCAGGTAAACTCTTGTCGTGTAAAAATGTAGCAACAATACGAGGGGGCAGCAAGAGCCCGACACCCAACGTCCCAAAAGAACCTTAAAAAGAGTCCAAAAAAAGACCTGTCAGTCCCTGGAACCTCTCAGCCAAGCCGGTGCCGGACCGCCTATCACAGCCCTACTCAAGACCTAACCAAGAAAACTCACAAAACCTATCAACTTTCCTGTGGTGTCAGACGCCGTAGCAATCCCAGATGACGATGAAGGATGCCTCACACGGCTGTATTGAGCTCCAACTGGCAAAATTCGCGATGAGTTTCCCAATGATCTCAAGACTGGGGAGGAATCATGCGTGTACCCAGTATCAGAGCTCGGAGTGTCTCTGGTGTTGTGAATTAAGGGGGCGACGACGAGGTTTGTGAAAGATGACGAAGTGTTGTTGTTGGGTCGCTTCTCACCCTCCTCTTGTAAGATCTACGTTTTCTATGAGAACTCTCCGCCGATGCAGCGGTGGATGTAACCTATCCACCGCTGCCCACTGGATGGGGGGCGGTGTGCAGGACAAACATATCAATTGTGACTCTAGCTCTCCACATATGTCAGTTGCTTAATTTAGAACCTGTACTTGAGGTCGATCGCGAACCCATTGTTGATGTGACGACTTATATTGAATTTTGTAACTAGCTCATCAAGATTGTAACTTGCTTAGCTAAATGAATTGTGGGGTTCAAACTAAACTAAACTAACGATGAAAGCTGTTTAGCTTGGAGACTGTACTTGTGGTCGGTCTCGAACCCATTATTGATAACAACATAAGAATAAAGGTAACTGCAGAATGAGCTGCATACGGGGCAGTTCCTATTTATAACCACCCAATCCCACTCATATACATGTCCAACCCATGCTTGATACAATTAAGGGACTCCACGTGCACCACATTATGCGGTGGATTGATGTAACAATATAGATTAAATCTTATAACTAGCTCATCAACACTGTAACTTACTTAGCTAAATGAATTTTGGAGTTGTTATTGTTGTTGCTGTTGTTGTTGATTTAGGGGCGACGACGATCGAGGGATCGGATGCGCCCGGGCTGCCCGACACTGGGAAATGAATCCTAAATTAAGCGGAAGGTATGTCGAAGGATGTCATAACAGACGTCCTCATCTCTCGCGCCCGCTCCGTCGAGGAGAACGGGAACCGTGAGGAGAAGAATATAACCAACTTACAGACAGCACTCTCTCACGGGAGACATCTCCCGTCACGCAGGGTGCAGTCGCACCTCCAAAGATCTCCAGTATCATCTATTGATACTGGTAATGGCTCAAAAGGGCCACCACTTACGGGCTATTCATGCCTGTGCCACATTTGAGTGGCTTAATCTTTATCAATCAATCAATCAGTTGGTATACTCTCCAAAATTGTTGGTATTTTTGGTAAAACAGTTGGTATACTCTCTAAAATAAGATATTATGTTCCCAACTCTGCTCTCCTCTCACTATATTATGCACTTATCTATCCCTATCTTAATTATGGTATCTGTGCATGGGGGTCTACCACTGCAAACCACCTTAAGCCCATCATCACCCAGCAAAAATTTGCTATCAGAATAATATCAAACTCTGCTTTCAGACAACACTCAGCTCCCTAGTTTAAATCCCTTAACTTGCTAAATATTAACTCCATTCCATCTATCATCATATAACTATCATGCAAGAGGAGCCACACATCTATGGATCATCCAATAAAATCAGCAGACTTCTAGATGTTACTACTGCTCGGCTTGGACTCGGTTACAAGTATCTCTGGGAATTCTCATTATCTGCTGATGTAGACCTGACCAAATGTAAACTGTGTCAACAAAATTATTCACACACCCTCCGTCACTATGTGATGGAGTGCGAAAAGATACGTGAATTTAGAGACAATTCTATAATCAATGTTCCAGCGATGTGTAAATATTTCATTCAAATTCAAATGTTTATTCAGGTAAAGTACATACATACAAGAGGTTATACAAAAATTGATAGATTTATAGTTAGAGCTAGTACATACAATGCCTAAAGCCTATATTACGCAAAACGTTTCGGGCAGGAAAAACATTAATGACTAAAACTTAATACTAATTGAGATTAAAGTATAAAATATGTTAAGAACAAATAAAAATAAAAAAGGGGGGAACATGGCAGAAAAAGCAGCACAAATACAATTAGGTCGACAAACAGCGTTGTTTAAAAAATAACAGACATGGGTTGACAATATAAGGGTAAGTTAGTTTACAGGGAATTTATTAGGTAGTGCTTAGTTTTTATCTTAAACTGGTTGAGAGAGGTACAGTCTTTAACATGATTGGGAAGGTCATTCCACATTCTGGGTCCCTTGATTTGTAGAGCATTTCTAGTTTGATTAAGTCGTACTCTTGGAATATCAAAACGGTATTTTCTGATCAGGGAGGAAAAAGACACCAACAGCGTGGGGGCCTATTTATTTATTAGCAGAACAAGTAAATATTTTCTGCAGACCCTGTTAGTGAAGCGGCTATAACTTGTATATTTTACAACTGCGTAACATGGACATGTATAACTGTGAGTACTATAACTGCAACTTAATAACATTAATACATATGCTTATAGCCGGGAACTAACTAAATCAAGATCTGCAGAAAACCGAATACTTATTATCTATGAGTAAAAGTAAGGCAAATGTCTAACATATTTTTCCTTGAGAATTAGTGCATTTAGAGTAGCATATATTGTCCTAACACGTGGCAGATAATAATGGCCCATTCCAATACATAATGTAAATTGGTAAATTAACCAGTAAATGCAGAATACACATAAAGGGCAAGGTTAACATTACTACTACAAGTCAGAGTAAGTAGCTAACACCTGTACCCCCCTATTAGACTATTTTACAGTAGAAAGGACTTTATTTTACAATAATTCTAGATTCCATCAATAATAACAATAAGGGTAATTTAGTAAGTACTAAAGTATTGAACGAGTAGAGTTGCATAGTTTAGTGACTAAACTGCGAAAAGTTTTAATTTTACAGACTAATACAGACGCATTAAGTCCCTTATACTAATCCAGCGGATATTGTGTATTTAACAGCAGTGGTGGCGAAGCCTTGCAGGTGTGGGAGTGGTCTGGTCCCGTGGTCTGGTCACGTGGTCTAGTCACGTGGTCTGGTCCCGTGGTCTGGTCACGTGGTCTGGTCACGTGGTCAAGAACCGTGGCGGGCGACCTGATAGGAACCATTCAGAAGGCGGGTCTGAACATCATGGTAGTCTCCCGGAGAGAGTAATGGTAGCCCTTCCACGGCTGCCAGTTGATACCGTCCGCGTAGCTGTCGTGTTTACCAACATACTGGTAGCCGTTCAGATTGGAGATGTGACATTTGTCATACCACCAGGCGCCACGGTACCTGCAGTGAGGATAACAAAACACCATTAATTTTACGTCTTTGCCATTGTTATTATGCTCATCGAAACATTTTCGTGGGCGGCCACGTTTCAGGGCTTCATGAAGTAACATATTCTCGTAGTTGTCTTAAGGGTTGTTCCCGTGTTACTTAGGGGCTGTCAAAGTAAGGCTTTGTCACACGATATATTCATGTCAAAGTAAGGCTGTCACATGATATATTCATGTCAAAGTAAGGTTCTGTCACATGATATATTCATGTCAAAGTAAGGCTCTGTGTTACGGCCCTACTGGGGCGTAACCGGGTTCTTCTCTGATGTTATTAGAATTTGGGAATCCGGCCCCAAGTTAGTAGTGGCTTTCAAGGGGTGTGTTCCGTAACGCAAGTAAATTAAAGGGGAAGGGATACAAATACACTAATAAATATATATATATATATATATATATATATTCCACCAACAATAAATAAATATCTCACAGTCACTCGCTGGGTCTATAACTACACTTATGTACAATAACTTGTCTTCCTCCGAAGACTCAGGATGTTTCACGGTGCTCACGATGAGTAGCCCTGGTTCTCTTCTTTGTGGCCCACGATGAATCCTTCGATTCTCTAGGCGAATCTACCCTGGCCACAGGCCAGCCAAATCACAGTCCCACTGGGTGCACCGTCGTGGAGGCCTTCGTTGGGCTTATATCAAGATCCCTGCAAGGTCAAACTACTGACCACCCTTTCTAGGATACAACCCCACAACAGTTGTCTAACTCTCGGGTACCTATTTACTGCTTATTGAACAAGTGGATTAGGTGAAAGGAAATATTCTCAACCATTTTTTTTTCCGCCTGGGATTCCCGGTTGTTAGTCGAGAACGAACATATAATGTTTGCTTTATCATCCACAGCAACTACTGGTACTATAATTTTTGGATGACAGGTAGTATACATGGAAGGCTCAGTATATTATTGTGTAACTGCGTCTCTCGTGCAAGGATTATGAAATGTATTTGAAGAGTGTAAATGAAATGAGCGGACGAGTTGAGTATGAATGTTTTGCAAATAGTCAAGTGAACCTGAGGATACGTACGAGCTAGCACAGTTTGTACCATCACTATCATGGTCAGCGTCGTGGGTGGAGAAGGGGTACCCGTCGTGCCTGGCGCCTCCCAGCCCGTCTCCTGCGTCGCCCGTGTATCTGGTTATGGTAACACGTTAATCATTTCTCGTTACATAGCACGCCGTCTCAGCACTAGCATAATACACTGACAAAAACTGACGCGTCTTTGTCGAAATAATCCTCATTACCTTTTACATTTAGGGCTTAATGTTTTTCTATCATACACCATTATAGTAGAATGCATAACATTAAACTAGACTCGAAAACAAGTGACTTTTATTTTAAAAGATTTCTTATGAAAATAACTATATTTTATCAGAGTTCAATGAAAATTTCTGGTAATGATCTTACCTTCCGACGCTGATGCGATAATGTGTGTGGGGAGACCCTATGTTGAAGCGTCCGTACTTTGCCCATCGTTGTTCTCCCTCGTAATTCTTAAGGTCAATCCTCAGTTCCTGAAGGGTGACAGAAGTGAGTTCGTGGAGAAGGTCGAGACCCAGCCAGAACTCGCCCTCTAGATGACCAAATCCAAGCTGATACTCGACCCATGTACGGTAGAAGTCTTCCCGTTCAGTAATGTTGCGTCGTCTCTGAAATACGGTCCAGCCGCCGCCGTCGACAGTTTGGTCACAGTAAACGGTGACGGAGGCATCCGGGTGCTTGAGGAACGGGTACACCTGCCGGATGCCGGCCCCGGTGTCGCCAGCGGCCAGAAGGTCTCGGCAGTGTCGCGGACGTTTCCTGTTAGTGGTGTTGTCTTCTATTGCTGTCCTCACAGCTGACATCGTCTCCTGCAAGAGGCACTTAATGAGATAACGAGGAAAGATTAATCTCATATTGCCAAAAGTACTATTACAATTAAAATAAGAAAAATACTAATAATACAGCGAATTAATTGCTGGACCGGTGAAAATAACGGTAAACTTGCTAAGAAGTCAAGGGGGGACTTCGCCAGCGATAAAGACTTCCAATGCAATGTCTCAGGGGGTCCCATCCATGAATAAGATAAATGGAAGCTGGGTGGATCTTCGATGTTTAATTGAAAAAGTAGGGCATTCAACCTAATTCGCTACGTTTACAGCCTAACTTTGGCGGTAGTGAACACGGATCCATTAAGATATAGTTGTCAGTAATCCATTTATGGCAAGCCGGTCTGCCTCGATATGCATGTAAAGCTATGACCAAAATGCATGTTCTGTGCACTAAAGTATTCTTAAATTGGAGAGTAGGGCTTTCAGGGATATGGAGTATTTTGTCGGTGAGGTTTGTCTTTGTCACTCCTCATCCGCTTTGTATCATCCGCAAACATATTTAAATGATCCATTTTCTGTCCCATGTCAGCACCGCTCCTGTGCCAGGTAAGTCCACTACGGGCTCATCATAGCCCGTGCTACTTGCCCCGCTCCCGTGCCAAGTAAGCTACGGGCTCATCATAGCCCGTGCTACTTGGAACTTGTTCCGAGTAGCTGAATCTATAACACCAACAACTGTCCCATGACCAGTTACAGCCCCGCTTCTGTGCCAGATAAGTCCACTACGAGCTCACCACAGCCCGTGCTACTTGCTACTTTTGTTCCGAGAAGTTGAATCTAAATCTAAAACAAAAACTGTCCCGTTCGGAATTCCCGATTGTGAGTCTAGAGCAAACTCAAATGTACTCACCTTTATTAATGATATGAATTGGGCTTCTTCCTGGCCGGTGCAGGTGGCGAGGGCGGTGGCTACACAGGAGGGGCTGAAGCCTGCAGCCTGCAGCAGGGACGGCACCACCGGACACCCAGCATGCTGGCTGTTGGGTACAGATTGTGCTATCACCAGCACCGCCTTCGTCAGCACCCACGCCAACATCCACCTAAACATCGTTCTCGGAGGTGTAAAATGTCCAATGCAAGGTATCATATATTACAAATTGTAATATATGATGGAGTTTGGAAGACGTTTTACTACCGTTTACACACTATGATAATTGCCAGTTATAACATTGACGACGCGATGGTATTGTGACGACTGTTTAAAAGAGAGCAGCTTGTAGTGTGCAGAAAGGTTGGCGCTGACTTGCGTCGGAGTGGTGGTAGTGAGCCTAGCTCAGCACTGAAGTCTGAAGCCTCACTGTTGAAGATCAACACTGACTATTCTCATGGTGTGTACGTGACTCAACCAGCATTTAATCTGGCAGTTTGGGTTTTCCTGAGCGCAAGGTGGGATGCTGTGGCAATACAACGCTACCTCCAAAGTCTGTAAGACAGATTCTCCTCCCAAAACGTACAGACGTATATAAATTACGTGTTCTCGGCTTGAACATCTTTAGGTTAAGACCTATGTACAGGTTCGATGTTTTCTGGTGTAATTGTTTTTGTTATTTAGAGTAGATTTATATCTAAGATTTGTATATATGTTAACGCACCCACTGTGTATGCTCAAGTGGAAACAAGCGTGGAGATGGCTGTGTGAAAGAGGGCGTGAGAGAGTTGTGGTGGAGGGGTGTGGCGCGGACGGTGACTCTCTGAGCCGCCACCAGGTGAAGGTGGAGTCTCATGGAGAGTTTGTTGCGTGGGGTCATGAGATGGGGAGGGGATGTAGGATTTTGAGTCTGTTGCTGCAATAGCAAAGACTAGCACAAATTAAGACAATGATTATGTAATTATCAAAAGAAGGCACCAAGTCGGGGAGGCTATGTAGCACCATCAAATGTGCGGGATATTCAAAAGATGCTAAATATCCCCAAGGATGCCAATATGAGAACAAAAGGGCATAAAGCAAGCGATATCAAAAGTATCCGATTCACCAAGAATTCTATCGAGGGACAGGTGACCGCGAGGGACGGTCGGGAAGCAAGACAGGATTAAGTCGATTCAAAAAGATATATATAACATTGGGCTGAGAAAATCAAGAGATCTATAATGAACAGCAATAATTAAAACATTATGTCCGGATAAGCACGAACTCGTCCTTCACATATGGAACGGAAGTACTCAGTGTACACGAAATTAAGATTAGGGTATTAATATTTACTGGCAATGTTTGTGAAAAATTATAAGGGATGTCTAATATACCGAGCGCCAACACATTATACCACTATGCTCTTGAAAGTAAATTAATAAATAAATATATAAAAAGAATATTTGTAATGTATCGCATCAAATTATATGAATGTGTAAAAATTGCACGCTAGAGAATTTTTAAGAGATTCAAAGGTTTTGCACTAAGGATGTAATGATAAACTTAGTTTAAGCAGGCGATGAGTCACAATAACGTGGCTGAAGTAGTTTGACCAGACCACACACTAGAAGGTGAAGGGACGACGACGTTTCGGTCCGTCCTGGACCATTCACAAGTCGATTGTGAGACTTGAGACTTGTGAGACACATCGACTTGAGAATGGCCCAGGACGGACCGAAACGTAGTCGTCCCTTCACCTTCTAGTGTGTGGTCTGGTCAAACTTAGTTTAATGTAATGCATAATTAATTTGTTTATGTAATGTATAATTAATTTGTTTATGTAATGCATAATTAATTCATATAAATGTAATTCCAATGTATAATATAACCATGATATACATAATTATGACAAGTATGATGTATGTATGTTAGGGACAATTTGAAATGTAGTCTCAAAGAGGGAATCAAAACTGAGCCACACACAGAAGCTATTTGGATAGAATTAAACGAAAAAGCAAATAATCTTATAATAGGAGTTATATATATAGGTCACCAAATTTAGACAGAATGGAAACAAAGCATCTATGGGATGAAATATCTAGGGCATCTAGGTCTAACAGTATTTGTGTCATAGGGGACTAATTTCAGTGGAATAAACTGGGTGAACAAAACAGGGAATAATGAAGCATAAGATTTTATAGAATTAATTGACGATTGGTTTCTTACGCAACACATTAAGGAACCAATGCGGGAAAATAATATTTTAGATTTAGTGTTAACTAACAGGGAAACACAGATTAATGACATCGAAATTGGGAGTGAACTAGGGGAACAGTGATCACAAAGAAATCAGATTTAGCATAGAGTGGAATAGATTTGCAGGAGAAAATTATGTTAAAGTGCCAGATTTTCGTAAAGCTAATTTTAATATCCTAAGAAATTTTTTGGGTCAAATAGATTAGAAAGTCTTGGGCATAGGGGGTGGGCCGGTCTTGAAGCAAGACGTGAACCCGGCGATGTGTGATGTAAAAGAGGATTTGGATTTGGATTCAAATTATAACCTATTTACAAATATTCTAAGCAAAGCACAGGAAAGTAGTATACCTTACAAATTGAATAGATCAAATACAAATGACCCGAAATGGATAACAAAGGATCTGAAAAATTTTATAGGTAGAAAGAGAGCTTGGAACAAAAGGATTAAGAATGGCGAAGTCAGTTTAGTACAAGAATTCGCACAACTGTGTATGTGTATGTATATATGTATATGTATATATATATATATATATATATATATATATATATATATATATATATATATATATATATATATATATATATATATGTCGTACCTAATAGCCAGAACTCACTTTTCAGCCTACTATGCAAGGCCTGATTTGCCTAATAAGCCAAGTTTTCATGAATTAATTGTTTTTCGACTACCTAACCTACCTAACCTAACCTAACCTAACTTTTTCGGCTACCTAACCTAACCTAACCTATAAAGATAGGTTAGGTTAGGTTAGGTAGGGTTGGTTAGGTTCGGTCATATATCTACGTTAATTTTACCTCAAATAAAAAAAAATTGACCTCATACATAATGAAATGGGTAGCTTTATCTTTTCATAAGAAAAAAATTAGAGAAAATATATTAATTCAGGAAAACTTGGCTTATTAGGCAAATCGGGCCTTGCATAGTAGGCTGAAAAGTGCGTTCTGGCTACTAGGTACGACATATATATACATATATATATATATATATATATATATATATATATATATATATATATATATATATATATATATATATATATATATATACATGTATGTTTGAGTATGTGTACATGTATATATAACATTAATAATTGTGTAACTAGCGTCAAAAGATTATTTGCTTAGCTAAACGAACTAGAGGGTTCAGTTCCTGAACCGATTATGTGCCTCTGTAACCCTTTACACCACCGCCCACGGGATGGGTATGGGGTGCATAATATAGAAAGAAATTGAATTGCCCGGTAGCGTCTTGTGTAAATGTTGGAAGTAGACTTGTGGAGCTTCACATAGCATGTTGATGACTGTTGATGGTGCTGGAGAAGATCCGCGATATATCCTGAGCGTCTGTCACTCAACCACTATTGGAGTTAGATTGGTTATAATAATTATTGATTGATGAAGATTAAGTCACCGAAGAGGTAGTAAGGGTATAAATAACCCGTAAATGATAATACAATTGATTGATGATGATGATTAAGCCACCCAAGAACATGATAATACCTTTGGCTTACAACTGACCTTGTGTTGAATACAGTTTGCCACAGGCAAATTGATCATCATTTGGCCTGATGGGAAACTCGCTGGTTGCTTTTGTTTTTTTTCAAGTCGTGGAAACGTTGCACTCGACGAGGAAGTGCACTGTGATTGCTGGTCACTGTGATTGATGATTGATTGATGAAGATTAAACCAACCAAAAGATGGCGCGGGCATGAAAAGCCCGTAAGTGGTGGCCCTTTTGTGCCATTACGAGTATCAAGAGCTGATACTGGAGATCTGTGGAGGTGCGACTGCACCCTGCGTCACGGGAGATGTCTCCTGTGACTGTGATTGATTGATGATTGATGAAGATTAAGCCATCTAAAAGGTGGCACGGGCATGAATAGCCCGTAAGTGGTGGCCCTCTTGAGCCATTACCAGTATCAGTAGATGATACTGGAGATCTGTGGAGGTGCGACTGCACCCTGCGTGACGGGAGATGTCTCCCGTGAACTGTGATTGATTCATTGACTGAAGATAAAGCCACCACAAGAGGTGGCACAGGCATGTGTAGCCCGTAGGTGGTAGATGTATTATTAATTACCGATGCCATTAATGTAATTACATATGTCTTTGTGAATATTCACAATGCATTCCATTGTGAATATTCCATTGTATACATATTCACATTTCATTATGAATATGATTGCAAGTGTCATCAGTGATTATTGTGATATGTGGCTGGCACATTGGAAGTAATGTGGTATGATGCTACACAACAATTTCCTTAAATATTTTAACTGCTTAAAGGACTGAAAAGAGTTCGATCTTTTAATATTTAATGTGAGACTTTATTCTTATAAACAGGTGTGATTGTTACAACCTTAATTGTGTCAGAGAATTTGTGAGGAAGATAATGTAAACCAACAGGAGACAGACACTCACATGTGAGCACACACCTACATAATCGACCCGAGAACACAGAAGCTGCACACTTGCTGGCAGTTGCAAGCACTTCCTCACACACGAGTGTGGATCATTCACCCTCACATTAATCATGCCCACCTTGAGGTTATCTTGAAGTTACTTTGAGATGATTTCGAGGCTCAGCGTCCCCGCGGCCCGGTCCTCGACCAGGCCGTATTAATTCTGTACATGAATTTACCTGCAAGGGCAACAATCTGTCATAATGGCTATTAGAGATGATAACATAATGGGTGTAGTAACTGTAGACGAGAAGTGGTAGTGAGCAAGTTTGCGATATGGAAGCAGTTTTCGATGCATGAATATTTTGACATGTATTAATGTGCCATATAACGAGGTACACTGGACACGTAGTCTCGTGAAGCGGTGGTGAGTGATGCCGGTCACTGAGTGATTCCTTGATTGAAGATTAAGCCATCACAAGAGGTGGCACGGGCATGAGTAGCCTGTAGGCTACGGATATGTTCACTGCATTACATAGTCAAGGTATTCATCAATTGAATACCCAAAAAGATCAAAATCTAGTTTAAATCTATCATAGAGCAACCAAATTTGTCTTTTTGTTAAGCTCTTAAAGTAATCAGGAAGAACAGCCGTTGACGCTTGATCTCTCTTCAAATTTCTCCATTCATGAACATTCTGAATTTCCTTGAGATCTGCCACGTGTGCCAGAAACTGTTCATCAGCAACCATCGTCTCCAGCTTTATCACCAGCTGGTAGTCCGAGCTACAGACCCCACACTGCACCCAGTATGGCGTCCAGCACACTACCTGCAACACAAAATAACTTCTCTCAACATTTGTACTCGTCCAGGCATCGGTAGGATGAACCCTTCATGTAAACTGAACGTATCATCAAGAAAAAGAAAGGAAGGCTCGTTTGTTATACTTACTGAAACGTGGTTAAAAGATGATAACATATAATAACAACAACTCTGAACATATAGGATAACAACTCTTTAACATATTAAACTTCTCAGCAACTCACAACTGTCGACCAATTCAGAGAGGTGGTGGTGCTGCTCTTTACTACCACCAAGAACTGACATGCTTAAAAGTAATTAGAACTAGAGACTACTGTGGGGAGTATATCTTCGCCAGTTTCAGAGTCAAGGGTGCTGAGTCTGTCCTGACTGTGGGAGCAGTCTATAGAATTCCTAACACTGATAATTAATTCCTAACAACCACCTTCTCCTTAAATTACATCAATATGGAACCAGAGGTCACTCCCTGCAATACCTTTAGTTTTACCTTACTGACAGGCTCCAATATGTTTCTGTGAATAATTCCATTTCCCCCACTCTACCCATCAACATTGGTGTTCCACAGGGTAGCATACTCGTCCCTCTCCTCTTTCTCATTAACATTAATGACCTTCCAAATGTCTCTCAACAACTTAAACCAGTTTTATTTGCTGATGACACAACCTTCATTTTCTCCAGTCCTGACCCTCTTGCTCTGAATGATACAGTGAATACACTGAACTAAATAAAGTTTATCTTTGGCTAACTGCTGACACACTCACCCTTAACAGTAACAAAATCTTCTATATTTTATTTGGTAATAAATCCTCAGATCAAAATATTCTAAGAATAAACAATATCCAAATTAGTCACAAAGTACATGGTAAATTCCCTGGTGTTCTCATCGATAACAAGCTGGGTTTCAGATTAAGATTAGCATTTAGGAACAAGGTTTTGTACATGTAAATAGCACATGAGAATGTGTGGATTGAGTGTATGGTTAGCATGTTAAGGGACTTAAACAGAGAGGCTGTGTGTTGTCTGAAGACAGAGCTTGTTATAGTTTTGATAGCAGATTTGTGCTGAGTGATGATGGGCTTGAGATAATTTGCAGTGGTTGAACCCCATGCACATGTACCCTTTATTCCACTATATAGTCGTAATGGCTTACCACTTTTCCCTAATAATTCTCTCCCTCCTTTCCTGTGTATAGTCGCTGCGTGTCGTGTGGTTAGAGGTTTGGCGGCTGGATTAACGAGCTTGGATCTTTGTATGTGAGGATAGGCTGGGTTAGGGGTTTGGCGGTTGGATGAGCAGACATTTGTCCAGGCTCGGAATCTTCATTAATATACTAAATCACAAATCGACATTTATTTTCATGTCTCATGCTAAAATATCTGCTTTTAAAAGCTGAAGCTTTTTATAAATGCAGTATATACTTAGAAAGTTCATAAACTATTACACAATTTATAAACAATATTCATTTCTAACATTTGCCCTGTATAATAAAACATCTGCCAAGACTGTGTTGCCACTCAGAAAGTGACTGTGTTAAACTAACTGGAAACCTAATATATATATACAGAGGTATACCCGTACATCTGTGGTAATGTAATATACACAGTTTTAGTCCTGGACAATGTTCAGGACTAAGGTATATACTTGCTCCTTGTTCAGTAAACTATTGTGGTCATCTTAAACCCACCTCTAAACCAAATTCAAAGTTTATTTTGAAACTCACGTCGCATTTTTTGTTATAAATTTAGCAAGAAATACTGCATTACATGGGCATTACATGGCATTACATGGACGATGTGCATTGAATTTTGTAACTAGCTCATCAAACAGTAACTTGCTTAGCTATATGAATTGTGGGGTTCAGTCCCTGAGCCCATTATGTGCCTCTGTAACCCTTTCCACTACCGCCCACAAGATGGGTATGGGGTGCATAATAAATGAACTAAACTAACATGGGCTGAACACTTACTTCTTCATACCACTGCTTGGCAGTCTTCAGGTTCTCAGTTGAGTCGATAACATAGTTGACAAACTCTGAGAAAGTTGGAGATGTCGAATTAACATTAGTGTTGGCCACTCTGTACTTGAGCATGATGGCCCGTTGGAGATCCAGGAAGTATGGCACAAACGGCTTGGGTTTCGGATTCTCAATTTTGTCCCTGTACGCAGACAGCAATCTGAAAGACACGAGTTATATGGGTACAGGAAAGCAGTCGACAAGTGCTACTCTTCATTACTACTAGCAAACTTTAAACTAAAGGAACATTAATGTTCTAATCTTGGATACATATTACAATCCTCTTCAAGAATTATATTCCAGGACAATATAACTGAAAACATGAAATAATTAATAATAAAGAGGAGTGAGGATAGTGAGGCACCTGGCGAAGGGATGGCGGACAACGATGAAGCGAAGGGACTGACGGAAGACTTCACTCTTCTTCTGGGCCGTCTTGGGGGCCTTGTACTCCTCGAACACCCTCCGGTGGCCCCCACCAAAACGGGGCTGAAATTATGGTTCCAGTTTAAATAATTTAGATTTATATTACTGATAAGATATTCCTCTGTTTATCTTAAACCATGAGTGCCCAAAACAATTTATGCTCTTAAGGAAACTGCAACAAATTGCTCAGCCTATTTATGCATAAATAGGAAAAAGTACCTATTTTCCTGCCATAGTAGCCCACCTTAATGTGTTAGTTACACTTGCCTAGTAGTGTACTATCTAAACATACAACTCCTTAACTTATAATCACCATCTTACCTTATTACTGTACTGTTATATACACTAGTCATTACCAAACTGTAATTATGGCATCTCTCACATTAATGCGATCTCTCATTAATTAATGCGAATGTTGTAAAACATTCGAGAGAATGGTCCTAAGCCGTCTCCTCCATAGAGTAAGAACATGCTAACATTCCACGTGTCCCTGGAAATTCAGCTTGTGATCAATGAGAACGCCAAGGAATTTGCCATCTACTTTGTTACAAATTTGGGTATTGTTAATCCTGAGATTTATTTGAATTGAGGATTTATTGCCAAACAAAATATAGAAAGTTTTGTCAATATTGAGGGTGAGTTTCTTGGCAGTTAGCCAGTGATGAACTTTATATGTAAACATTGTATTCAATATTTCATTGTATTCAAGGTGACGACTATTGTTGTATTATAAATCCTATATTTAACGGTTTAACATTGAATACCGAAGACAAGTCATTTAAAATATACTTTGGATGATATTCTAATATTGGAGATAACAGAGTATCTTAAATATTTCAACGTACTTACCATGTACTTCTTCCTGTCTCTGCTTCTGGACTTGTACTTGTGCAGGGCGGCGTTGTTGTCGTTGACGTGGGCCAGACGCAGGAAGTACACCATCCACGTCGTCGACGCCACCTTCACCCACACAGTCAAATGAAACTCTTTATTATTCACCAGCGTTCAGTTGTGACACTATACACTGACACAATCATCATTCCTGCTGGAAGACTTAGTTAACTAAAGATGTTTAATAGTTGTCGAGCAGCGGTTGGTTTATTGTGCGCCCCATACTCATCCTGTGAGTGGTTGTTTATTGTGCACACAGTACTGAGCAAACCTGTCGAAAAGAACTTAATTTATTCGGTAAGAAAATTTGAAATATGAGGTATTTAAATACAATTTTGTTTTAGATTATCAAACCACATAACAGTCTTGGAGCAGCCTAGCAATTATTAAAGGGCATAACAATCTTGGCCCAGCCTAGTACTTCAACATTACACACTCAAATGTAACATACAACAATGATCTTATGATTATTACACACAGAAATCACAATAGCCTGATGCATCCAATGAACAAATCCACAAGGGTCGTGATGAGCATTCGAACCTACGAGTCCGTATAAACAACTGGGCCTCTACCCTTCAGACTGAACTATTTGCCTTGATCCTTGCACTGAAATGTGTACAAGTCTCAAAACTTGATACATTAATTGTAAGTGACTCCTTATCATCCTTAAATGCTCTCAACTCTTTAAGACATAACTGTAACATGCTCGTGTCCGAAGCTAGACACAAATACAACAAAATTACTAAGGATGGTAACAGAGTCCATTTCATGTGGTCTCCATCACATGTTGGCCTCCGAATGCATGATAGAGCTGATAAGTTAGCCAAAGAATCTGCCTTTAAAGGAGCCGTTGAGTGTAACCTTGGATTGTCAATGAGCAATCTGAGAGCAGCTGTACACCGAGAACTTCAACAAGATCTTGTAGATCTGAGGCAAAGTGAAATTGACACCAGTAATTCCATCTATCATCATACTATCATGCAAGAGGAGCCACACATCTATGGATCATCCAATAAAATCAGCAGACTTCTAGATGTTACTACTGCTCGGCTTAGACTCGGTTACAAGTATCTCTGGGAATTCTCATTATCTGCTGATGTAGACCAGACCAAATGTAAACTGTGTCAACAAAATTATTCGCACACCCTCCGTCACTATGTGATGGAGTGCGAAAAGATACGTGAATTTAGAGACAATTCTATAACCAATGTTCCAGCGATGTGTCAATATTTCATTCAAAATGATCTGCTACCAGAAATTTTAGCCAAATATCCCCAGTTTGCTAACTGTAGGTAGTAACTAAGTGATTGTAACCTATCCACCGCTGCCCACTGGATGGGGGGCGGTGTGCAGGACAAACATATAAATTTTGACACTAGCTCTCCATATGTCAGTTGCTTAATTTAGAACCTGTACTTGAGGTCGATCTCGAACCCATTGTTGATGTGATGACTTATATTGAATTTTGTAACTAGCTCATGAAGATTGTAACTTGCTTAGCTAAATGAATTGTGGGGTTCAGTCCCTGAGCCCATTATGTGCCTCTGTAACCCTTTCCACTACCGCCCACAAAATGGGTATGGGGTGCATAATAAATGAACTAAACTAACTAACGTCCGAGAGGATCCCAATGGAATGGAACTATCAGGAGAAAGTGCCAAGCTATTACGACTATATAGCACTTGGAAAGGGTCAGGATAAGGATTTGGGATGGGACGAGAAGAAGGAATGGTGCCCAACCACTTGGACGGTCGGGGATTGAACGCCAGTTTGTGCGTTCACAGAAAAAAAGGTCTGTGCTACGACACGCTTTTTTGACTGTGTCGTGGCACAGTTGATTAAGGCGCGTCTGGGATGCTCTCGGACGTAGGTTCGAACCCACATCACGGCCCTTGTGGATTTGTTCTTATGATTATCATGATTAGGAAAATTAATACATTACATTAGGGCTGACTATTTTTTTCTGTAATCGAGTAGTGAACACACGGAACACCTTAAGAGATGATATAATTCATTGTAAATCCCTGCATACCATTAACATAGAAATGACCGGTACTGGTCTTCAAATCCGCGCTTTTCACTGTTCCACCAAACGCTTTCCACAAATAATTAGCCTAGTGTGGAACTACCTGAACTACCTCCACTCGTTTGAATGGTTTACTTAAACAGGTATACCCAACATGGGTCTCTTTGTATGCACACATACCTGCGGCCTACTAAATATGGCCCAACAAAACAAAACTATACGTGATTGAATAATCTTAAAGTCTGTGAATAGACAATAGAAGTTTATGTTGCCGTTTAAAATTTAGTTTTTTCTTTTGTTAAACTACTTCATTACTTTGCATTCTTGAATGTGGCTATATGACCGCTAAACCATTTGTATGTACATTGTATGTTTCTAAGTTTAAGTAATACAAATATTCTGCAATAATTTGTATTTAATGACTTGAATCACTTGTGGTGTGTGGCCCTCATGACAACACAAATGTGGCCCCATGAGGCCCTCAGTTGTAGTGTGTGGCCCTCATGACAACACAAATGTGGCCCCATGAGGTCCTCGGGGGCCTTCAGTTGTGGTGTGTGGCCCTCATGACAACACAAATGTGGCCCATATGGCCCTCGGGGGTAGAGGGGGGGACCCTCGGTTTGACTTGCCTCGTTTACTATCTACTAAAGTTGCTAGTGAGACCATTGGCCCCCCTGGCCAACACGTTGGTACAAATTAACCCATCCTCCTGTTTATAAAGATGGTACTTTTTCTATGTGAACCATCGTACATATATTGACGTAAAATGCAATTAGACAGAATTTAGTACTATTAACTTTATAGTCCGAAAGAATAAAGCTAAAAACCAAAGTTATATATTGCTAGGCCTAGTATGGCATACATATATGTATAATATTAGGTCTCAGCGTGTATTAGGCCTAGGAAGGTTAGGTTAGTTTAGGTTTATTTTGCAACAAATACATAATCTTTACCGGTTTGTCTAAATTCAATAGTATCTATTTCTACTTTCTAATTGCCTCTTACGTCAACATATGTACAATGGTCCTCATCGTTACTGTAAGTACTACCTAAACGGGAGAATGGGCTGGATAACACACACCTGACATCCCAGCAACACCTGACTAATACACACGACAATCATACCTACTTGAATACAATTATTTCAAATGTAAGTCACGCAAGGAATGATTTCATCTATATAGTTTGCGTGCTCCAGCTTACCTTATAAATAGGACAGTAGACGAGAGGAGGCGTCCTGGACACATCCCACACCAGGTTGATGTACTGGCGGGTGGCTGCTTCAGGGTGTCTCAGGCAGGTCTCCGTCAGCCGCCCAACACGCTCCTTCTGCACCGCCATTTGCTCAGATATCAGCCTCTCAATCTGGCCGAGAAGGAATAAGATGCTCAACTAGATTCAGATTCTTTATTCAGGTGAAGGTACATCCATTGAGTTACATAATGATGGATTTAAAGATCGAGATAGTACATACAATACCTAAAGCAAACTAGTACGCACAGCGCTAATAATAATAATAATAATATATTCACAAGAAGGTACAATGGGTTGGTGAGATTACATAAGATTGGTGTACATTCTTGCAAAGCCACTAACACGTATAGCGTTTCGGACAGGTCCTTAATCTAACATATCAGGTAAGATAAAAAGGTACATTGTAGCAAGGTTTTATATCAACAAATAACTACAATATAAATTGACAGATGTGATTACACTGGTAAAGATATATGTCTTAAGTACTAATATTGGGTAAGTGGGTAGTGCAAGATACAGTGTGAGTTTGAAGCACAAGGTAGGAAACTAAGAGGATGAAATTAGGTACTTTTTGGTTTTACTTTTGAATAAGGCAAAGGTTGGACCATTTTTTAATTCGACGGGGAGCGAGTTCCAAAGACTGGGTCCTTTTATTTGCATGGAGTGTTTGCACAGATTTAGTTTGACTTTGGGGATATCAGCCCAGCCACTTGGTCTGAACGGTCTCGCTTAATGCAGGTCGGTGTTCAATATCCGACAGTCCAAGTGGTTGGGTACTATTCCTTCCTCCAATTCCATTCTAAATCCTGACCCTTTCCAAGTGCTATAATCGTGATGGCTTGGCGCTTTCCCCTGATAATTCCCTCCCCTCTGGGGATATCAAAGATATACACACAGAAATCACAATAGCGTGATGCATCAAATGAACAAATCCATAAGGGCCGTGATGAGGGTTCGAACTTACGTCCAGGATGATTCCAGACGCGCCTTATCCTCCAGACGGGAGGAATTGTGTAAAAGCCTGGTTTGTGTCTCAGAGAGGTTGCAGGATTCGTGAGAGGGTAGAAGCACTCCCGGTTGCAATTCTTTTAACCATGTTGTGGCAGAGTCGACTAAGGCGCGTCTGGGATCATCCCGGGCGTAAGTTCGAACCCTCATCATGGCCCTTGTGGATTTGTTCATATCAGAGATATATTTATTTCTGGTGTGTGCTCATAGGTTGACTCCTATTAAAGATCAGATCAAGATCAACATTTAGGAACAAGTTTTCTACACGTAAACAGCACATGAGAATGTGCTATTTTCACATTGGCATATAACATCAGTAATAAAATTGATGGAAAGTTCTTTGGCCTATGCTTAGACAAGAGACTCAACTTCAGCACCCACATACAACACATAACCAAGAAAATCTAAAAAACGATTGGCATACTCTCTAAAATCAGATATTATGTTCCAAACTCTGCTCTCCTCTCACTATATTACGCGCTAATCTATCCCCTGTCTTACATACGGTATCTGTGCATGGGGTTCAACCTCTGCAAATTACCTCAAGTCCATCATCACTCAGCAAAAATCTGATATCAGAACAATAACAAACTCTGCTTTCAGACAACACTCAGCCCCCCTGTTTAAATCCCTAAACCTGCTAAACATAACCTCACTCCACACATTCTCTTGTGCCAATTACATTTACAAAACCTCTGTTCTTAAGTGCAAATCCTGTTCTGAAACTCTTCTTGGACAGATATAACAGAACACATAATCACCACACCAGAAATAAATATCTCTTTGATATCCCCAGAGTCAAACTTAATCTGTGTAAACGCTCTATGCAAATAAAGAGAAAATATTGAATTTCCGGAAGAAACACAAGTGGGATATGCAGATGATGTTATAATACAAGCTCCCACCTTGGAAAAAGTTAAACAGTCCATGGAACTCCTTGGAAGGAAATGTGTTGAACTCAGTTTCACTCTCTCCACAAACAAGACAAAAACATACTCCCATCACAAGCGGAGGGGTCAAATGAAGAACTACAAATTAATGGTGTAACACTTGAATGGGTTGACCACTATCGGTACCTTGGCGTCACTGTCGGCTCTAACACGGGGAAGAGAGAGGAGCTCAACCAACTCATAGGAACATGCAAAAGTCGACTCAAGGCACAGATAGCAATGACCTGGAATGGGCATGGAGCCTCTATTGCTGTGCTTAAAATGATGTACACAGCCTATGTGCGCTCCGTCATAGACTATGCCGCGTCAGTTTTGTGCACTTGTTCCCAAAGTGATTTGAAAAAACTTGAAAGCATGCAAAATGAAGCCATGACAATCATTCTTGGAGTCCCATGAACTGTCAAAACATCTAATCTACGAGAGGAGTTGTCCCTCCCCAGTGTTAAAAGCCGAATTCAGTAACTGAATGCTAAGCTTGCAATTAAGATAACCAGAGATCCCCATTACAATGATATTGCCAAGTAAAAACTGAGCTCTGTGCTACTTTCAGGGGAAAACATGAGAAGCAGAAAATGGCATCACAAATCAGTCTGCTACCTCGAAGAACTTCACCTGCTTGAGCAAGCCCGTGAGCTCCTGCCTGTAGAGAGGCATGACATCCTCCTCCCTGGGAGGATGACCCATGCAGGATTATCATCAATGAAATGGCAACGAAAAAGTCCAACATGATACCACAAGGAATGAGGTACAAGTATCTCGAGGAAATCTATAAAGAAGCCGGAAATGAGTTAGATCAAATCTACACTGCTAACCCTGTCAATGGCAGGGCTGGTGCAGCATACACTGTAATTAGGAATAATGCCTTACAACGCGGAAATGAAGGAAAAGCCCGTATTGAGAACTATATTATAAATTTTATAAATTTAATAGAATTTACCTACTTAAAATTATCTGTTATATTAAGGACCTGCCCGAAACGCTGCGCGTACTAGTGGCTTTATAAGAATGTAATCACTATGTTACGTATCTTCACAAACCCAATGTACCTTCTTGTATATAAATAAATAAATAAATAAATGTCTCTTCAACACAAGCGGAGCTAACTGCCATTGTTATAGCGTTAAGATTCCTTGAACGAAGCATTAACGGCGCAGTGATCTGCACTGACTCTAAAGCAGAGCTACAAAGCCTTACTAAAAATCGGGCAGAAAATCTTGCATAGTCGCTGAGATCAAGAGAGTTGTGAGAGTACTAACCAATCAAGGAAGAATCATCAAGTTTCTGTGGATCCCCTCCCATGATGGAATATGTGGGAATGAACGAGCAGATGTGCTGGCTGCTGAAGGAGACCATATTGAATACTTCATACCCAATACTCTACTACAAATTAGAGGTATTGTCAGTCAACATCACCGTGACAAGGTAACTGAGGAAAGGAGGATAGAAGCACAAACCAGTGAATCTGTACGATGGTACAACATGGTTGCAGCTGGCAATCCCAATCATTATGGACGAAGAGGAGGTGGCCGCGGGAGAGAATCAGTAATAGCAAAAATCCGTCTTGGATACAAATATCCATGGAGATATGGAATGGAAACAACAGTTGAGCAGAGGAGTTGCAGAATCTGTGATGAGAGTGACGGACACCGCCTTGACCACTATCTACGTGAATGTGAACACCTGAGAGACATTAGAAATATGTGTAGAATAATAAACCCCAAATTGTTTGTGTTAGGAAAACATTATTTGTCAAATATTGATACTGTTCTTAAAAGATTCCCCCATTTTTCACCCACAAGATAACGTAAGCTTTTAAGGGTTGACGAATGTTAATTTTCTTGTTTGAGGAGCTGTTCACTTGAGACAGTTAAGCAAGTCCCAGCTGTGTCTGGGTACAAGTGACAGGATGAACAACCCAGCGGGTTTTCTTCCTATTGGAGAGTGTTGTACATGCAGCTATGGCGGTATGTCTACTCACAAGATGAGTGACGCTGCCCAATAAACTCGCCCCTCGGGGCAAAATTTAAAAAACAAATCACTCCCAAACGAATTGAAAAGCCGTCCAACTTTTGCCTTATTCAAACCTTATAACCAAAAAGTACCTAATTTCATCTTCATAGTTTCCTACCTAGTGCTTGAAACTCGCACTGTATCTAGTGCTACCCAATTCCCCAATATATGTACCTATGCCATATAACTTTACCATTGTAATCATTGATGTTATCTTATATCATGTAATACACATAGTTTGCTACATTATTTATATCTTGCAATGATCATCAAATTATGGAAAATGTACCTGTGGATAACCCTTAAATTTACTTTAATGTTCCTAATTTTTTCAGTCAAATTTCTTATACAATGTATTTTTATACTTTTTACAATGCATTTTTATTCTTTCTTACAATGTAATTATATATTTTTTATTTTGCTAGAAATCACCTTCTTAAAATTATATGTTAGATTAAGGATCTGCCCGAAACGCTATGCGTGCTGTGACTTTACAAGAACGTAAAACTTCAATGCTCTGTACTCTAATAAACCCAATGTATCTTCTTGTATATAAATAAATAAATAAATATAAATAAATAAATAATAAACAGGAGGGCTGTGTGTGTTGTCTGAAGACAGAGTTTGTTTCTGAAATTAGATTTTTGCGGAGTGATAATGGGTTTGAGTTAATTTGCAGTGGTTGAACCCCATGCACAGACCAATATGTAAGATAGGGATAGATTAGGGCGTAGTATAATGAGAAATTGAAATTGAATTGAAATAAGTTTATTGAGGTAAAATACACACAAAGGGATGAGGTAGCTCAAGCTATTCTCACCCCATTCAGTACAACGTGTTAATACATACATAGACACATCACAAATAAACATATTACCAAACATTCTGAGAGATAAACATATACATTTCCTCCTTCACAAGTAGTATGTTATCAGACGTACACACAAATACTTTTATGACCTAGGTATACTGTATAGACAATTTGCAAGACACATGCAGATAATTCAACAAAATATTACAATCTTGGTGCAAAATTCTTATATCTCTCAAGAATATCATCAACCTTTCCGTTGTGTATAATGAGAGGAGAGCAGAGTGGGGAACATAATATCTGATTTTAGAATGTTTACCAACTGTTTTTGAACCTTTTTTTTTTCCTATGCGTTGTATGTGGGTGCTGAAGTTGAGTCTCCATCATCACCCAGAAAAAATCTGCTATCAGAACAATAACAAATTCCGTTTTCAGACAACACTCAGCCCCCTTGTTTAAATCCCTAAACATGCTAAACATAAACTCACTCCACACATTCTCTTATGCCATTTACATTTACAGAACCTTGTTCTTAAATGAAAATACTGATCCGAAACTCTTCCTTGACAGATGTAATAGGACCCCATAATCACCACACCAGAAATAAATATATCTTTGATATCCCCAGAGTCAAACTAAATCGGTGTAAATACTCTATGCAAATAAAGGGACCCAGTCTATGGAACTCGCTCCCTAATGAAGTGAAAAGCTGTCCAACCTTTGCCTTATTCAAAAATAAAACCAAAAAGTACCTAATTTCATCCTCATAGTTTCCTACCTAGTGCTTCAAACTCACACTGTATCTTGTGCTACCCAATCCCCCAATATATGTGCCTAAGCCACACAACTTCACCATTGTAATCACTGCTATCATCTTATATCATTGTTATAATGAACACATATTTTACTACCTTATATCTAGAAATAATTCTTAATTATGCTACAATGTACCTGTTGATAATCCTCAAATTTTACTATAATGTACCTACTAATCTTCGTCAATATTATTTTACAATGTACCTGTTAACATTTCTTAATTTTGCTAGCAAATTACCTACATAAAATTATCTGTTAGATTAAGGACCTGCCCGAAACGCTATGCGTGTTAGTAAAACTTCAAGTATTCTTATTGAGACAAGAAAGAAATACATCACAAAGGGATAGAGTAGCTTAGGCTATTTCTACCCCCTCTGTACTCTCGTGAACCCAATGTACATTCTTGTATATAATTTTTACAGCGAGATTGGAATGCCCAAATCCAACTTAAAATAAATATATATATTGTTTGGTTATGAAACACAAACCAAACACATTAACATATACAGGTGATGATGCAGCCTATACATGTGCCAATAAATGAAAACAAATCATCGTGTTGATGGAATTTCACTCTCCGGCATGAATGAATATTGTAAACAGAGTAGCGGGCAACCTGCCGGCGAGGAGGAGCGGGGAGCCGCCTCATAACGGTAGTGGGGAAGGATGTAGGTCACCAGCCTTGTTGTCTTGTACCTTAGGGTCGTGGTGGTGAAGGGTCACTTACCTCAGGGTCGTGGTGGTGGTGGAGGGTCACTTACCTCAGGGTCGTGGTGGTGGTGGAGGGTCACTTACCTCAGGGTCGTGGTGGTGGTGGAGGGTCACTTACCTCAGGGTCGTGGGTGGTGGTGGAGGGTCACTTACCTCAGGGTCGTGGTGGTGGAGGGTCACTTACCTCAGGGTCGTGGTGGTGAAGGGTCACTTACCTCAGGGTCGTGGTGGTGAAGGGTCACTTACCTCAGGGTCGTGGTGGTGGTGAAGGGTCACTTACCTCAGGGTCGTGGGTGGTGGAGGGTCACTTACCTCAGGGTCGTGGTGGTGGAGGGTCACTTACCTCAGGGTCGTGGTGGTGGAGGGTCACTTACCTCAGGGTCGTGGGTGGTGGTGGAGGGTCACTTACCTCAGGGTCGTGGGTGGTGGTGGAGGGTCACTTACCTCAGGGTCGTGGGTGGTGGAGGGTCACTTACCTCAGGGTCGTGGTGGTGGAGGGTCACTTACCTCAGGGTCGTGGTGGTGGAGGGTCACTTACCTCAGGGTCGTGGTGGTGGAGGGTCACTTACCTCAGGGTCGTGGTGGTGGAGGGTCACTTACCTCAGGGTCGTGGTGGTGGAGGGTCACTTACCTCAGGGTCGTGGTGGTGGAGGGTCACTTACCTCAGGGTCGTGGTGGTAGAGAGATCACTTACCTCAGGGTCGTGGTGGTGGAGGGTCACTTACCTCAGGGTCGTGGTGGTGGAGGGGGGTCACTTACCTCAGGGTCGTGGTGGTAGACAGATCACTTACCTCAGGGTGGTGGTGGTGGAGGGTCACTTACCTCAGGGTGGTGGTGGTGGAGGGTCACTTACCTCAGGGTCGTGGTGGTGGAGGGTCACTTACCTCAGGGTCGTGGTGGTGGAGGGTAAGGGTGTGGAGGACAGAGCCATTAGTGGGGAGGACGAGGTCAGGCCAGCGGGGGTCGTGGTGGGGGTCGACGACCCGCCACACCCGACACGGGTACAGGTCCCGGGTCGGGTTGCTGGGGCCTCTGTGGTTCTGTATGGCAGAGTTGTAGTCTCTTCGGGAGCAGTTGGTGGCGTTGGGGAACACCGGGTCGTCCCTTCTCCCCCCCGGCGGGTCGGAGGCAGCTAGGGACCTCTCTAAGATCATATTAGTAGGCTTACTAAGCCCTAGGCCTACGTCTTGAGATGGCTTAGAGCGTTTTTGAGCTATTGGGAAGTTGTCTTCTGGGTCTCTGGTCCACGTGACGGCCTTTGAGACATTGTTTGATAGGTCCTGCACCTTCCTTCCCTCCAATTTTTCAACATTTGTCTCATTATTTCTCAGTACTTTATATTCGCCTAGGTTTAGGCTTACGTTAATGTACACTAACAATGTCAAAACACTTGCCAGTATCGCAGTCTTAAAACTTTTCATTAACATTGCATAAAACTATTATTAAAACATCGATAATTTCTCGGGATGATTATACCGCCTTTCCGTTCGTACGTTAGACAAACTTATATAACGAGTTCACCTTGTTCAATTACTTGTCAAAGTTTTTTCGACAACATTCACATGTATATTACTCACTGTAAGACATGAATAGAAGCGCACCCGCCCCCGACCACAAGTGAGCGTAGACTAAGGCGCTCCGGTGCTGCCGGCTATAGTGTTCATGTCGTACAGCAGCCTGACGTTTCCGCTGCCAGCTACAAGAATTTATTTATTTATATATATACATTAAGTTACATTGGGTTTATGAGAGTACATAGCATGATGTGTTTACATTATTGTAAAGCCACTAGTACGCACAGCGTTTCGGGCAGAAGTAGTTATAATAGTATGTCCCATTGTTACACTGCTGTACTCACCTAGTTGTACTCCCCTAGTTACTGTCTGCTTCCATCCTATCCTCCTAAAATGATTACATTAGAGTAACTGAAGAACTTACAGCGCCTGTTCATAAATAATGGGGGCTCAGCGCCCATTATATAATGATGGTGGCTTTAGAAATGATGACTAATCTCTCTCAGTGTTATATGGAACTCAGTTTTACTTGGACACGCGACCACCTCAAACACAATAATTTGTGGTGATTTAAAAGCCCATCATCGTTTGGCACTGGACTCGAACACAACAAATGAGGCCGGCACTCACATTACACATCTACTAGACCAGCTACCAGAAATACAAATCCTAAACAAGAATGAACCCACCCACATCCAAGGAGGTAGATTAGACCTTACCTTTGTTTTATGGCAACCGCCCAATTCCCAATAGTGCTACCCAATTCCCCAATATATGTACCTATGCCATATAACTTTACCATTGTAATCATTGATGTTATCTTATATCATGTTATACACATAGTTTGCTACATTATTTATATCTTGCAATGATCCTCAAATTATGGAAAATGTACCTGTGGATAACCCTTAAATTTACTTTAATGTTCCTACTTTTTTCAGTCAAATTTCTTATACAAAGTATTTTTTATACTTTTTTACAATGCATTTTTATTCTTTCTTACAATGTAATTATATTTTTTATTTTGCTAGAAATCACCTTCTTAAAATTATATGTTAGATTAAGGATCTGCCCGAAACGCTATGCGTGCTGTGACTTTACAAGAACGTAAAACTTCAATGCTCTGTACTCTAATAAACCCAATGTATCTTCTTGTATATAAATAAATAAATAAATATAAATAAATAAATAAATAATAAACAGGAGGGCTGTGTGTGTTGTCTGAAGACAGAGTTTGTTTCTGAAAGTAGATTTTTGTGGAGTGATGATGGGTTTGAGGTAATTTGCAGTGGTTGAACCCCATGCACAGACCAATATGTAAGATAGGGATAGATTAGCGCGTAGTATAATGAGAAATTGAAATTGAATTGAAATAAGTTTATTGAGGTAAAATACACACAAAGGGATGAGGTAGCTCAAGCTATTCTCACCCCATTCAGTACAACGTGTTAATACATACATAGACACATCACAAATAAACATATTACCAAACATTCTGAGAGATAAACATATACATTTCCTCCTTCACAAGTAGTATGTTATCAGACGTACACACAAATACTTTTATGACCTAGGTATACTGTATAGACAATTTGCAAGACACATGCAGATAATTCAACAAAATATTACAATCTTGGTGCAAAATTCTTATATCTCTCAAGAATATCATCAACCTTTCCGTTGTGTATAATGAGAGGAGAGCAGAGTGGGGAACATAATATCTGATTTTAGAATGTTTACCAACTGTTTTTGAACCTTTTTTTTTTCCTATGCGTTGTATGTGGGTGCTGAAGTTGAGTCTCCATCATCACCCAGAAAAAATCTGCTATTAGAACAATAACAAATTCAGTTTTCAGACAACACTCAGCCCCCTTGTTTAAATCCCTAAACATCCTAAACATAAACTCACTCCACACATTCTCTTATGCCATTTACATTTACAGAACCTTGTTCTTAAATGAAAATACTGATCCGAAACTCTTCCTTGACAGATGTAATAGGACCCCATAATCACCACACCAGAAATAAATATATCTTTGATATCCCCAGAGTCAAACTAAATCGGTGTAAATACTCTATGCAAATAAAGGGACCCAGTCTATGGAACTCGCTCCCTAATGAACTGAAAAGCTGTCCAACCTTTGTCTTATTCAAAAATAAAA